GTGTGTGTGTGTGTGTGTGTGTGTGTGTGTTCCTGCTGAGGAAGCATTGTGACTAAACGCTCTGCTGGTGACGGGTTTTGTTTTCATGCTGGCACGGTTGGTATTCAGCTCTGAAGATTATCCACAGAAAGACACACAGATAGGACTTTCACACCGGCAGAAATCTCCTGAAAACACCTCCGGATGTGTCCAGGAGGAGGAGCTGTATGTGTGAACACAAACAGACTCAGACTACACCCTGAGTTTCTCCTGTCAGACCCCTTAGTAGTTTTTCTGCAGCAAGTCAGAGTGATCTGATGTGAGAACTCAGCAGGATATTCTCCGGAGAATTCACCACGAGCCAATAGGAGGGGGGAGTGATGTTTATATCCTGTGACTATCCTGAGTCAGTGCAGCTCCTTCCCCCGCTCAGGTGTGACAGAAGAGATTCTCTGTTCTCTGTCATCAAGACCATTTTAGGCCTGAGTTTGGTCCCATAGGCGGAGTGATGTCACTACGATTGTTTAACTCCTCCCCATCAAGTCGGAGCCTCTTTAGTCTGGAATTATATACAATAAAACATGGTTAATATTTACGATTCCAGGTCAATCAGCCAATGAGAGCGTGTATAGTTGTAGCGTCACAAACCGTTTTCTCAGCCGAGAGTTTCCTGTTTTCTTTTTTTTTTCTCGCTGAGGAATAGAACACTCAGCAGGACAGCCGGATGACGACGGAGATCGTCCTCCATATTTGTTTTTCTTCTGAAGTCACGTTCGATCACTCAGGTTTCTGTGAGATCTTACTACAAACATCAGGCGTGTGGTCTCTCGATCTGGCCGAGCAGTGTGTGTACGCCTAAGATTTTTAAAATGTTCTAGCGTGTAGCCAGCTTGAGTTTATTTCTTGTGTTGTTTTGTGTCTCATGTTAAAAAAGTCACAAAGATGTTTTCCAGGAAGCAGCTGCTTAAAGTTCTGCAGAGTGGGTGAACAGATCCGAGGTGCAAAATCAAAAGCAGCTCTCTCTCTCCTTTTTGGTGTTTTCAAGAAAATTCTAAATTCTTTGTCTTGTAATGAACACAGACTTAATCAAACGTGGACGTGGTGTCAGTGACGTCACCTTTTTGGTGTGCCAATCAAACCCTCAGCGGAGTCACATGTTACTACTCTGTTTTTCATTTCCTGGTTCGAAGCCAGCGCTCGGCTCTCTGGTGTTTTCAGTGTGTGTGTAAATACTTAAAGATCGTTTCCATCCTGCCTGTTTTTTTTATTCATCTCCTATCGGGCTCTCTTGGCCTGCTGCTGCAGATAACTTTTAGTTCACTCTCCCTTGTTTGCCGTCGCTCCTTTCATGTGTCCACATTCTCCCCCAGGTCTCAGATTCCTCCCACAGGATCACAGTGGACTATCTGCTTGTTGTGGTTGACTTTTGGCTGAGTTTAAATGCACTAAAGCTCACAGGGTCCCTCTGTAGTTTCAGATAACGGCGCTGAGTGCTTGTTTGTGCCGCTGCTGTTGCTACGTGATGATAATTGAAAACCTTTTAGAGACACATGGCGCTCTTTTGATAAAAGTTTTATTGCAGCCACTAAATGAAGCTCCACTCTCTGCACGTCATTTTCTTGAGCAGACATTATACTTTGTCCCTCGGTATGTCAGTGTAAATATAGTTTGATGAATAAAAAGATGATTTAGATTTTCTTTAAAGGTTCCATGCTCTGAAAAATACACTTTTTCTAACTCTAATATGTTTCCCTAGTCCGTCTATAAACCCCCAATGATGAGAAAAGTCCATCCTCTCTGTCTTTTACCTGCTCCACTTTTCAGAAAATGTGTGCTCAAACAGGCCGTTCGGAGATTTTCCCTTCATGACATCACAAAGGGCAGTAGCCCCTCCCCCAGGTGGGTGACACTCCCACAGCTAGGTGTTTGTTCTGCCCTCTGAGTCTGCCTTCTCACCGTAAACAATAGGACATGGAGTGAGAAAGACCGAGTACACCCAAGCCCTTCCAGAGAGGGGGCGTGGTCAGATACAGCTCATTTACATATTTAAAGGTACAGACACAGAAACAGCCTGTTCTGAGCAGGGCTGAAATAGAGGGGTTTATAGACATGATCAAATACAGGATCAGAGTGGATTTAGAACAAGAAACTTCACACACATGTTTTGAGGAGCTCTGAGACTTATTTAAACTGAAGAAGAGGAGGAGGATATGTCACCTTTAACTTTTTATCATCATGCAATGATTTAAACATCTAACTCATATAAAATAACGTCCAGTATTTGAATATAATTAATGCAACTCTACAGACAAGAATAGAAAAGAATAAACCAAATCTGCAGCGACGAAATTAAGGAAAAAAAGAAAAACATGAACAAAAATTAGTTTCATGCATTATTGGCATATATGCAAAAAGACTGAGGGCGAGAGGAGAGAAGAGGAGCTTGCTGAATTAATTCCTAGACGGTCAATCTGGCAGTTTCCACAGGATCTTTGTTCCATGCAAATACATACGATACAATACACTTTCAGGCCATTTTAATTTATTCTCCGAGAGCCGACAGTCCGGTGGATTGTAAGGTCACTATTTGAAGCAGAAAATGTGCTTTTGTTCCTTTTCCACAAAGGCAGTAAATAGCGCCCTGTTTAAAGAGATGAGGTGTCTTGTTTATGTGTTCAAGGATATAATGTGGTCACTGCACAATGTCAAAGATAAGAAGATAAGACTCTCGAGTGCAGCTCCTCAATGATTTCCAACTCGTCAACACATTTCAAGACCCTTCTTCGATTCTTTCCCCCCCCTCACATGCAGGCTTCTTAGCCCACCTCTCCTTGAAGAGGAGGAGGAGGAGGGCAGTGCCTGCTGCTCCGCTAGAGAATGGAAACTCTGGGCCACGGCGCTCCGGTAAGTTGTGATCGGAGCATGGCTGGCAGAGAGCCGAGAAGCAGGCTCGGTCTGCAGCCATCCCTCGACTCAGGGCAGGGATGTCGTATATTTCCCTTTTTATTTTCAGTGACTCTCCCCCCCCCCCCCGTCCTCCCCCATATGCCTGCTGTTCAAGTTGTGCCCATTGTCGGTTGTTCCCGTTGCTACGCCATGGTTTATAAGTGCAGAAGAACATTTTTCAATGCTAACAACACTTGGAATAGCATTGAGTGTTGCTGCAGTTGCATGAGAAGTAATGTGTTTTTTGTGGATAAAAAAAAAAAAAAGCTGGTGCATACAGCTTTTTGGTGTTTTAAATTGTTGATGAGGAAAATCAACAATGCTTTTTTATGAGGGGGCTGGATAGCACCTTGAATGATTAAGCCCCCCACCCCCCCTTCTTTTCAAGGTGACACTGTGTTTGCTGTTGTGTCTTAATTTGGCTAATTATGAAGCATGTTTTTAGTTGTTTGCTAAGTCAGAGGCAATCTGCTTTCAAAACAGCTTTTCATTGAAGCCTGAAAGCAGATGGTTGTGGAGTGTAGGCTGTCTGCCTGCCTCCTCCTTTAAAGTCTGTAAACACATGCAGCATTCTTGAATTCTACTATCTGGAAACAGAAATACTGCAGCAAAGTTTTAACCCTTGTTTTTACCTTGAGCAGAGAGGTCCGTATGAACCACCAGACAGAAGAGAGCTGGAGAAAGTGACTCATCAAGTAATATTTCATGATAAAAAAAATCAGGGTCTGATTCACAGAAGGATTGCACAGCTTTTCCACCCTCTAAACCTGTGCAAAAGAGTCAAAAAAAGATGGCATCTAATTCCCAAAAGGCACACAAAGGGTTAAACGCACCCCTGATTGCACTGTTTTTGTTTGCCGGTGCAGTTCGCGCTTTTTTGAATGAAACTTTTTTGGCTGTCATTTTGGGAATAGCTGGCCTCTTTTTAAGCAAATTGGCCTCTACCGAAAAAATCATCTAGTTCACAAACACTGTCATTAATAGCAATGTGCCGTTAGAACTGAATAATTAACTTCTGTTGCGAGTTGGCAGTAACTGCGCCACAGTAATTCTAAGAGATATCACATGCAAAAACTTCCAGTGATGAGAAAAACATTGCTTAAATATTAAAATATATATCTTTCTTTGAAATCCCCTCAGCTGCAGTTCATAGCGTAGGCACTGTGTTGGTACTTCTCCAAACATGCTGGCTGCAGTCTACCGACTATTTATAAGCACCTCATATAACCCCGATTCAGAAATCCAAAGTATTTCCTTGAAGTGAAACCTGAAGACTTCATCAGCCTTCTTTATTCCCGGCCTCTGAAAAAAAGGCAGCGGCAGACGTGCTCGTTTATTGAAGTGGTTCCTTTGGGTTTCTCTTAGATTGCATCTGCTTGAGAATACAGAACAATCCACTCTGGAGTGAAACAATGAGCGTCCACTTAGAGGAAAGACTGAAGACCAGACCTTTAATCAGACATTCATCACTGTCAGGAGAAAAAAAAAAACATACCTTGAATCCATTAACACCGCTCTGGAAGCGTTCCCATCTTTAATATAATTAAGGCTGCCGTCTGGATGGGGCTCACTGGGATCGCTCTGGAGCTCAGGCTGTTTATCTGTCAGGGGGATACTCTGCAGTCTCTGAGGAAGAACAGTTCAGCAGTTTGAGAGCGCACACACGTGTTTCCCTGCAAGCAATTCATCAGGTGTCTTCTTAAACGCTGATTTTACAAAGATGTGTTTCTCTGCAGGGTTGTCAGGAATCAGATAGAGAATCGATTCTCTCTGACTGAAGCGTTCTTGATGTTTTATCGTCCTGTATCGTCCGCCTGCTCTCTGTTGAAGTGCAGTTTATCTCTCCAGAAACGGCTGAATAAAGATTTAAAGGGGACATATAATTAAAAATCCACTTCTACAATATTTTTGAACATATATCTGGTTAACCTGAGTGTCTACTGACCCACAAAATGTGAAATAAACCCATCCAGTCCTTTGTTTGTGGTCTGTATAAGTCTTACAACACAGAGAAAAATGCTCCGTTTCAAATTTGCTCTCTTTGTGATGTCACAGTGGGATTCTGGTAAAAAAAATAAATAAAAAAAAAATTCCTGAAGTAGAGGAACCTATCAGCTTTAAGCTTGTAGACTCAGCGTTTTCTTGAGTGTCGCTATCCCTCATTTCCATTTCGCTCCAGACGTCTGTAATCCCGCCCACCCGTAACCCTGCGACTTGATTGGCTGTTTGTCCTCTTTTTCTTCTCCTCTTTAAAGGCTTTATATGTGATTTTTCACACTTAAATGTAATAGAAATCAAATATATCCTCTGAAAATAACTCTGTGAGTCATGACTGTCTACAATGGGTGTAACACCCGAGTCCCACTGTCTGTGATGTTTTGAGAGTTTTCTGAGTCCTATCTTCACTTTGTTTACATCGCCTGGACGGCCGGCTGACTCCTCCCCTCGTGTATAAAAGTTGTTTAATTGAGGGACTAGAGAAAAGAAGAATAACATACTGTACTCACTGCTTAACTGTGTTTCTAGATCACGCTCATTTCAGGTAAATTTACATGCAGTGTGAAGATACGAGCATAATAAAGATCGCTAGCATTAGCATGCTAACACAACAATGCAGCACAATTTTTTTGGTTTCATGCTGGTGCTCAAGGGCGACATCTGCTGGATCAAAAAATCACATAAAGCCTTTAATGTCGGGTAGCAACTAGCTTTTAAGGCTTATTAATGCCCCCCTTTCCCAGTGTTTGGGGCCTACCCTAACTTTTAAATTGTAGCTTATTTATCTTCAGGGACACTGAATCTGTGTTATTTTGTGGAGATTGAGATCTTTGGACCTTTGCGTAGCTTCAACATGTTAGCGATCAGCCGCAGTGCTCTAACCATCGCGTCACCTTTAAACCCTCCCTGACCCGTGCGGGGAAGGTGGAAGTGTCTCGTCCCTGAATCAGCTCCCCTCAGCCGGCCTGATTTGTATTCCAGCAGCGAAGGAGACATTCATCAGCACCCTTCTCCTCAGCCAGGCCCTGATGTCCCCCCCCCGTCAAACATCATCATAAATACATCCTGATGAGGTCACACACACACACACACACACTGTTACATTCCCAGACAGATCAACAACACAGGACTTCAGAGAGTGCATGTCTCGTTCAGTGTGGCTCAAACAGACAGCCCAGATGTCGCAGAGACAGAATGTAGAGCAGCGTGCTACAATAATTAGCATGCCTGAGCTGTGTGCTGCGGTGTTGGTATGCAGCCCGTGTCCACAGAAAGAATTCTGTTTGGTCTTCTTGGCTTCGGCCTCGTACTTTGCTGGGAATAATCCCCCTCTCTCTCTCTCCACTCGTGTCTTCTTTTCTCTGACTCGTCTCTCACACAAACACTCTTTTTTTCTCGGCCTCTCGGCTCTCTTTAATTCAGTGTTATTGATGTGATAGAGCGGGAGAGAACAAAACCTACTCCTGAACATCTCACTGCATCAACAGGTTGATAGATTGTTGATGCTTTGTGAATTTAAAAAACCTTTTACAAGGACTGTGGAATTGGAATAATAGGACTGATCATGTCTGATGCAACATCAGAAACATCCTCTGGTAGTTTTTTTTAAAACAATGTCATGTCGATTTCTCGCTTGGTTGAAAGATTAAACTCCTGCCTATTTGATGAATTTGCGATGAGGATTCTGATCCTGATGGTCTGTTTTTGTTTGGACCAGAGAAGGTCGGCCGTTTTGGACGCCCCTCTGTTTGTCAGATATGAGAGCAGTTATCAGGTCAACAGGTGTTGCAGCGATGGAAGCGGTCAAGAGAAGTGGTTCAGATAGAAGTGATTGTACCCGACCTAAAAAGCCTCTGCATGTTTCTAATAAGCTCCACGAGCAGAAACGTGCTCAAACTAGGATCAATATTGGAGATGCTTTTGAAAAATGGAGAGAGGTTAGAACACAGAAAGGTTTACAGACCCATGCAGAGCTGGATAAACACTGAAGCTTCAGAGTCCACCACATGGTGACCTGTGTGAGCATCCACTCTAGAGAGGAGGGGGGGGGGGGGGGAGACAGTGCTCTTTAATGTTTGGTTACTATAAAGCCGTCTAATTGTTTTATAGAATCATCTCCCGCTGAGAATCAGAAATCATGACGTAACAGGGAGATGTTTTTTTTAGAGTAAAAACAAAAAACAGTTAAATCATTGGCAGTGTTTTTTCTCTTTAATACCGAACAATTCAATCCAGTTCTACACTCCCTGATTGTTCTTCAGTGAAGCAGGGAGTAACATGAAGAAAATCCAGTCTGCATAATTTCATGAACGACCATCAGAATAGTCTTTGAATAAAAACAAACACGAGTAGGAGACAATTTACTGAGTGTGTATTTATCGTATTTCAAAAGGTTAGGTTTATTTGCCTTTTAAACTTTGCATGATACACAGAATGCAAAACATCAGATTGTAAAACTGGAAACAGGTCACACAGACAGCTTTGCTTTCATACAGTTAGCTCTCCATTGACTTGGGAGGGACAAAGGGACAGCACACAACACAGCAGCACTACACCTACACACGTCCCCATTTAGATTCAGCGCACATCTCTTCCTCCCTGCATCATTTCATGCTCCGACCACTCAAAGTAAAGAACCCCCCCCCCCTCGGGCTGAACAGTAAACATCGTTTGATGTTGTCCGACAGCAGCAGTGAAAGAGCTAAATATGAAAAATTGGATGCATGGTGGGGTGCTTTGAAACATCAGGTGCACCAGATAGGCTGAAAAGACGATCTAAATGAAGCACAAAATAGGAAGGGAAGCGACCTAAAAAAAAAAACTATTGTTAAGGTGTGGGTGTTGATGGAAATTGAGTCTTTTTCTTTTAAATTTTCCCCCTCGGAGAAAAAGAGGGTGATGCAGCGTGTGGTGAAGAGAGAGAGATGTCTGTGCAGGCGAAGTCATCCCTGAAGAAATGGCTGCTGGATTCTGTGAGGGAGTTTTGGTGCTGGTGGAATTTTTTTTTTCATGTTTTCTTGTGAAATCCAAAACGTAATCTTTCTGAAAGTTTCTCTGCAGGAAGTTGCTGCTCGATCATCCAAACTCTGAGACTTGTTGTTGTTTTTTTTATTATTTCCCTTGCGGTCGCTCCTGGCTAGTCCATTTTTTAAGCCTTTAAGTGCCTCCTGTATAAATAGTCTGATAGATGTATGAACCCTACAGAACTTGAAATTCATCCTCAGGCAACCGTTCAGGCATTTTAATCAACTCGCTGTGCATTGAAAGCAGCGTTCATTATTTATCTCTGAGTAATAATAATCGTTTCAGGAGGAAAATGCAGACGGGAGCTCTCAGTTTCCTGAGTTAATAACTTTTGTTTTTCTTCACTAATGCTCCTCTATGACGGAGACAAAACAGATTTCCTTCACTTTCACCTAACCTCGTGCAGTGTTGGAGTAGAAAAGTCCTCACCTCGATTAATCAAGATTATATTTGTCGTCAACTTTGCCCTGAAAATAATCAAAATAATCAAAATAATCAAAATAATCGACATGGGCGAGATTACGTCGGTTAGAGGTTCTGAATTTCAGTTTCAATTAATTTTCGATTTATTGCCCAGCCCTGATAGATAACTAGTAGGGTCAATTTATGTAGTAGATATTTTGGACCTTACAAGTTTGGACTGGACTTGTTTTCTAGATAACTAGTAAAGTAGTTCTGCCAATGACCGAACTAGTGCAGCCAACTGAAGATTGGTACAAAGGATATCGAATAAATGCTCAAACGGCTTTCCATACCAGACGATTCAGAGAGTGATTTCATCATGAGTGGATTCACACCTGTCCTTGGAGCTGTCCACTTGTGATGGGATCACTCAGGACACATGTTAATCCCTGCAGTAAACACAGACAATGAGCCTCATAGTCTCCTTTCAACACTTAGCAGTGATTTCTTTCCATGTTTGCTGTGTTTACAGCATCACGTCTCAGAGCAAGCGAGCAGATTGAAAACGGTGTAATCTTTAAAATCTCATGTAGTTTACCAGTTGGATGTAATAACAAACTCTGTCTTGTATCTAACTGGTCCTGATTGTAAGACTGGTTATTAAAACTATTTAACAGCAGGATGTGTTTGGGGGGTTGTGGGGGGGACCTAACCAAGCCTTCCTCACCCTCCTTGATCCCCCCCCCCCCCCGTTTTCTCACATCCCAGAGAACCACTCTGCCCCTCCAGATGTCACTGGCTACACCAACAACACCCCGGCTGATGGGATCCAGGTGGAGAGAGCCCCGGGCGCTGGCAACGCGGCCCAGAAACAGACGCCAAAGTACGGCAACGCCGAGCTGATGGAGACCGGAGACGGTGAGAGAAGGGGCTGGGGTTATGAGTTTACCAGAGATATGATGAATGATACTAATTACTTCATCTCACATCACTGAGAGTCATGTTGATGGAGATTTAAAACTCAGGTTGTCACTCAGAATATCGCTCAGTGGAATGTGAAAGTGACGACTGCTTACAATCAAGAGTTTACGCTTAGATTTGCGTCTTTAGTCATAGTGTGTGTGTGTGTGTGTGTGTGTGTGTGTGTGTGTGTGTGTGTGTGTGTGTGTGTGTGTGTGTGTGTGTGTGTGTGTGTGTGTGTGTGTGTGTGTGTGTGTGTGTGTGTGTGTGTGTGTGTGTGTGTGTGTGTGTGTGTGTGTCCTCTGCAGGTGTTCCAGTCAGCAGCAGAGTTTCAGCCAAAATTCAGCAACTGGTCAACACCCTGAAGAGACCCAAACGGCCGCCGTTAAGAGAGTTTTTTGTCGACGACTTCGAGGAGCTCCTGGAGGGTAACTTCATTTTCATTAAATACCAAAATAGACGCTTTTATTCATGTAAATAGTAAATAGTGATTGATTATGAAATGGCAGCTTTAGGCAAGTAATGAAGGGCCAACAAACCAAATCCAACAAACTTTGCCAAACAGGACGATATCCTTAAGAACATTTCCTTTTGTCTGCTGTGGCAGAGGCGAATCCCACTGATGAATATTCCCTTTTGTTTCCAGCATCAAAAGCTGCAGAGCCAGAAGTCAATTCATTATTTAAGCATGAATAAAATATGTTGGAAAGACTGAGCTCGATTCACGGCACAATAAGAGTGTTTTGATATTCTGGTTTAATCTAGAGATCACATCCTTACTGTAAGTATTCTCTCTGATAAAGAAACAAATAAAGAAACATGGAGTAAATGATGCATTGTTACTCATCACCGCTTCCATAGTTCATATACAACATTCAAGACTACCACAGTACACTTGTTAGATTATCGTACAGCTGAAAGTGAAAACCTTTTTTGTTTACTTTAAAGGAAGAATGTGCAACATGCTACACATAAATAAATCATAAAGTCTGTCCTGTGTAAATGTGTCTCTGAGTCATGACTGTCTACAATGAGGGAGAAGCTCGAGTCCCGCTGGCTGTGTTGTTGTCAGAGCCGTGTTTACATGGACGGGACGCCCGGCTCCTCCCCTTGTGTATAAAAGCTGTTTTAGTCAAGAACTAGAGAGAAGAAGAAGAACATACTCACTGATTATTTGAATATCACATAAGTGTTTTAGAGCATGCAATGTGAAGCTACGAGCTAACTAAAAAGCGCTAACATTAGCATGCTAACACAACAATGCAGGCCACAGGTGATTGCAGCTCGAGAGGAGGACAATTTTGTCCGCAGCTTGCTCTAAACTCCTTTGTGCAAACACGAGTGGAGAGGGGTTGGAGGTGTGTCTCTGGTGGAGAGCGGAGGCTTCAGTATGGAGGAGGCGTGGCCTAACAGCAGTTTGTTTTGGTTTCAGGCTGGAGCTCAAGGGGGCGACATCTACTGGATCAAAAAGTCACACATTCTTCCTTTAAAGCTTTATATAAGATATTTTTATATTTTTTTGCCTGTACATATTAATACTATGTCACAGGTTGTCTTGAGAAATTAAGCTAAGTGTCCATGCTTAAGTAAGACACTGAAGTGTTTGTAGTTCATTGATAACATACAGCTAACATGTTTGGAATTGTTGGTTTTAAAGTTTTGAAATTGGCCACAAATGTAAAATCTCTGCTCTTATCCTCCTTCAGTCCAGCAGCCAGACCCCAACCAGCCCAAGGCGGAGGGGGCTCAGATGGTGGCCATGCGGGGCGAGCAGCTGGGCGTGGTGACTAATTGGCCCCCGTCTCTGGAGGCGGCTCTGCAGAGGTGGGGCACCATCTCTCCGAAGGCCCCCTGCCTCACCACCATGGACACCAACGGCAAGCCGCTCTACGTGCTCACCTACGGTAAGAAGAGAACGCCGTTTTGACTCACTTAATTTTTCATTGTCTCTGTCTGTCTTTAGGCTCATGAATGGTTATAGTTAAAAACATTAAGGCTCTTATTTTTTGTCTGAGGCTGGGAGTACTTTACTTGCTGTTTGAATTTAACCCCGCTTTTATTTTGAAATACTGAAGGCCCTTCCTGTGTAGATGGAAGGTTAGGACATGAACCTAAGCACAGAAAGAAGAAGTGGCTAGGGATCACAAAATAAAGTCAAACTGCTCAAAGGAACGGTAAGACTGCTCATTATGGTCTTTTTTGATTTGGTTCCCGTCCTGCTTTGACCTCTCCTAGATGATCCAGAATTTAAACATCCTGATGAAACACACTGATAGAAACTCTAAATACTGTATAGAGTACAGCAGAGGGTTTTTTTCTTCTTCTCTGACTTTCCTCCTTGTATTTTTCTGCACATATGGTGGCTTCACAAGCTGATTAACTGAAGCACCAAACAATGTTTAACGCCCGCTGTGTGAACATAATTCCACTAATGGCAGCCAGACAGAGAGCTAAGCACATTAACAAAGTGTGAAGAAGACGCTTTCAAGAAATCGCTCTGCTACAGACGGCGGGGACGTTTTTTTTTTTTTTTTTTAATCCCAAAGAGCCTGCAGGTTTTATGAAATATGTTTTTAAAACGAACTGTTATTGTATCTCTTAGTGACTTACAGAGCAGACCGTGTGGGTCAAACTTCAGGATGAAGACTGGATGATTTCTCTCTTTTCGACGCAAGCATTCAACAAAATCAGCCGGATTCTTTTGTGTCCTCTTGGAGCGTCCTAACTGCTCGTGAGCGACGCAGCTAGACGCAGCTACGTTATGAAAAACACAACAGCTTCTTCTTTAAAGGAAGGATTGTGGTTTTGATTCAGATACATCAAACAGACAATAAAAATGAATCTTAGTCACGCTGTTATGTGACTTAATCACTGACTGATTATAAAGATGCATCGTGGTTCCGCCTCCTCGATGGACAGACGCATTTGTCAACAGAGCTGTCAGTCTTGGTGCTACAGTTTACCGCTTATAAAGCATCAAATAACTAAATATTATGAAACCTTAATGACATTATCCATGTTATACCGCCGCCCGTCAGCAGGGGGAGCTCCAAATGTTGTGGCTTCACTTGTAAGAGAAGTGTCATGACATCCATCTTTTTATACAGTCTAAGGATGTAACCTAAATTAGAGTCTCTTTGGTAAAAGTTTGTTGTTGTTTGAGTCGTTCATTTTCCTCAGTTGACCTTCTCGCTCTAAATATTTGACGTAAAAGCTGCACAGCTGCCAGAGACAGCGAATTCAGACCTGCCTCACAAAGAAGTGTACAAATTAAATCTCAAATCTTTCATAAAGCAAAGGAGAAGACAAAGTCTGCTGAAGCCATAAGTGAGAAGACGAACACACAGAACAGTCAAATAAATTAAAGAACTGCTTCATCCCAGCTCCATAAACCCGTTCACCGCAGCTGAATCACATCACGATCCTAACCGCCTGTTCAACCGCCACCGCCGTTCAAGTCTGTAAACAGAGTGGAACAAACTCTTTTGAAGTGCTCGAATCTTTAGAGCCAAAACTCATTCATCTCCCAAAAACAGCAGCGGAGAAAATGGCTCCGGTTTGAGACATTGGAGAGCGACTTAGCCACGGTGAACAAAGCTGCTTCTCTCAGGTCCGACCTCCCTGACATACAGCGGAGAGAATCAGGTGACTTCAAGATGAGCCCAGACACACATTTATACATCACAGAGACACACACACACACACACACACACACACACACACACACACACACACACACACACACACACACACACACACTAATGTATGCACATGAACAAAGGTAAAACCAGGTCCAGAGTTTAAACAAGTACACACATCGTTCACTCTAACTACATGATGTCCCAGGATGACCTTAAAAATACAGTCACACAGGAGACATTTCTTTGGCAGCAGGAGCACGCCGTTTTAATTTACACAAAGTCTAAATAAAGACGGTCAAATTCAGGACACAACACGATCCCAAATTTCCCCTCTGGGGATCAATAAAGTACTATCCTAATATAAAACATGGCAGTCACCAAGATGTTAATTTTCACTAAGATATGTGGAGGTGTGCAAATGTGCAATTAAAGGCACAGTATGTAAATTCCGCCACCAGGGGGCTCTCAATCAAAAAAATAAAGGCTGGTGGGGAATCATGGGGGTGATTCTCCTAGCTACTCCCCCGCAACAATCGGTGAAAACGAACTCTCAAGACGACTGGGCGAACCCGACCTGAGGAAGAGAATATGTTTACCGACATTGATTAATTATTATTATGATATTATTATTATTATTGTTTTGATTGAGAGCCCCCTGGTGGCGGAATCTACATACTGTGCCTTTAATTGCACATTTGCCCATTGACAACAGATGGAAATTAGCTAGCTAGCTAAATCTGGAACAAAGCATCTCTTCTGAGACTAATGTATTTTTTTTGTACTCTGTCCCTGATTCAAATAAACGATTAAATTAATTAAATGAATACACTTAAACTTGATTTTCCTGGTACGGGAATTTGTCTTGGATTCCCGTGCTGCACACATTTAACTGCCTCCACTGTCGTACTAATAATAAATAACAATATAAACAACGATCAACAATCCTCAGTCAATGATTGTCTCTTCAAAATTGCTGATAAATCAACCTTCAGGGGAGTGCGTCTGATCTCTGAAATATCCAGAAATGATCAACAAACTGGGGCCGAACTGTCTCCTCTGACTTCAGCTATCAGATCAAATGAGCAACGAGTGCAAGAATTTCCTCCGACATGCGGCGCCGGCGTGGGAGTGAAAACGGACGACGAGAAAAAGAAGACATTTTTTAATAAATGTTGCATTTGAAAAACAAGATTACACCCGCATTCACTTTTTCACCACACTTGATCACACACGATGATTAACTCAAAGGATAAACGCTGCATCATCCCCACTGCATCAACCTTTTTCATTTACAAAAACAGTGTGCGCGCGCGTGTGTGTGTGAGGGAACAAACTGATTTGTGTGGAGTGAGCTTGCCGCTGATGATGAGGCGAGATGAGTGCTCACCAGACTGTGAAATTTTCTTCAGCCAGCAGCACTCGGGAGTCCTCCACCGGAGAGACAACAACATGGTGAGGCTGTGTGTGTGTGTGTGTGTGTGTGTGTGTGTGCAGTGCTGAATCTAAATCTCCATCTCTCATTCCTGTGTCGTCTCTCTTTGATGTCGGCTGACAAGGACAAACTTGTTTTGTCTCTTCCTGTCGAGTCGTCGTCCTCCGCCCTCCTGAGAACACACAGAATTCATGATACTGAATTTTCCCGCTGTCCTCAAACTCAGCCCCTCGCTGCTCTGCACTGCAGATAACCCCCACATGTTTGGCAGATATGAACCGCAGTTGCCTCCGAGGCTTTGATCGTCTGTACACAACACAGCTGACATTATTTATCAGCAGATCTTCGTCATCGATTGCTGCACACTGTGTGGGGGAGACATTCACTCTTCGTGCTGTGTGCGTTTCTTGTTTGACTTTATTTCTCTGATTATTCTCTGTGTGCAAATCTGTTTGTGTTTGGGGTGTTTTCAGTGGACTACAAATCCTGTTAAAAAAACTACAAAAAGACAAAGAACAGGCCGTCAACAGAGTTGCATCACCACCTTTATCACATCTGTCCAAAACTCCCCTTCAGGATCTGCTGTACTGACAGTCCAGGGTCAATATAAAAGCAGAAGGGAAGTAGAAGGGATACTGTAGGAGCTACTGGAGTCCCACCTGCATTACCCTCCACCACCTATAGGGAGTCAGCAGGGGGGGATTTAGCCCATGAATTGAGACATAAAGAGTGAGTCCTGCATCAGTGTGTCCACTTCAAACTCCTTATCATGACCTACAAAGCCCTCCATAACCTGGCTCCCCCTCACCTCTCTGAGATCCTCCACCTGCGCGTTCAGATCTGCTGATGCAAATTCCCAAGTTTCTTGTTCTAAATCCACTCTGATCCTGTATTTGATCATGTCTTTAAACCCCTCTATTTCAGCCCTGCTCAGAACAGGCTGTTTCTGTGTCTGTACCTTTAAATATGTAAATGAGCCGTGTCTGACCACGCCCCCTCTCTGGAAGGTCTTGGGTGTACTCGGGCTTTCTCGCTCCATGTCCTATTGTTTACGATGAGAAGGCAGACTCAGAGGGCAGAACAAACACCTAGGAGGGGGGGGAGGGGCTACTGACCTTTGTGATGTCATGAAGGGAAAATCTCCAAACGGCCTGTTTGAGCACACATTTTCTGAAAAGTGCAGCGGGCAAAAGACGGAGAGGATGGACTTTTCTCATCATTGGGGGGTTTGTAGACGGACTAGAGACACATGTTAGTGTTAGAACAACATGGTGAAGTGGATTTTACATAAAATGTGACCTTTAATATTCTAATTGTTTTGCGCCAAGGAGGACTTTCTCTTTATGCGCACAGAGACAAACATCCAGCTTTCAGTTCATGCACCCTTTACAGAAACAAGAATCATCAAATGACATTAATCACCCAGAATGTTTCCCACATTAATCTGGTTTGTGTTAACCTTCCTTCTGTGGAACAAGGGCTCAGAACGACCCTTTGAACCACTTTTGTTCTTGGAGTCATGTCCTGAGAGCAGCGGCCGTGGTTATCTAATTTCTGAACAAAAGCAGCCCTTTCCATTAGGTTATACCAGATGATTCCTTCTTCTCTCCTCGGAGGACAAAAGGCTCCTTGATGTGTTTTCATGGCGAGGCTGAGTCATGTCATCAAACTTTAAAAAACAACAAACAGACCCCAGCTCTGCACAGAAACACTGTGATTACATCTGAAGCTGCCGGGGGAGATTCTTTCTAATAAGGCGGCAAGGAGTCCTCTCCTCTGATTGTTGAACATGTTTTCCAGCTGGTGGATGGAGGGATGCCACCTCCAGGGTGTCCGCTGTTACTGCTGAAGGGTCCTTGAAGTAGACTTCCCGAAACCTGCATCATGCAAACATTGTTTCAGCATTGCAGCAGTTGTTCCTAAACTTGCAGAAACAACAGCTTCCTCCTGCTGTTCATGGATACCAGGAGGGAGATGCAGAGGACTTAAAGTCTTCCTACGTCTTATAGGACAATAACTCCCCCTTTTTTCTACATACTCCATAATTTGGAGTTTGTGTCAGTGTACGGTTAGAGGGCTGTTTTAAGGTTTCGGGCTCGTGCCCACTAATGCAGGTTTTTTGTGCTGACAGTTCCCTTTTTTAAAGAGGACACATTGTCCCCCTTCTCCACCTTTTCAAACAGTCCCCCTGTGGTCTAAATGAAACATCTGTGCTGTGCTTTGGTCAAAATATAACATGAATTAAGCACCAGAGGAGGTTTGTGACCCTGTATAAACCAGCTCTCTCAGAACGCTCCGTTTTGGTGTGTGTGTCTCTTTAAATGTAATGACCCCCCCCCCCCGAGTTTTCCCAGTAGACATCACTCCTTCGCTAGGGAGAATAAAAATGGCAGACGTGTGCAAAAGTTTTGTTTTAGGCTGGGGGTGGAGTCCATGGGTGGAGATACCAGGGGAGGGAGGTTGTTTTTTTTTTTTTTACCAGAATCCCACTGTGACATCACAAGGAGAGCACATTAGAAACAGACTTATGCAGACCACAAACAAAGGACTGGATGGGTTTATTTCACATTTTGTGGGTCGTTAGACACTCAGGTTACACAGATAAATGTTCAACAACACTGTAGCAGTGGATTTTTCATAATGTGTCTCCTTTAATACAAATCGAAGCTGTTCAGTGTCTTCAGCACTCAGAGACACACCAGCTTTTTTATTATCGCTGCGTTCAAAGCACTCTCAGTCTTTAACCTTCAAAGCTTTAAAAACAGTCGTCATGCAGATGTTGACAGTGATTTTCCGCTAACCTTTTCTAGCAGCTTTAATTAAACAAAATATCAAAATAAGCTCGTTGACAACACCAGTGGGTGTCTGTTATATCTGCTGATTCATGATTCATTAATTAAATTCCAGTTTTCATTACACTGCTCATCAAGTCCCACGTCTCATAAGTGACTCACTGTTGCTCCGTCTTAGTTTGTGATTGTCTTCATTCTTTCTCTCTCCTGTCTTTGTTTCCCCCTCGTGGGACCCCTGAGCTCTTCTCCTTTTCTTCCCTTCATTAGCTCTGACAAACATCAGAAAAAACCTCATTCAGTGTTAGAAAAAACAATGAGGAATTCACGGCGGGTCGCTCATGCATAATATCTGCGTCTGCCAGTCTGAATGAGCGGGAATAAAAAGAGGAAGGCAAAGGATGGAAATTGATTCTTTTGTAGCGTGATGAGACTTTAATAAGACGACTCCGCCTCGATCGAAATGATTTGATTTTACTCTTTAAGTAAATATTCTCAGGATATCAGCGACGTCTGCAAAATCAGAACATTTGTTGAACTGCTTCTCAAACTTTTCCAAGTGTTTGTATTTCAAAGCTCTGCAATCTGTGAGTAAAGTATGAACGTTCATGGATTCAATTAGACAACAGTGTTGAGGCGGAGTTTTAGGGTTTTCTGGATGTTACTAAACCTTGAAATGAATCGTCTCCCCAGCAGTCTGCCGGCCAGGTGATGTAATGTGTTTCCAAACATCGAGTGTCACATCGATGCCGTAACTTCTAGCATGTGTGGACTCATGATGTCATCCTTTGTTTCCACTTCACAATCTTGTGGAAAAAGTCAAATGAAGGTTTTTTTCAGTGTATATGACTTCAAAAAGTTCCCCCAAACGTTACTCTCTTTTTGACAATTGACAAAACAAAGGTTCAGGACTCCTGGATTCAGTCTTTTCAAACGTTCCCCCTCAAAAAGAACACGGTGGTCCTTTTTTTCAGATTTATTTTGGGGGCTTTTTGTGCCTTTATTGTACAGGTTGGACAGTGGATAGATTCAGAAATCAGAGAGAGAGAGAGATGGAGTGACATTCTGGAAAGAAGCCACAGGTTGGATTCAAACCCAACGCCCGCCCACCTGGAGAACAACATCCTCTGTACATGGTCCTGCACCAGCGCCTCACGGTGGTCCTTTCATGAACAGCTCTTTATGTTTTGTGTAATAATAAAAGTTTTCTGTGTCTGTGTTTAGGAAAACTGTGGTCCAGGAGTGTGAAGGTGGCGTACAACCTGCTGCACAAACTGGGAACCAAACAGGAGCCGCTCGTCAGACCTGGAGACCGGGTAAGAGGAAAACCCAAAGACGAAATGACAATGATGAAAATGAATGGACTGTGGAAGAACACAGAGAGTTAAAAAAAAAAACAGAAATAAAAAGTTTTAGTGAACAACTCGAGTTAGTAGAAGAGCTGACCTTCCTGATGCACTGAGCTGGCGATGGCTCAGTGGTGTAGTCAGTCATTTCCTAACCGCAAGGTCTGGGGTTCGATTCCCATGACAGGTGTCATTCAAGCCGAGATTGGGTTGAAAGGGATTTTTTTTTTCTGGCCTGGGTTTGGGATGAGTCAGGATTATTTTTGTGGGAGTGCGATGGGACGGCAGTCATTCTACCGGGATTGGGTCAGGATGGCATTTAAAAAAAAAAGAAGAGGATTTTTGTTTTTTGTTGGTGTGGGATGGGACGGGGGTGAAAGACAACGTTCCTTTGTCAGCCTCTGCTTCAGACTTCGGTCTTTACAATGTTTCTTCAGTGGAAACGTTTGGGATGGGAGAGATTCTGTTGGGATTTATTTGGAAGGGATTTTACATTTTATTATTCTGGCCTGGGATTGGGATGGGACGGGATTATTTTTGTGGGTGTGGGATGGGACGGGGGTGAAAGACAACACATCTTGTGTCATCCTCTGCCTCAGACTTCAGTCTTTACAGTTTTTTCTAACATATGTCTTCAGTGGAAAATATTTCAAACAAGTTCCACTCCTTTTTGAAAAGTTAGACCCCAAAAACCTGAGCGAGCAAAACCAATTATCTGAAAGAATTTGAGTCGACCTCATAAAAAGAACAAGACAATGTTTTTTCTTTCTTTTCTTTGAAATCAAGCTTTTCAAGAATGAGCAATCACATCAGACCTTTCCCTCGGTCGCCTCTTTGGTTTCATGGATTTAAAACAGCACGGGTCAAAACTGTTTACTGACGTAAACCCTGAGCAGACACAAGGAGCCAGAACTCAATATTTAAAAAAAGAAGGGACACATGTGTAATCCTTCCTTCCTTTCCAGTCAGTGCAGTCACTCAGGGCCTCTTTAACCCGCTCTGCACACGCCTCCACACATCAGCACACGATCACGCTGAAGTGGAAAAAGTTGAAGTCATAGTCCCCACATGTGTGAGCAGGAATGTGACGTCTCTGTTCTCCTTCTTTCATCTTTATTTGAAGCTCGGTTTCCTGCTCAGCCGGAGACTCAATCCAGACCGTGTGTGTGTGTGCGTGCGTGCGTGCGTGCGTGCGTGCGTGCGTGCGTGCGTGCGTGCGTGCGTGCGTGCGTGCGTGCGTGCGTGCGTGCGTGCGTGCGTGCGTGCGTGCGTGTGTGCGTGTGTAAATAGCAGATAGTTAAAGTGTGAACTACAAACAGGTCTTTTTCTCTCGTTTACTGAGGGTAGAAGAAGAAGAACACTGAAACATGACCGTGTTGTTCTCCATGTTTGGACGGAGGAATGTGTCTTACAGGATAATTTTAGAAAAGAGTTTAGACGGCCGAGGAGACTCATTAAAATAAATTTATGACTCCCACCTTCCAGTTTTCTTCACTTTTGAATGAACTTGAAGTTACCACCTAAACATTTAAAGTTCTTCTGACCCATTTCATCTTCCCTCCTGTGACTGGAGACTCTCTCAGTTTCTTCTGCACTTTTTTAAGTACTCAAAGACACTTAAAATTTTATTGCAATCTTTACATTCAAATATCAAAAACAAAAATAAAAATTGACTAAACCGATGTTAGATATATTTTTTTGTTGAGTGCTTCCATCACCTCAAATATTTCCAACAGTTATCAAAACCAGAGAAATCCTTCATTTTACCCTTTATTTTGTGTCTGTCGGCAGCCGCCATGACAGACACAAAATCTTTATCGTTGCCGTGGAAACACCGGTTGTTGCGTCTAAGACCGCTGCATAAAGAAGTTTGATCTGCTAGGTCGGTTTCACCCGTTCGTCTTGACTACGGGTAGTACGGAGTTCGTTTTCACCGGGGGAAGGAGGGATTGGCAAAGAAAACCCCCATGATTCCCCGCCAGCCTCGACGTCATCTCTTGTTATTGTTCTGATCGAGAGCCCCCTGGTGGCGGATTTTACATACTGTGAAGAGTATCTGTTAAGATTCTGCCTTTGTGCGTGATGCTTCCAGAATTCAAAATCAGTTGGCCGCTCATGCAGAAAACGATAGCCAATTGGGAATGAGCGGACTGAAGAAGGAAGCAGAACAACAACAGCAAATTCCTTCTTACTCACCCTCATGCTCTTAACATGTGCAGCCCTTGTTCATTTCCACGACTTCATCCATAGTGACAGATTTGGTGAGATCTCCAGTGTTCAGAGTCAGGACTCGTACTGTGTGTGGTGTGCTGTTTTGCTCCTATCGTTGCTCTCCACACAAAGTGTATTTGCCGCCGTGTGTTGACTTTCTCAACCTTTTCAACATCTGTTCTTCAAATCTTCCCTTAGTGGGTCAGCCGTTAGTGAAGCGTTCACACAGTGTGACGTTGTTGAGTCTCTGCAGCCTCGTGCTCACAGACGCAGCAGCGGGAAGTCGACTCCTCTCCTCTCTCGCTGGTATCATCCACATATGAAACCTGATCGGCTCCGATGAGACCTGCACATGTCAACATCAGTCCTGTTAAAGCATCATTACTCCGCTCTCATTCACTCAGGTGCACTTAGCTTATAGCTTCGACCCTGTGCCCCCCTCGTGCAACACACACACACACACACACACTTACACACACTTGTATGCAGTCCCAGTACTGTATATTGAAGCCATTAGGCAGCACTTAGACCGGGCTTCACTGTTATCATAACGACATGCAACTGGAGCCAATCTGCATCCAGCACGCTCTGAGCAGGAGATAACGGGATCTGCTGTGACGGTATAGAAACATGTCGGAGCTGGTTGTTCATGTCCTGAATGTAGCAGATAGAAATCTCTTAAAAAGGAAACATTAAATATGAGCTTTCATGTTGTAGACATGGACATGAAAGTGCTGTGAAATCTTCAGAAAAATGCAGAAGCAGAAAATATATTACTCCTTACATAAAGATAAATTCTACATTTCATTCAGCAGTCGCGTTTATCCAAAAGGAGGAACATCAGAGAGTACGAACAACACAAGCAGGAAGTGCAAATCAAACAGATGTATGTCTGATCGGACACACAGGTGCTGCTCAGAGGTCTATAGCCTCTGTACACGGGGCGTGTGAGGCTACCAGCGTCCCATACGCTGCATGTTGCTAAACATTTTCACTACACTGTTGTAGTTTATCGTCTTTTCTTTACAGATGTCATCTTTGTTGTATTATATAACAGCTAAATGTTGCCTCAGTGTGACAGTGGAAGTTTGAGCTGAAGTGAAATGAGCTGAAACAGAGAGCACGATGCTGAAGGGTATAAATAAAAACCTCTCTCAGCCTAGAGAGGGACAGATAATGGACAGTGATGGCAGAGAGGGGGAGGGAAACATTTGGATGTCTGATGGGCAGCAAAAGAAAAGTAGTCAAAACAACTCAGCAGAAAGATTTAGGAAGGGAAATAGAGACATGGAGCAGATTTATCAGCTTTGTTGTTCTCTAAAACGTAACACCTCCACGTCTGGACATTTTCTATTATCTGGCAGAATTTGTTGCCCAGATTGTTCAGATTTAAAGAGACACATCCGGGGATTTCTTGCGTCATATTTTTCTTACCTCACCCCTCTAACGCAGCAGTCCTGTCTCGTTCTGCCCCGCAGGTGGCGCTGGTTTTCCCGAACAACGACCCTGCTGCCTTCATGACGGCGTTTTACGGCTGTCTGCTGGCCGAGGTCGTCCCCGTGCCGATAGAGGTGCCGCTGACCAGGAAGGTAAGCTTTCATGACGCACACACACAGAGCATACTGAGACGGTTTCTCTCATATTCTGCACCTTGCTCTGTGGATAAGAAAAGTACATTCATTTAAGTTGCAAAGTCCCAGAAGTTGTATAACTCTCTTCCATAACAAGCAGACATGCATGAAAAAACACCTGCATGTGTATAAAGTATCAACAGAGAAAATTAGAAAGCCAGTCAAACAGGAAACTGAGAGAAAGAAGCAGAAAAATGTGTCAATAAAAATGATTTTTTTTATTGTTTTGCAAAGTTTCCTCTAACACTAACTTTTCCAGTTTTGGTCTTTGTTGTCTTTATTGTGTTCAAACCACAAAGTGTATACAAAGATGGACGTCAAGACAGCCTTAAAAAAGTGAGGCCAAAACACTGACTGGCTGCGGTATAGGTCATAAGCTCCGCCTCCTCCATGTTAACAGACGGGACATGGGTCAAACTGTAAAATCAAGATATATTTATTTATATGTTGCAGTGACCCCAAATGAACAGTGTGTAGAGCAAAGGCTCATGGGAATGTTTAAAGCCCAGTCATGTGGTTGTTAATAATTGATAATTGCACGTGTTTAATGGCGTTTCCACGGTGATGAAGAATGTAATTTCAGTTCATGTTTGTTACACTGAGTGTGAGAGCTGTCGCATTTATAGACCTCTGACCTCTGACCTCTGACATTACATAATGTCTGTTATTTATTACAATGGGGCGGCAGTGGCTCAGTGGTAGAGTCGGTTGTTTACGGAAGGGTCGGGGGTTCGATCCCCAGCTCCTGCAGCCACATGTCCTTAACCCCAAGAGTATGAATTTTACCCAGCAGCCTCTACCATCAGTGTGTGAGTGTGTAGGTGTGACCTGCGGTGTAAAAACACTTTGAGTAGTCAGAAAACTAGAAAAGCTCAAGTCCAGGTACCACAAAATGAAGAAGAAATCTTTTAGTCGTTTTATTCATGCAGACAGAGAAAGAGAGAAACCGTTCGGCTGCTCTCTGTTGTTTGTTTGTCCTCAGGCCGTTTCTTCTTTTCTTCACGTCAGGCAGCATTAGGGAGAGAGAAAAAGACACTTAGCACAGTCTAACAGCGTTAATTCACACCAGTCGATGGTCCCGATTCTCCGCCGGGGGGTTAGGGGGGGATTGTGTTAAACACATGAGTCATTAGAAAGGGGGCCGCGGTGAGTCACAGTGCAGCACAGAGGACACTGCTGAGAGTTAATCAGAGCCAAACGTCTGTGAAGAAAACACAGAGTCATGTTTGAGTCATGGCCGCAGAGAGCCGTAACTGTCCAATCAGGAGGGGCCGAAGTGTGTGTGTCACAGTCAGCAGAGGTCGGAGAGCAAAGGGGGGTGATCGGGAACAAGAAGCAGATATTTATGTGTTTCACAGTCAGATGATGATTCTCTGTGTCTCCCTCCAGGACGCAGGCAGTCAGCAGATCGGCTTCCTGTTGGGGAGCTGTGGAGTGACGGCGGCTCTGACCAGCGACGCCTGCCATAAAGGGTTACCCAAGAGTCCCACTGGAGAGATCCCACAGTTCAAAGGTCTCACTGAACTACACACTGACATGTTATCCCCTCACACAGAGGCACAAACTCACAAACAGGAAGTGATTCACAGAAAGACTCGATATTAAGTGTGGGAAGAAATGCAACAAAAAACAGTTCAAACCGCTGTGGAAACGTTTTTCATTCACCTGTGAAAATATTTATTTCCTGAAATAACAACTTGCTCTGTTTCTCTGAATTTAAAACTTCACTATTTTGTGAATTCAAAAAAACAGAGAAGATTTTGATGGTTTCATTCAACGTTTCTCGTATTTCCAAGAGAATCGTCTCGTTCATTAAATAAAAACGGAAGAAGATTTTTCCTCAGATGTAACACTGAGCAGTCAGATCATCTGTTCCACTTTGGGAGAAAGTGTTTTTTTATTCGGTCGTTTCAGTTTCTTGGTTGGCGTGCTCTAGTTATTTCTCTGGGACGTTTTCATCATGGATGTTATGCATCTCTTTTCTAGGCCGACAATTTCTTCATTTTACAGCTTAGCTCGAATTAAAAACACATCGGTCATAGTCAGTCAGTCGGCCAGTCAGGAAACAGACGTCTGTTGATGTTAGTGTCTGGGGAAAACGCAGCACAGGGTCATCCATGATTAACTGATGAAATTTAGTAATTAATCAGATTTTTAACTGTTTTTCAGCCCTAAAATTTCTGAAATGATTTTATTCAGGCACACAAAATTACAACACTGTAAACACATACAGTGAGCATTTAACTACACACACACACACACACACACACACACACACACACACACACTGGTGATGAGCTGACAGACTGATGGAGACAGACAGCTCCCCGAGTAATGGATGACAGGATGATAGAGAGACACAGAGGGAGAGAGAGTGGAGGAACAGAAAGTGAGAGAGGATAAAGTCAGTGAGGCAGAATTTGTAAATCGATGGGGAAGCGGCTGACAAGACGGAGGAGAGAGCGAGAGAGCGGATGGAAGGAGACACATGATGAATGAGGGGGTCGAGAGACATTAACGCTGAACAGAGAGAGAGAGAGAGAGAACCGGCGAGTGATGAATAACCACCGTTTGCTTTTCAGTAATGGATGTATAAATAGCAACATGATGCCGCCAGATTTACTGCACCTCACTCAATATGGGCCTGCCAGTGTGTGTGTGTGCGTGCGTGCGTGCGTGCGTGCGTGCGTGCGTGCGTGTCTCATTAAGGTGAAGTGCTCCTCTTATTGATCAGCAGGCTTTAAACTCGTCTCGTCCACGCTGCTGATTCGGTCTTCTGCCTCGCTGCTCAGACGGGAACAGGATTTAACATCCACTCAGCAGAGAGCAGCGTGTCCTTCTCGTAGATATTAATACATCTCTCTTTAACAATGGAGCTCAACGTATGCAGTGCTGTCTCATCTGCGGAGGCGCTGCTCGTCAACAGGCAAAGGGAAGCACCTGCTTTGGGGCCCCGGACCAGTAGGGGGCCCCAAAGCAGCGGCCTAAAAATGTGCAAATTTTGCAATGGCGGTGGGAAACCTCCCTAAGTGTCCCCGTCTGACATCACTCTTTCTCGTTGCCCTGCTGATTGTTGGTTAGAGGGCCCTCCAATTGACATTTGCCGAGGGCCCCAACAGATCAAATTGCCACTGCTCATCTGTGAGATCAGGAACCGTTTAGAAATCAAATCTTGCCACTGTTTCAAACATTTCAGGGGCTTAATGGCGACGTAAAAAATGTGCAAAAAGTCTCTGAATTACCTCTCAAGTTTGCTTCATCCTGCAGCAATTAAAGGGTCTTTAACAGCTGGAAAGGGGTCTGTCAGATAGGACGCGGTGGGCGCTGCGTGCAGATGTCGATCCAATTCATTGTTTATTGTGTTGCTCAGGGTAAGAGCGTATTGCCTCGCTGCCGAGTTGAGCGCACAGAAGTTAAAACTTGAGCGCAGCGCTCCCTGACGTTACCTCTGCTCGTCCAATAGGAGGATAGCTCAGATCACAACAAACGGTGTCTCACTTTCCTGAGCTCTAGTTTAACGACCTACCGGGACATCGGCAAGAGAATCTCTTGTTTGGAAAGTTTGGGCGTACCCAGGTGTGTTTCAGACAGCAGCAGTAATGTGTGTCATCATGCTCGTGAAGCGCAGGAGTTTCCTTCTACTTTGTTTTGTAAAATTAGAAGTTCAGCTCCCACATAAAGCTGGAATGGATGCAGGCCAAGTCGAATGTGAGTCAGTATTTGTTCCTGTCCCAATCCAGGTGAAATTAGAATAAAAAAAATAATTATTTTTTTGGGGGGTTAGGGAGATAACATCAACCTGTAAATGTTTTTTGTTTTGGATTTTGAAAATTAAAAAAAAATCAGGGAATCGAAAAAGAACAAGTACTTTGAGTTTTCTGTTGTATCTTTCATAACAACTGATTTACACGTGTGTGTGTGTGTGTGTGTGTGTGTGTGTGTGTGTGTGTGTGTGTGTGTGTGTGTGTGTGTGTGTGTGTGTGTGTGTGTGTGTGTGTGTGTGTGTGTGTGTGTGTGTGTGTGTGTGTGTGTGTGTGTGTGTGTGTGTGTGTGTGTGTGTGTGTGTGTGTGTGTGTGTGTGTGTGTGTGTCCAGGCTGGCCCAAGTTGCTGTGGATCGTCACCGAGTCCAAACACCTCTCCAAACCTCCCCGAGACTGGTTTCCAAATATCAAGGACGCCAACCAGGACACGGCCTACATCGAGGTAACACACACACACACACACACACACACACACACATAACACTGATGCATGTCTACTCTGGGACTCTGAAACATTCCCACTCGGTGTAGTCGCGCTCGTTACTTGAATGGAAATCGATGGTGCTGCATGTCTTTCAGATTCAAATCACCGCAGAGTGGATGTTTCTTTGTTTCTCTGCGCGGCCGCCCGGTCAATGCTCATCATCAGCTCTGCTTCATTTAGAATTTACCTGACTTCCCCTTAAAGCCGCGGGGGGAAGTAATTGCACCGGCAGCGAGGTGAAATGTCTCCTTGATTGCACCGGGGGATTGAAAAAAGGCCAAAAGGAAAAAATAATGGAAGACGAGGGGTAGATTGAAAAACGATCGACAGGCCGCGTCTCAGACTGTCGGGGCGGATTTAAACCACTCAAAGAGATGAAGTCTTTTCATATTTCTCAGCATCAGTAACTTCTTATCGTTCCAGGATAAAATCTCCACACGATTCACGACTTAATAGCAGCACAGATTGCGTTTTGATTAAAAACCGAGGATTCATCGTTTTGACAAAGACGATATGTTATTTTTGGAAGGGATCACGTTGATGCTCCACCTCACAGCACTCAGACACCAATTTGGTTTTTAAGAAGAAGAGCCTTGTATACATCGATCCTTAGTGCCGTTCAGACCGCCGTTTCACCTTCAGTCTGAATGTTGCATAGGGAGGTGAAGTGATCCCTCCTCTGTACCGTCTTCAGAGGTAGAAACAGAGGCGTTACAGAGGAGCGAGGGAGCACAGCGCTGAATTCACAGTGTGAATTCACAGACTGTACCACCAATATCACGCCGTCACAGAATCAATATGAATGTACAAAGACGTGATGACGGCTGAGCTCAGTTATGACACTTTTTGTTTCTCTACATCTGATTCTAGCCGACTTCTGGCGCCGACGCGAGTGGCCGCCTATCCAGTAGCTCCGTCCCTGTCGTATTCATATTTAATATTTTATCGGTGTTTTTGCTAACCTTACTTTTTTAGTACACTTAAGCGCTCCCTCTGTTGGATTCACGTCTTTGTTTGAATCCTCCCAAACACCACAAAGTACACTCAGCATTAAGTCGACTCCCTCTTCTTCTGTGTGTGCAGTATAAGACGTGTAAGGACGGCAGCGTCCTCGGCGTGACGGTGATGAGGATAGCCATGCTCACACACTGCCAGGCGCTCACACAGTCCTGCTCCTACACTGAAGGTAACACACACACACACACACACACACACACACACACACATTTTACACTCATTAAACTTTACATATACAGTAATGTGATGTTTGTGTTCCTCTGTCCTCGTTCAGCGGAGACCGTGGTGAATGTATTAGACTTCAAGAAGGAAGTGGGGCTGTGGCACGCCGTCCTGACAGTAAGACACAAACGTTTCAAATTATGAATGAAAGAAGAACAGTTAACTTTTATTTAATTAAAAATCTTTAATTCACATCTTGATACAAAATGGATGTTCTTCTGTAAGTACTTTTCAGATGACGCAAACATTAAAAAACTTTGTGTGTGTGTCTCTGTCAGAGTGTGATGAACATGATGCACGTCATCAGTATCCCCTACGCCCTCATGAAGGTCAACCCTCTGTCCTGGATCCAAAAAGTCTGCCAGTACAAAGGTAAACCAGTCAGCTGGTTTCTACTACTAACCAGGATCTGATTGTTATTTTAAAAATCTGACAACATAGTGTTTTAGTCAAGACCACAACGAGACCACGACCTGCCTGAGACCAGACTGCTCCGAGACCGAGACAAGACCAAGACATTTAGGGATCAAGACTGAGTCAAGACCAAGACATTTAGGGATCTAGACCAAGACAAGACCAAGACATTTAGGGATCAAGACTGAGTCAAGACCAAGATATTTAGGGATCAAGACCAAAGCAGGGCACCTAAGACGCTCTTGATCAAAGTTCTAACCTGTGATGCTGGTGTGTGTTTCTGTGTCCAGCTAAGGTGGCGTGTGTGAAGTCTCGGGACATGCACTGGGCTCTGGTGGCCCATCGGGACCAGCGAGACATCAACCTCGGCTCCCTGCGCATGCTGGTGGTGGCTGATGGATCAAATCCCTGTAAGAACTCTCAAGTTTCAGATTGATGAGCGATTGAAGTTGCTTCTTGACGTCCAAAACAACCTTCTGACTTTTTACATGTTGTCTCTCAGGGTCGATCTCCTCCTGCGACGCCTTCCTCAACGTCTTCCAGTCCAAAGGTTTGAAGCCCGAGGTCATTTGTCCCTGTGCCAGCTCCCCCGAGGCTCTGACTGTAGCAATCAGGAGGTACACACAAACACACACACACAAACACACTTACACACACATACAGGCAAAAACAAACACATATCCAGGGGCGCTGCTGCTCATCCCAAAATGTGCAAATTTTGCAGTGACAGTCGGAAACCTCCCTAAGGGGGCCCCATCTGACAGCACTCACTCTCATTGCCCCTGAAATTAACCACTCAGTCACAAAACGTTCTCCTGATATCTGTCCCCAAAGCACGTTTTGAAACAATGGAAACCGCTTTTGGAAGCGGTTCCAAAAACACAAAACTGAAAAGTCAGAAGTTAAAATGTCTTAAATAAGAGGCAGGGCTTTAAAAGACGATAAAAATAACGACCTAAGTAAAAAAAACTTTAAACATGCATTACAGTCGAAGCAGGTTTCAGCTGTGATTTAAGCGCCCTGCTTTTCATTAAGACACCGTAAAAGCCTTTCTATGTGTGTGTGCCTGTGAGCACTTTGCCTCAGCGGGTGTGTCAGTAATGAACTCCCTTTATTTTCAGAGGAGCTGCTTTAGGTCTCATAAAAGTCACAGATAGAAACCACCTTCACACCCTGGTGTAAAACTGAGGCCCTCACATCTCCCACATTGTCCTGACTTTCCAAATACACTGTGTTTTTTTCTCTTTCTTTACACGGTATCACCTTTTTAAAAAGTTTAAGAATCGCCCTTGCACTTCCAAAAGTGGTCTCCTTTGTTTTTAGACTTCCTGCTCTCGACTCCGAGAGCAGGAAGCAAATTGTTCTTCCTGAAACAGAACTTTTTCATTTCCTACTGAAAAGAGTCAGACCAGTCACAAGACAGAAGGCGGGACATAACGTTGGGATGAATTTGATTGGATCGTTAGCTTCGACAAAGCTTTGTAAATGGTTGAAAAATGAGTACACGCCCCTGAGTGCAGGACGAGTCCTCAGACGTTTGACACGTTTTACAGGAAGAGAAAAAACTGTTAATTAGATTTAAGAAATACTCTGATGATGATTTATTGAAATATATTTGGCAGATAAATGAACATTTCACAAAGTAACGTTGGATCAAACACAGGGAAAATGTTGTAATTTCAAACTTCTCTCACTTTCTGAACGTTTGTGTAAAGTTGACTTATTAAGCTGATCCTCATCTTAAAACTCACTTATAGTGGTACAATGCTGGATGTTTAAATTAAACATGGGCAAAGGTTTCAGATCATGAGGTAAACGTGTGTTGGAGTAATCCCAGCATGAGTCTGCAGAGGGCGCTAAACGGGCAATAGTTCCCCGATATGAAAATCAAGAACTTCACCAGACGGCTTCAAGCCTCTCTAAGCCACTGAAACCTCTCACATAGGCTCTCTTCTCCCAGTACTGGAGAGTAGCCCCTCCCCTGGCAGCCCTGCAGCGTTCTGCCCCCTCAGAAGGATTCCAGAGAGCTGGCCAATCAGAAGAGAGTGGGCACATGGGGAGGGGGGCCTTAAAGAAACAGCTGCTGAAACAAGATGCTCCAGGCAGAGGCTGAAATGAGAGTTTTTACTGACTCCAGTATCAGATGAATAAGGAGGTTTTTGAGCCGAAAATCATTTAAATGTCCTCAACAGGTTTCACAGACCGATGACATGAAATCTGAACATGAGGAGAAGATGGGATCTTTATTTAACACAAAAATCTGCAAACATTTCTTTGCTTTCCAATAATTCCAGCAAACATCCTCGTCTATTACTAAACCACTTCCCACTGAATGAAACCTTCCTGTACTTTTTTAAAAATATCCCAGAACTTCCCTCATTCTTTGAATTTATTATGACGATTATTAGAGCACACAGCACTTCATCAGCCTCCATGAAATCTGATTGGCTGTCTCTGCTGCTCCTCCTACAGGCCCTTGGAGGAGGGCAGCACCCCTCCCGGTCGCGGCGTCTTGTCCATGCAGGGTCTGAGTCACGGCGTGATCCGGGTGGACTCAGAGGAGAAGCTATCAGTCCTAACGCTGCAGGATGTCGGCTCCGTCATGCCCGGAGGTGAGTCGAGTGGTCCAGGTGTTCATACTGAACCTTAAATAAACCTTTAACTTTTTTTAAATTCAATTTAAGATCAGTTTGACTGCTTTTGAATACAAATCCCGCCCAAATGGTCTTGAGTCAAATGTTTGTGAATCAGCGTTCGCTCCTTAAATTCTTCTGACAAATCCTCTATCCTATGTTTTTGTCCTTCTGTGCATCTTGCTTTTGATTATTAAGATTTGTAAGCAAACTCCTTCACTCTGCCAAAATGCAAATCTGTCTGCAGGTTTGATGTGTGTGGTGAGGCCTGAAGGTGTTCCTCAGCTCTGCAAAACTGACGAGATTGGAGAGTTGTGCGTTTGTACCGTTGCCACGGGAACCTCTTACTACGGTTTAGCCGGCATGACCAAGAACACGTTCGAGGTAAGTGTGTTTGGTTTATTTTCTCCTGGTCTCCATTAAAAAACAGTTTTCTTACTTTGTCTCTGAACACACCTTTAGGTCTTCCCCACGTCAAACAACGGGGCTCCCATCAGTGAGTTCCCCTTCACCAGGACCGGCCTGCTGGGCTTCATCGGGCCTGCGGGTCTGATCTTTGTGGCCGGGAAGATGGATGGTCTGATGGTGGTCGGGACGCGTCAGCACAACGCTGACGACATCGTGGCTACGGCGCTCGCTGTGGAGCCGATGAAGTTTGTGTACAGGGGAAGGTTAGTGTTGTTGACCCGTCTGTGTCAGGGGGCCCCAGAGGGCTGTCAAACTTTGAACCACAGCAGCAAACCCAAAATGTGCAAATTTTGCAATGACCATAGGAAACCTCCCTATGGGGGCCCCATCTGGCAACATTCGCTCTCATTGCCCCCGAATTAACTTTTGCCCAGGGCCCCCATCAGACTCTAGAATCGCCACTGCCAGGGGCGTTGCTTGACAACAGGCAAGGCAGCATGGGGCCCCAGACCAGTAGGGGGGCCCCAGAGGGCTGTCAAACTTTAAAACCACAGCAGCAAACCCAAAATGTGCAAATTTTGCAATGACCATAGGAAGCCTCCCTATGGGGGCCCCACCTGGCAGCATTCACTCTCATTGCCCCCAAAATTAAATTTTGCCCAGGGCCCCCATCAGACTCTAGAATCGCCACTGAGTCCGTGTGTCCGTGTCTCCAGGATTGCCGTGTTCTCCATCACGGTTCTTCACGACGAGAGGATGGTGGTCGTGGCGGAGCAGCGGCCCGACTCCACCGAGGAGGACAGCTTCCAGTGGATGAGCCGAGTCCTGCAGGTGAAACACTTTTCAAACATGGCCGCTCTGTCTCAGTGTCCACTTTGTTTTCTCAAGAAACCTCGTTTTCTCTCGGGGAAGTGATCGGGGAATATGTTGATATTTTTAAGAAGTTGATAGATCCACAGGTAAGCTCCTGATTTTTATTCAGGTTTCCTGCTGAGACAGGTGAGGCTGCAATGGATTACAATATTCACACAGGACACACACTCTTTGGACATCACATTTCTGTCTCTTAGAATCTGTCAGACTCTCGTTATCTTGCTTTCTCTCTCTCTAACACACACACACACACACACAGATATGATAATGTACTGTACGTTCATATGGTGCAGATACAAATCTCAGTGGTAGCTCCGGCTCCTCATCTCTCTCTGAGCCCGCATGGAGACTGCGGTCAAACTATAAAAGCCGTCTGCATTTTTACGACTGCAATAAAACCCCAGATCTCTCTATTCCTTCAGCATCTCACATTTTTCCACCGAGCTCTTCATGGTCAGAGACACACTCATCGTTCATCTGGATGACTGGATGTGATGTAACATTAGACGACAGGGGCTGAGAAAACGGCTGTGCTGCTGTTTAGCATTAAGAATGAGTCGGAATGTTTCCTCTCATTGAAACGGTTTGTTGTGTTGTAGTGGAGACTTTTGATATCGTTATAGCTCTCATTCCAGAAAGATATTAAGATATCATTACAGTTATTTAATTGTATTTACTCTGATACTTTCCGAAATTAAATCACAACACGCATAAATCCCAAATGAGCAGGGGGGCGTGTCCAGACTTACTGGGCTGGGGAACTGACCTGTGCAGGGGTGGCCTGAAGTTTGTGTTCACAAATATGAATAAAAAGCATTTATTTACCTAATCTGTCTCCACCAATCACTTCAATGTTTAAGTAACAAAAAGATAATTGCAACATCACCAACATCTCCTAAAATGATACATAAGTCCAAAGTCACAATTTAAATCCGCACACTGAAAACTATGAGCTGCCTGAATGGTGGATTTCAACATATGTCCCACTTCTGGCAAGTGTTTTCTACTCTGACACCTAGTGTTTAAAATGAGTACTGCAGTCCAAATTCTAAACATTGTAGAGAGCTGTCTCCCCCCTCCTCTCTATAGTGGATGCTCACTCAGGTCACCATGTGGTGGACTCTGAAGCTTCAGTGTTTATCCAGCTCTGCATGGGTCTGTAAACCTTTCTGTGTTCTAACCTCTCTCCATTTTTCAAAAGCATCTCCAATATTGATCCTAGTTTGGATTTCAACATACGTCCCACTTCTGGCAAGGCAAATAACAAATCATAGTTGAGGGGTGGCCAATAAGATTTCAAGGGGGGCCCATGGCCAACCCCTCTGGACACGCCCCTGCCAATGAGGGACCTTTTTGTAATCCTGCTGAACCTGTCCAAAAAGCCTTTATACTCTGCTCATAAGAATGATTATATTTATAAAACTGAAACAACTTTCTTTGTCTCCTAACGCTTGAAGATGCCGTTTGTTTTGTCTCTAACGGTGTTTTTCTGTCACATTTTGAACGTTCCAGGCTATAGATGGTATCCATCAGGTGGGGGTGTACTGCCTGGCCCTCGTGCCCTCCAACACTCTGCCTAAGACTCCCCTGGGTGGCATCCACCTGTCAGAGACCAAGCAGCTGTTCCTGGAGGGGTCGCTGCACCCCTGCAACGTGCTCATGTGTCCGCACACCTGCGTCACCAACCTGCCCAAACCGCGGCAGAAACAGCCAGGTGGGTAAGAGCGTAAACGAACGAGTTGTTGTTAAGTCGGCTACACGCTGACTGCAGCGGGAGCTAAGAGGATTCAGTTTTACTGCACAGTCCCATTACATGTGTATAAAACCTTCGTCTTCTCTTCCTCGTCTCCCTCAGAGATCGGTCCTGCGTCGGTGATGGTCGGGAACCTGGTGTCGGGGAAGAGGATCGCTCAGGCCAGCGGCAGAGATCTGGGTCAGATTGAAGACAATGACCAGGCAAGGAAGGTGTGTGTGAGAGCGGGGCTGCTGGTTTTCACCATAGTCTTCATCACACACACACACACACACACACACACACACACACACACACACACACACACACACACACTTTTTCTTGTCATGTGTCTTTGAATCCATTTGTCATTTTCATTTTAATCACAGTCATACTCATCATCTTTGTTCCATTTGTTTGGATCATTTCCTGTCAGTTTACCCTTTAATTTACTTTAAAGGAGCAGTATGTAACTCTGACCCTAGTGTTTAAAATCGGTTCTGCAGTCTGAATTCTAAACATTGCAGAGAGCTGTCTCCCCCCCTCCTCTCTAGAGTGGATGCTCACTCAGGTCACCATGTGGTGGACTCTGAAGCTTCAGTGTTTATCCAGCTCTGCATGGGTCTGTAAACCTTTCTGTGTTCTAACCTCTCTCCATTTTTCAAAAGCATCTCCAATATTGATCCTAGTTTGAGCACGTTTCTGCTCGTGGAGCTTATTAGAAACATGCAGAGGCTTTTTAGGTCGGGTACAATCACTTCTATCTGAACCACTTCTCTTGACCCGCTTCCATCGCTGCAACACCTGTTGACTTGATAACTGCTCTCATATCTGGTGAACCGAGGGGCGTCCAAAACGGCCGTGTGGGGGGTTGCCTTAAAACCGTCTACCTTCTCTGGTCCAAACAAATCCAGATCATTCAGGAGCAGAATCTAAAGTTAGAAGGAGGACATACTGGCTGCTGCATTGTTGTCAGAGAAGCCAGCACTTCAACATAGCATGTTTCCTTAATGTCTGATCAGATAGTGAGGTCACTTTATCATTTCAATCAGTAGATATCTCACTGATTGGACTTTTAAATACATTAATTTATTACAGCTTTCATTGTACCAGTGAATTTGTTAGTTTTTTTCCAGTGTTGCTTCTAATTAAGCTAAATTTACATTTAAAGGAATTTCAGATGGATATCTTCTCTTTTAACGTGTTCAGTATAGACATAAAAATGAAGCTGATTTAGCTTTAAATAAAGTCTCATGCCGACTGGTGATGGTTATGTAAGTGTGGGAAGAAGGTGATTGTGTTTGTGTGCTGTGACAGCTCTGCTCAGGTCATATTCCTGCAAACAGAAGAGAATAAAACAGAAAGAGCTGGTGTTGCAAACAAAATCATCCAAATATAAAAAATAAAAAATATAGGCGTGAAGATGGAGAAAATGAGAAATGAAATAAAACACAGAGAAGAGGAGAAGAAAACAGAAAGTAATGAAAGTGGAGACACAACAACAGACGATGGAGAGGAACATGCGGTGTGTGAAACTGACGCACCTGATTCTTCTCTCGTCTTGGAGCTGAAAATGTGAAATGTGATCAGTAACACACTCTGCAGACTCTAACCAGAAGAGACAGGACAGCACACACAGTGAGGCTGCAGCAGTCTGTCACCAGCTGCTCGCGTAACATGCTGCTCGTCTGGTTTTTACGGTCCGATGTCACCAAAAAGAAGGAAACATTTATGCAGAGAGACGTGTTATCTCGTTTTTTGGCAACTTTTCTCAGCAGATGAAGCAGAGGCTCGGACTTTAGTTTTTACTTTAGGAGAGAATTTGGTTGAATTTTTCTGGCAGGCGAGATCTGGGTCAAAAGGATATGATAATAATTCTTGAAATAATGTCTCGACTTTAAAGTAAATTCTTGCTGTTCAGTTGATATTTGCGTCGGCGTCTGCTGCTGGATGATCATCGGGTTGTGCAGCTTTTATTCTTAAATGTTCTCATGGTTGTTGCTCCTCCTCCTGCTGCTGCTGCGTCTCGCTGACAATATGTCCATTAACTTACTCATCATTCATCCATCACAGCATGCCTTCACATCTCTGAGGTACCTCCTCCTCCTCTTCCTCCTCCTCCTCCTCTCCATGTCCATCCTGTCTGAAAACCCAGCCCTCTGTGTGGATGAGCTCCTCTTACTCTTCAGAGTGTCGGTGCTGCTGTTTTTTTCTTTTTGTGTTTGTGTGATTCTGTGAAATGTGATTTAGCTCGAGTGCCTTCTCAGATTCCTCTTGTGATTATATTTATTTAGCCAGCAAAGGTCGACTGAGCTCTGTGCTGCAAAACACTGAGTCTGACTCAAACACAGAGCTGCTGTAGTCCAGAGTTTGACTACAGACATCAACAGGGGAGTAATAAGAGATGCAAGATCCACTTTTTTTCAGATTCTTAAACATATGTATCGATATTTTTACATCATAACTATTAATGTTGTTGTTGTTGTTGTTGTTATGTGTGAGGCATTATATTCCATTGAGCTGGCTTCACATACAAACAGAAAGCAGCAACAGCTGTCAGGTTTTTCAAATTAAAATCTTGTAAACTGAATGTAAGAATTGTACTTTTTAGCGTACAGAAGAAGCTGTTCAATCTCGTCTGAACGTCGTCATGGAGACGATTTGTGGACACTTCTGACAGTTTAGTCTGAATGTCTTTAAAGTGAGACCGAGCGAGTTGATAAAGTTTAAAGTGACCAACCTAACCTGTGACTCATAGCTCATTCTGTGTCAACGTCTGTGCGATGTGAAGCTACGAGCTAACCAATGGTTTTTGGAGGTGTGTCTCTGGAGGAGAGCGGAGGCTTCAGGATGGAGGAGGCGTGGCCAAACAGCAGTTTGTTTTGGTTTCATGCTGGAGCTCGAGGGCGACATCTACTGGATTAAAAAGTTGACCATTCTTCCTTTAAAAGAGATTATATAGAGATAGTTAGTCGTATTGATGATGATGAGTCAGGAACATTTTTAGTAGGTTTGATGACCATCTTAAAAAAACCTCCTTGTGGAAATTTTGATGAAAAGTAGAAATCCCTGAAATGTAGAAGGTCCAAATAATTATCCACCATTGTTGTATTGTTTGTAGGGAAACAGTTAAAGGGGGGGGGGGGTTCGGCCCGGCAACAGAAAGCAGAAAGGTTTGTCTTCAAATATTTCCATTTGAGCTCCGGGGGGCTCGAAGCAGCAGCGATTCAAAGTAGATCCCTCTAATGTCAGCTTTGTGATTTTAATAAAAATCTGGCTTTTAGATTCTGCTCTAAAGGTTTATCCATCTTATTTAGAAATTTAAGAGACGTACAGTTCGTTACCCGCCAGGTGGTCGACGAGTTCAGTTTCAGTGAAATGATCGTCACGTCTGATAATGAAATCTGACACAACTGAGCTGCAGAGAGGTCGTTTTATTAACATGAGGATTCAGCACGGGCCCCCGCAAACTGATAATATTCAACTGAATGAGACCTGATGTTTATCTACAGCCTGGAATCTGACACACACACACACACACACACACACACACACACACACACACACACACACACACACACACACACACACACACAGAGGGTCTTTGTGTTGGTATTTGACATGACGCTCCTCTCTCGTCGAGATAACAGGGTTTTTATCTGGAGGCAGGTTTCAGTTGGTTCCGTCTCTGGCTGCTGTCGAGCTCTGGAAGTTTAACTCGAGGTCACAGCTCCTCTTACGCCACAACACGATCCACAAAGAGAATCTCAGGTGTGCTGTTTTTTTTTTTTTTTAGAAGAAGAAAGCAGAAAACATCACAACATTGAAATCAGCTCGATTAAATTACTAAAACGTCTGGACTTGTAAGGATCCGCTTCGACTGTGTTTAATGTTTCCTACATCTGCTGGTTGACATTCTTCATAGTGCAGCAAAGTGTATATCAAATATATACATTTACCATAAGATTCTATGTATAAAACGCACTTTTAAAACTTGTTTTTTCATCTAAAATATGTGCTGCATCCAAAGCCACCCATAAGGGGGGTCAAAGGGGGGGGGGAGAATTTGATTTGATCCAAAACAGGATTGGAAAACAGAGAAAAACACAAAGGTACAAGACTGTGTTCACCATTGTTTTTTCAGGAGTGAAGGAACTAAACTTCCCACAATCCATTGCGATTCCAACAAGACCCAATAGCACTTCTTTCTGAACGTGCTCTCTTACTTTCCTCAGATTCACACTTTTCTTTGACCGCGTGATGTTTTTCATCGAGGGGGGTTCATCTTTTGGACTTTTTTAAATGGTTGTATCTTCTGCAATGTCTGAAATATTTTATATTCAAGCTAAAAGAGAATTAAGACCTGAATTATCAAATAATGTCAAAGATAAGGATCCTGTGTTGAAGATTTTAAGGGGCGCTGGTTGGCAGGTGGTTGGTTCATGCGCCCCCTTTGTGGTGGCTGTGATCCTTGGGGTGGACAGCCCGGGTTGGGGTCCGACTTGTCGCTCCTTTCCTGCATGTTGTTCCCCACTCTCTCTCTCTTCCTGGTTTCAGACTCTGTCCACTGTCCTATCTTTACAATCGAGGCATAAAAAATTAAACAAATCTTTAAGAAATAAAGACACAATGAGTAAGAGAGATTGTGAGATTGAGATTTGTTCTCAATCCAGTCCTGGTTCTGGACCCCTCCTGGCGGGCTCAGGCCACTGAAATGATGCTCATATGTTACACAGTCGTTGCACACGAGGCCTAACCCAGACAAACGCTCCCACCAAAACGGTCGCTTTGAATGCACGAGGAGGAAAACTGAGAAAATCTGGGGATGAAGCAGACTTTCATTTGCTGTCATGAAAGTTTTATGAAAGCTTTCGACAAGCAGCTGAGTGATGTTTTCATCGGGGGGAGGAAAAAAAAAAAACCTTCTCTAAATCTTTAAACCCCCCCGGGGGAGATTTTTGCGATGCGTGAATCTCGGTGGTGAGAAAATGAGAGCGAATACACGAGTTTAAACATTGAAACAGGAAGCGTTGGCCGACGACGAGCTGAGTGATGTTTTCATCAGGAGAACACTGTGGGGTTATGTTTCTTACCCCCACCGCTGAAAGGGTTCCTGTACGACAGAATCACTCAGATTAACAGCATGATAACTGAGGCCGCCTCGCTCTCTGTGGCCGTCATGTAGAACTCACAGACGGTTAAAGAACACAAGAACGCACACTCAGGAGAAAATCAGCTTGTAAAAGTAGACGTCCTGTGTCAATGGATACGGGAAAGTACAGATTCTGAATGTACTCGCCATGTAAGGGATTTTCTCCTGACCTTGTCGTGATATCGTGAGGAGTCGTGATCGACGGCGTCCAGAGGCTTTCGAGCTGAAGCTGCGGAAAGTCTGTGATGACATCACAGAACACAGCTTCAACAACACCATGAAGGAAACACTTGATTTGTGTTTAGCTTGTTTTTTTCCAGCAGCATCAACCCTTTTGTTGTAACATGGATGTGTGTGCGTGCGTGGGTCTCCTTGTGTATATTGGTGTGTAAATGTAACACACACTCCCCCCCACTCAAAGTCTAACTGGTGCCTCTTCTGTTTGTTTGTGGTTTTAGTTCCTCTTCCTGTCCGAGGTGTTACAGTGGAGAGCTCAGACCACTCCAGACCACGTCCTGTACACACTGCTCAACTCCAGGGTGAGACTCCACAACACACACACACACACACACACACACACACACACACACACACACACACTGTAAACTGTAAACTGTAAGCTGTAGAGTCAAAGGTCATTAAATCTTAAACACACGATATGAATGAGATATGAAAAACAGCACACTGTTGCTCTTCACTACATTTCTGTTTGTAGAGTGCAGAATGAGAGTAGAGTATGTGTATTCCTCTTGTTTGTTGGTGTGAGAGAACACAGCCTGATAAAACATGCAGAAGAAGAAGAGGAGGCTGTAGTTGTGATTGAGTCGTTGTTTGAGTGTGTCAGTGTTAGTTTGCATAATGGCAATATGAGCCGCAGGGTTTGTTTACAGCTGTTCCCCCGATGTGATGCAGCGACGAAAAATATGACATGACATCTGCTGATTGAATGTGTCAATCATTATTCTGTGTGTGTGTGTGTGTGTGTGACCTCCTGCAGGGTACGATAGCCAGCTCTCTGACTTGTGTCCAGCTTCATAAACGAGCTGAGAAGATCGCGGGGATGCTGGCTGAACGGGGCCACCTACAGGACGGGGACCACGTCGCCCTCGTCTACCCTCCAGGTAAACTCTGACCTCGCTTCATGCAAACACTCCTGACAGAGCTTTTCTATTTTTTTAAAGATTTATTTTTGGGGCTTTTTGTGCCTTTATTGGAGAGATAGGACAGTGGATAGAGTCGGAAATCAGGGAGAGAGAGAGTTGGGAATGACATGCAGGAAAGGAGCCCCAGGTCGGATTCAAAACCTGGGCCGCCCGCTTGGAGGACCACCGGCAATCTCCGGAGTTTTTCAGGAGATTTCCGTATGTGTGAAAAGGGTTTAGGTGACCACGAGGCCTAAGACATGATGTGGCCGATTTGATGTGATGACACCTTAAAGTGTCCGTCATCCTAGTGAAATAAAAGTGAACAAATAGTCTCATCAAGGTGACATGATTTGTTCTCTATCGACTGCAATACAGCAGAACTGACGACATAACTGACATAACGCTGACGTGTGATCAAGGACGGACTCTGGATGTTTTTTAATGAAGAGCTCAGCGGATTGAGAGAGAGAGAGAGAGAGAGAGAGAGAGAGAGAGAGAGAGAGAGAGAGAGAGAGAGAGAGAGAGGAAACTGAAGTGGAACAGAGAGGATTGTAATTTCCCTCTGAGACACAGATCCTCGTGTGCACGCATGCAGCTGTGCAGGAACAATTCCCCCGACACGAGGAGATTGTCTTAAAGAAGCGTTCCATTAATCTCCGCTCAATACTTAACCACCTCGCCTCTGTGATAGTGTGTGTGATTGTTTCCTCTCCTTGCCTCCCTTTCATCCCTCCTTTCCTTTCCAATCTGACTTCTTCTCTTGTCCCATCACTTCCTCTTCCAATTGGCCCCTTCTCTCCTTCTTTCCTCCCTTTGCTTAACCTTTTCCTTTTTTCCTTTCCTTATTTGTTTCCTTTTTTAATTGAAATGGCCTCCCCTCTCTCCTTTCCTTCTTTCCTCTTCCTTTTTTCTCCATCCCTAACCTCCTGTTTTTATCTTCCTCCGTTCTATTGCTTCCCATCTACATCTCTATTCTCCCTCCCTCTCCTCCTCCAGGCATCGACCTCATCGTGGCGTTTTACGGCTGCTTGTACGCCGGTTGTGTGCCGATCACCGTGCGACCGCCTCATCCTCAGAACATCGCCACCACGCTGCCCACTGTCAAGATGATCGTGGAGGTAAACAAACCTGAAACGCTTTATTAACACGTTGTCTCACTCTGTATCACTTACTAATTCTAATTCACTGCAGAGAAAAACGAAAGAGGGGGGGAGATAGGAGCCATGGGTTTGTAGGGCTGTCACATCTTCAATTAAAGGCTTTATATGTGATTTTTTGATCCAGCAGATGTCGCCCTTGAGCTCCAGCATGAAACCAAAACAACTCGCGCTGCATTGTTGTGTTAGCATGCTAATGCTAGCGATCTTTATTATGCTGGTATCTTCACACTGCATGTAAATTTACCTGAAATGAGCGTGATCTAGAAACACAGTTAAGCAGTGAGTACAGTATGTTATTCTTCTTTTCTCTAGTCCCTCAATTAAACAACTTTTATACACGAGGGGAGGAGTCAGCCGGCCGTCCAGGCGATGTAAACAAAGTGAAGATAGGACTCTGAAAACATCACAGACAGTGGGACTCGGGTGTTAGCTTGGAGAGTTGCGGGTATCTCTCGTGTATCTCACCTCAGCGGGCTGCAGAGAGACGAGTCTCTCTCCTGTACGTTTGCATCTCCTGAATAGCGCCCTGCCACAACATAACTGTCTTTACCTACTGAGGTTAAGAGAAGGTAAGAAATGGTCAAGTTACACTGAGGGCGCCCTCTGCTGGATCAAACTTCAAACTACTTCAGACTTCCTGATATGAATGGCTCATTACAGTTGAAATGTAAACTTCATCCCCCAGGTTAGAATTTTGAATAAAAAGTGACGGCCTTGCTGGTCCGATTTGAAACCCGATGCCCGTTTCAAGGACAACAGCCTCTGTACATAAGGCGTGAGGACTAACCATTCGAGTAGCAGACCGCCATCATCATGCTTTTTAAAAGGGGAAAGACCTCCTTCTCAGTTGATCACCTGTCGGAGCGTGAAGTCAATCATCAAGATGACGCACCTAGTTTCACAAACACAGAACGCGAAACTGACACAGGCAGCCAGAAATACTCAAAGCAAAAGTCCCTCTGCCCTAGACTTAGTTTCCAACAACAAGCAACCAGTTATAGGTTGTGAAGAAAGAGTTTTCTGACAAATAATATCCTCCTAATATCGTAAAAATGTGAAACGGTAAAATGTTACGCTAGTAAGGGTGAATCCTGAAGACTCCAGAGTGCGTGTTGTGGATCACTTCCTCTGACACTAACCTGGTGATGGCAGTAAAAGGCATTTAAAATGACTCTCTGGGAAAACAATCGTTTTCTTCATGGTCTTATCTGCTTTTGCAGCTCATGTGGAGGTGTCGATCCTAGTCTCTTTCATTTAAAAAAAAAACTCCTCTCAGGATTGACAGAGAGTCAGTGGACGTTCATCCTTCAGCATTTCTTGGTAAAACAGAACTATCTCTTCCAGAGACAGATCAGCCTTGTGGCTTTGCAATCAGCTGTGTTCAATTAATGTGGAAAACCCAAAGAAAGACGGAGCGAGGGGGCAAATGTTTCGACAGCGTGCAGAAACCGGGAAAGACGCCAGCAGTCTGAAAAACTAAGTGAGTGAATGAGTGTGAGCGCTGAACGAGGACGAGAGAGCTGGATGGAGATAAATCTCACACAAAGCTGAGTTTAGCGTTTTGTTTCTGGAGGGGGCGGTTGGGGGGACCATAGGATGTAAGGTGGTATGCTTTTTCTTCTACCGCTCCCTGCTGATATATATATATATATTAGATTGAAGTGGTCTGTGTGTCTGTGCTGCTGCAGGTGAGCCGCTCGGTGTGTGTGATGACCTCACAGCTCATCTGTAAACTGCTGAGGTCGAAGGAAGCCTCGGCCGCCGTAGACGTCCGGACATGGCCCCCTGTAATGGACACAGGTACACACACACACACACACACACACACACACACACACACACGTCCTCATAAAGACAGACGATCAACCTTTGCATAAACTATATCGTTGTTATTTCTCATTATCGGGTATGTTGGAGATCTCCTGTCAGTCTTTGACCTCCTCTAAAGACAGTAAAAAGTCGCTGTTCTGCAAAGTTTGACGCTCCTGCACTCGAATCCCAGTGAAGAAGGGATAAAGAAGGAAATAAGAAAAGATTGATTGAAAACAGATTTGTGAGTCTTCAGGTGGTTCGAGTATGTTGATTGTGGAGATAAAGTGTACTGATGTGGTATTTTTTAATGCACAGAGGTAAAAGCACAACATCGACAGCTGTTCTTAAGATTTCTAATTGGCATCAAAACCATCCTGAATATCATCATCATCAATATCATTAAGGTCGTAGGTGTTCATAAAGAGCTGGGTCTTTAGCTTTTTCTTAAAGGTCCAAAGACACTCTGCAGATTCAATGCAGTTTGACAGTTTGTTCTACCACTTGGGGGCGACAGAGGAGAAGAGTCTAGTTAGAGATCGCTGTCTCCACCACGCGGTCAGGTCTGGTTTGGTTCAGTTTGGTTCAGTAAACCCTGATCTTGCTTGAGTTTCCACAGCCCAAACGTACCCTAACACATCACTGAATCACAGCGGCGGGCCACAGTGTAGACAGCCAATGAATCCAACAAAGAAGAACCTGACAGCTAACAAAATCAATGATTCATGGGAAGGTGTGCATCTCTGAGATTGCCCGTCAGGCGCTTCTACGCGCTGACATTAGTTGCAAATAACAAAAATAGCCCTAAAAATACTCTCTCCAAATCCATAGGATGTTTAAATCATGGTGCATCAAGGGTCTGATCGGTACGCTTGGCACCCCAACAGAAGGGTAACAAAACAGTAGGATGGTACAGATCAGTTATTTTGGTACCATTCCCAACTTTTGACGGTGGAAACGCCAATAAATGTGTACCGTACTGAACCAAACTGGACCAGACCGCTTGGTGGAAAAAGGGATTTAGGACCCTGTTGTGAAGGTTGGATCAGACGCCTTTCATTGGCAGAACGTAGTTGGCGGGAAGGGAGAGAGTTTAGGTAAGGAGGCGAGCAGTAACTGGGAGCCAGAGGACGGAGATGAACAGCCGAGTCACATGTTCTTTCTCTCTTTTCAGACGATTTGCCAAAGAAGAAACCGCCTCTGCTGTATAAACCGTCCAACCCCGATACTCTGGCCTACCTGGACTTCAGTGTCTCCACCACTGGCATGCTCGCTGGAGTCAAGGTTAAGACACACACACAAAATGACAAACACTCCGTTTTTGACGTCTCATTTCTTAACCCATTTTGCTTTGATGTTCTAAAATCTCATTTAAGAAACACCCTGTATCTGTTTTTGATGTTCCATTGTATTGCCTCTCCTGACTGAGCATCGTGTGTGTGTGTGTGTGTGTGTGTGTGTGCCTCCTGCTCAGATGTCTCACACAGCCACCAGTGCCTTCTGCCGCTCCATCAAGCTGCAGTGCGAGCTCTACCCGTCCAGAGAGGTCGCCATCTGCCTCGACCCGTACTGCGGCCTGGGCTTCGTCCTCTGGTGCCTTTGCAGGTCAGACAAACAGAAATCCAGATGAAGAAACAATATGTAGAGAGTTGTTCCAGTATTCTTAAACACGGGCTCTATTTGTTATAAAACTTTTTAAGAGCTGTCAGCATTAACTAGTTAATCGCCTTATAGTTATTTTGTCCCTCCAGGCTCACCGTAGATAGTCGTCCTCAGTGTCTCCCTGTAGTCTCAGTGATGTAAAAGAAGGACACTGCTGCATCTTTGAATGTCTCATTTCACTTTAACAAACTCTGAGAAAGCTCAGCTGACGAGTCCAAAGTAATATCCACCTGATGACATCACACATTGACCTTATGACATCACACATTCTGCTCATGTCTTCTGCAGCGTGTACTCAGGTCACCAGTCCATCCTGATCCCTCCGTCCGAGCTGGAGGTCAACCCGGCTCTCTGGCTGTCAGCCGTCAGTCAGTACAAAGTCCGAGACACGTTCTGCTCCTACAGCGTCATGGAGCTGTGCACCAAGGGCCTCGGCTTGCAGACCGACTCTCTGAAGGTAAACGAGGCACTCTGCCCGTGCACGCCACATCGTATGAATTTTACTGACAAGAAACCCGGAGAAAACACATCTCCTCATTTGGCGTCCTTCCTCTCCCCTTCAGTCCCGAGGGGTGGACTTGTCTCGGGTCAGGACCTGTGTGGTTGTAGCCGAGGAGCGTCCCAGAACCGCCCTGACGCAGTCCTTCTCCAAACTCTTCAAGGACCTGGGACTCCACCCACGAGCCGTCAGCACCTCCTTTGGCTGCAGAGTCAACCTGGCGATCTGTCTGCAGGTCAGTCAGACTTCCAACTCTTTGTTTACGATACAAAGATCGCACTTCCTGTTTTGGTATTTCCTGATGTGTGCACACAGCTGTTAAGAAAGTCTCTGGTGCTGCAGCTTGATTGGCTGTCGATGGGAACATCGTTTTTTTCAAACCCTTTGTGTCGCACTGCGAGCTGTCCCAGTATGCTTTAGTCAATGAATATGCAGCTTCCCATAGACAATGAAAGAGCGGGAATTTAGTTGCACGATAATATTTGGTTGATAAATCTACGCTACTGTAGTCCAAGGGCTCATCTCAGGCAGCGTTTCCAGGTACAACTCTTAGAATCCTCATCGTTTTAAGGATCATTCCATTCCTGCTTCCTGCTACTACAAGCACCAGTAAGTGTCTCCTTTGAAAGCTAACAGTCTGCAGTTTGAGAAGATCTGGAAATGCTTCCAACAATCATTAAAACAGGCGTACTGCTGTTGAAGTAGGGCAGACGTTCATCACAGATCACAGGTCTGTTGACCGTTAGAAATGCACTTCCTGCTTCTGGGATGTAAGGTAGTGAATGAAGCAGTGTGTCCACGTGTTCATAACATCATTGGCTACAAGAAGTATCAGTCATCTGCACAGGGTTAGGATTAACACAGTACTGGGTAACCCTAACCGAGAAACCAAGTTCCAAGAAAGCAGTTAAGGTTAAGTGTCATCTATTTTAATCTGGCAAAAGGGAAACACAGACAACACTTCTCAGTCCACTCCAGATCCTCTCCCTCAGGGAATTGTACAAAAGTAATAACCCAGTCGCTTGCAGTTTCTTGGGTATAGCTACATCAAACCAGGGTCAGGCACTTCCTTTCAACTCGTGAGGTCATTATGCATTTTCAGACCGCAGGAAGTTATCCATAGTTCTAGGAACTGTTGGAACCCTTTTAAAGTGATTCCGCACTGCAGGAACTATAAACTATTTCAGTTCCTAGAACCCTGAGTAAAGGAACCTTTTTAGCTCCTGCTTCAGAGTAGGTACAACGAATGCAGACAGAATGAAAATTCCCCATGGTGTGTAGTTCCCTAACTCCCTAGTGGATAGTTCCTCTGCAAAAAGTCCCAGAACTGTTAGGTCTGAAAATACCTATTGGCTATTATTGGCAGGGAACAGTGGAATGAACGTCGTAATTGGCCTAATGGGGTGTCAATGGAAAGGTCAGAGTATGGCCTCCATTTTGATGTATCACAGTCGAAAGAAATTTTTTCATATTTTGAATTATAGCAGAAGACACACAGTGGGAAATTGGGACCATCTGTGACACATTTCATGCAATCCAAGGATCTTTGTGGATGATCTGTGTGTGGATAAGATCTGGATCTGGATCTTGGGTACCCTTGCTGATGCAGCAAAACAAAAAGATATTCAACAATCAGACGACTATGGGAAAGTCTAAACCAATCAGATTGGACTGTGTAAATCCTTGTTGGGGACACCATGAGGTAGAGAGTTTTTACGGTATTCACATCGAGCGGTGTGCATAGATGAATATCAGATCAATCTATGCAGCTTCATCTTTCCATTCCAAGCTGGTCATCGCTCTCTTCATTCTGCAGCCTACAGATGATTCAAGCATTTCACTGGATCTGTTGTACAAGTATTTTCTTTTTTCCCTCTTGAGGCGGACTGAAAGGATCTCATATGATCGGATTCATATTATTAAATGACGTTATTTAAAGGGTTCTTGCTAGTGTTGTAGTACTCCAAATCAAGACCATTTTTGGCAGTCTAGGGATCAAAAGCATTTTTAGTCGGTCTTGTCTCGGTCTCAGACTGGGCGGACTCCAGATTTTAAATCAAGACCACCACTGAAAGGCTATTTTTCAAAGTCATTACTGTGATTGGACGGAAAATGCCTCTTTCTTAGATTCATTTGTAGTTTCTATCCTCCGGTTACGGCCGCAACCTTCCCGGTGTTACGGTCAAAGTGAGTGACACGCACGCTAAACACAAGATGATGATTTTTCAGAGATATTTATGTCATGGTCATGGTCTTGTCTCGGCCTCGGAGCACTGGTTTCGGGTTTGTGGTCTTGACTACAACCCTAGTTCTTGTTATTATTTTATAGATATAACCGGTACGATATGATGGCGATATGATCCTCTGTCAGAAACAAACAAAAGGGTTTCCTGGTGCATGGCTCATTTTGAATGATCAGAGTCAATATACACTAATATTACATCCTGGTCACTAATATTAAACAGTATATTGAACTAATGCGCTGTAATCCCCCATGCCTTTAAAATGACTAAACTAACATCTGGCTGAACATCTGTGTCAGTCTGACTGCTTGTTTTGTCTCTTTGAGTTTTTTTCCATTTTGACATTTTTTTCTTTCTCCCTCTCTTACTTCCTCATTTTAAACATAACCCCGCCCACATATCTCATACTTGGTTTTGTCTCCGCCCCCCCTTCTTACCTCCTCCTCCATCTCCTCCTCCTCCGCCCCTCTTTGCTGCTGTAGCCTCACAGGCTGGGAAAGCTTGCCGACCAGGTAGGGAACCACCATCAACCTCCCCTCCCCCCAAACCACCACCACCACTACCTCCACCAGCCCACTGCCTGTCAGCACATTCCAACCAATCAGCTGGCTTTAGATCAGATTACTCTAATTTTTAAAGACGTTTTGAGTATCACAAATTTAGCATATAAAGGGGAGTGTGTATAGTATAGTATATCAGTATAGTCATCCCTGACTATACTGCATCAGCCTTTTTTAAAATCTGTCAATGAGTCCGACATCGTTATGAAGCGCTAAATCCGAGAGTTTTAAAAAGTATTTATCTTTCAGGAACCAAAACCTCAGAAAGCTGATTTAATTAAAGGTCGCATATTCTTCAAAATCCTCTTCACCATGTTTTCTAACACTAATATGAGTCTCTAGTTTGTCTACAAACCCCCCTATGATTAGTAAAGTCCATCCTCTCCGTCTTCTGCCTGCTCCACTTTTCAGAAAATGTGTGCTCAAACAGGCCGTTTGGAGATTTTCCCTTCATGACATCACAAAGGGCAGTAGCTCCTCCCCCAGGTGGGTGACACTCCCACAGCTAGGTGTTTGTTCTGCCCTCTGAGTCTGCCTTCTCACCGTAAACAATAGGACATGGAGCGAGAAAGCCCGAGTACACCCAAGCCCTTCCAGAGAGGGGGCGTGGTCAGACACAGCTCATTTACATATTTAAAGGCACAGACACAGAAACAGCCTGTTCTGAGCAGGGCTGAAATAGAGGGGTTTATAGACATGATCAAATACAGGATCAGAGTGGATTTAGAACAAGAAACTTCACACACATGTTTTGAGGAGCTCTGAGACTTATTTAAACTGAAGAGGAGGAGGAGGATATGTGACCTTTAAATATATTTTCTACATCGTATCATCTCCAATAAAATCACCACTAATATGAAGCATCAACTCAGCATTAAAAGTCTGCAAAAAAACATCAGACAGGAAGCTACTTGACGAATACGTATTTTGAACATCTTGACAGGATGTCGTAAAAATCAGAATCAGAAATACTTTTGTCCAAGGCGGGGAAATTCCTGCGTTACAGTTTCTCTTTTAATTATGAAGAAAGAGATGAACAGAGGTTAGAAATATGTAGAGATAAAAAGCTTTCAACGTCATCCACAATGTTGTATTATTAATATGTTTGTGTAGGTTTCTGGATGTCGAGCTCTTTTGATGGATTAACTCAAAGTCAGAACAAAAGAAAAAAAAGGTTTAAACCGTCATCTTTCAACATGTTATGAGCTGTTACCTGCAGCACATAAATCAGTAAACGTCCATCCTCTGGTGGAGATTAGGAGTCGTGGTGATGACGCTTTCTGCCACGCTGTGCTCTGGGTGGGTGTGCGGGCTTCTGACTCCCAGCATGCCGCTGTGCGTCCGGTGGTGGGCTTTGCAAAGCGTTTTTCCTTTTTAAAAAAAATCCTGAATCATCTCTGTGATGAAAGGGAGATGGGGGGGTGGGGGGGGATGGTGGAGGAGAAGGAGAGAGGTCGGGGAGAGGGGTCTTTATCTCTTTCTTTTTCCTCTGTTGATTTCTCTTCAACATTTTCCTCTCAGACTCACATTAAAGAGGAAACAAAGACAGATATTTCGCTCGTGTTAAACCATGCAGACTAGATTTAAATCAAACCACTTAACTGTGTCATCTTCACCCTTGTCTCCACTCACTTTCCCCTCTTTTCTCCCCTTTAGAGTCCGCTTTATGTGACGTTTTCTTTGCATGTTGACTAAATACGAGCTGACTTTAGATCCCTTTAAAATCTGGATTTTGGTGTTTCTTGTTCCCCTCTGAAATCCTCCCTCTTGCTTTTACCACTTTGTTCTCTCCAAACATTTTGTGAATGTAAAGGTTTTGTGGGTTTTCCATCTCTGTTCTCAAACCCAAAGCTTTCCTCTGCGCTGTGGATGGAAAGCTTGTCTATGTGAGCACTAAAGCACGAGCAGCAGCATCCACTGCGCCCTGAGTGTAGGAGTAGAAGTAGCGTTGGTAGTTGTAGTTTTAGAACAAAGTGTATGTGATGCAGTTATACAATAGTTGTGTTTAAGGTGTGGTGGTCATTTTTTTTTTTTCTGTTCCTCAGGGCACCTCAGGACCCGACCCCACCACTGTTTTTGTTGACATGAGAGCGCTACGACACGACAGGTGAGTTTTAAAAACCACACACCTGAACACCTTAAAAGAAGAATGTGCAGCTTTTAGGTCCAGCAGATGTCGCCGCTGAGCTCCAGCATGAAACCAAAACAAACTGCTGTTTGGCCACGCCTCCTCCATACTGACGCCTCCGCTCTCCTCCAGAGACACACCTGACTCGCTTTTGCATAAAGGAGTTTAGCATAAGTGGCGGAAAAATCGTCCTTTGCTCGAGCTGCAATCACCTGTGTCCTGCATTGTTGTGTTAGCATGCTAATGTTAGCGCTCTATAGTTAGCTAGTAGCTTCACATTGAGCATAAACTGACACAGAATGAGCGTGATCTAAACACACTTACGTGACCATCTAAATAATCAGTGAGTATGTTCTTCTTCTTCTCTCTAGTTCTTGACTAAAACAGCTTTTATACACAAGGGGAGGAGCCGGCCGTCCCGTCCATGTAAACACGGCTCTGACAACAACACAGCCAGCGGGACTCGAGCTTCTCCCTCATTGTAGACAGTCATGACTCAGTTAAAGAGGATGTACTTGATTTATTTATGTGTGAAATGTCGCACACTCTTCATTTAAACATGCATTCTTTTGAATAACCAGCAGGGGGAAACTTCACTCGTCGCAAAAAGATATCTTAATGTTTATAAACCTGAGAAATCACAAACACCCAGCTCAGCGTTAAGCATCCTGAACGCACAATCGCCTTCAGTGTCAGCTGTTCTTTGTGCGCTGAGTTGAAAAAATATGAAACTTTTGAAAAAGTGTTGCGCAAGAGACAATTCTTCCTCACTGGCCAATTAAAACCAAAAAGGGGCGGGACTTCTGATTAAACCGTTTGTCAACAACAAAGGTAAAGGTATCAAACAAAGAGCCTTCTTGTGACACAATGAAGCTAGCTGCTGCTAAATTGAAGCAAATTTTCATATTGAGAAAATAACTAAAATATTTTCCTCGTGCCCTTGGTGAAAAACTTGTTTTTCTTGGTCCAGCTGCTTGAGTGCAAAGATACTGTATCTCTGCATTCTTTCACATTATTTCAGGGATGGCTGTGGCTCAGTGGTAGAGTTTGTTATATCTCAACCGTTAGGTCTAGGGTTCGGTCCCCAGCTCCTGCAGCCACATGTCCAATGTGTCCTTGGGCAAGACACTTAACCCTGAGTTTCTCCTGCTGCATCGTCGGCAGCGTATGAATCCATTTACCATTGTTTAAAAAAACTTAGCAAGTAACATTTTGTAGTTTCTAGCAGATAATTTGAACTATTTTCAGTAACATTTCCTGTTCTTGTCTTCCCTCTTTGTAATTCAGAGCTGGGTTATTGACTGTGAGAACCCTTTGCTCGTGGCTGGAAGTCAAAACGTTGAGTATAATGAGAAGCTGAAAGTTTCTTCCAGACAATATGAGTCTCAGGCGGGCGGCCTCACCGCAGAGAAAGATGCCCCCTTTAAACCCTGCAGAGCCAGGCTGAGTCACATCTCACGCTGGGTCAAAGCAGAAATAGCAACTCGGGAGACTCCGGATCTGTTTTCCCAGGGTTTGGACTTTCAGAGGAGAAGCCTGAGTTTATGAACAGAGTATCTGTTTAAAAAGAAAGTTTGAGGGTTTAACATAAGTGTCAGATTTCATGTGAGAATAAGTGTCAGTTTCCAGAGAGATGAACTCTGGGATAACAAGAAAGACGGAGATTTATTCAAATATCTCCTGACAAGGTCATCCGGGGGGATTAAAGGAAAAAAAAGTGAGACCACTTCTTTATGACTCTAAGTGTAAAATATACATTTAAACATGTCTGGAGGTGTTACAAGCGCTGAAAGTTTCCCAGCATGTCTGAGAAACATCCTGTCCTCTGTGATCCAGCACATCATCACACGACCGCTCTGCTGTCGCTTCTCTTCAGAGAAGTCTTAACGAGGCTGCTTCAGTCCGTCTGTGTTTAAATATAACCGTCAGCCTGTGTGTTTACATGCTCTCACTGTTGATTTAAACACACGTCTGTCTCCCGTTTCTAATCACACCATCCTCTTCTGACGGCTTACTCAGAGGTTATTTTAGTCCTTTTTGTGGAGTAAGCTAAAAAGATGATTATTGTTTTCGTCTCGGTGTTCATGAAAATACAACAACGTGCACCAGAAGAGGGGCGGAGCTAAGAAACAAAAGATACAGCTTATAAATACAAGGTTCATCCCGCTAAAAAAGTCAAAAATCAAATCCTCTAAACCTCTAATGAAACATGAAACACCTTCAACCTAAAACATGCTGGATTAAAAAAGACCAAACTGAGTTGTTTTCAGATGGACTGACGACATGCTGGGTTCACTTAAAGCTACAATCTGTAAGTTTTCAAATCTTCTTTCAAAAGTAGTTTCAAAGTCGGTCTTACACAAGAACACCTTTCAACAGGAGAACAGCGTCTCTCTCATGTCCACAGTAAACCTTTCTTTACATTGTGGAGAATCTTTGGTCTGTTTTACTCCATACATCCTGGTTCCCTGAATGTGTGCCAACTGAAACATGTTGTGTCTTCTTTCTGTTCAGGGTCCGACTCGTGGAGAGGGGGTCCCTCACAGCCTGCCGCTGATGGAGTCTGGGAAGGTCAGCCCGTTTGTTTCTTATCGTCTGAATTTCAAAAGTCTCAAATCAGTGAGATGGTGACGTTCATGTTCAGTCTTCTGTTTTAAAAAAACAGATCCTGCCGGGAGTTCGGATCATCATCGCCAACCCAGAGACAAAGGGACCAATGGGAGAGTCGCATCTGGGAGAGGTTTGTCTCAGTGCCGATGATTTAAAAACCCTGAATAATAAGAAATAACTGATGAATGATTGCAGAATTTAGTTGGAGTCTTGTTGGAGGTCATTGTAGGCGGAGTCTTGTTGTCTTCCCAGCTCAGTGCTCTTTAAACGGCTCCAACAGCAGCTGGTGTCTTTGTTTGCAGATCTGGGTGCAGAGCGGCCACAACGCCAGCGGTTACTTCACCGTCTACGGGGACGAGGCGCTGCAGTCCGACCACTTCAACTCCAGACTGAGCTTCGGGGACACGCAGACCGTCTGGGCCCGGACCGGATACCTGGGCTTCCTCCGCAGGACCGAGCTGACGGACGCCAGCGGAGGTGAGGACGTGATCATGCATATTTTTTATTTGGTGTAATAAATCAGAGTGTGATTGATGGGGCGCCGACACCGACCTTTACTGCTGTCATATAACACAGAGGAGGGGCGGGATTAAGCGGCTTCAGGGCTGATTAGATGACCTCGAGGGGAATCCATCAGTCTGGAGGGTTAGATGAAGGTCTAAACGCTGTTTCAGAAGCTTTTTCTGTCTGAGGAGCGAAAATAAAATCTGTCTCCATGTGAAGTAATTTATTTATGTGTGTGTGTGTGTGTGTGTGCGTGTGCGTGTGCGTGTGCGTGTGCGTGTGCGTGTGCGTGTGCGTGTGCGTGTGTGTGTAGAGCGTCATGACGCCCTGTATGTGGTCGGTGCTCTGGAGGAAGCCATGGAGCTGAGGGGGATGCGTTACCACCCCATCGACATCGAGACATCCGTCATCCGGACGCACAAGAGCATCACAGAGTGGTGAGCAGCCTTCTGCCAAACAAAAAATAAGTCCCGCCTCTGACAGGGCGAGTAGCCAATCACAGCTTAGGATTTTTGCGGCTGGCACAATCAGCTTTTTACTGATAATTTAATAATTATGGGCTGAAAATGTCGACTTTCACTTTATGACATTTTGGATTAAACTAAAAAACAAACGCTGACCGTCTTTGTCTTCTTCTTCTTCTTCTTCTTCTGTGGTGCAGCGCGGTGTTCACGTGGACCAACCTGCTGGTGGTGGTGGTGGAGCTGGACGGCTCGGAGCAGGAGGCGCTAGACCTGGTCCCCCTGGTGACCAACGTGGTGCTCGAGGAGCACTACCTGATCGTGGGCGTGGTGGTGGTGGTTGACATCGGCGTCATCCCTATCAACTCCCGCGGCGAGAAGCAGCGCATGCACCTGCGCGACGGCTTCCTGGCCGACCAGTTGGACCCCATCTACGTGGCCTACAACATGTAGCACGCCCCCCCCGCCCGCCCGCCCCCCCTGGAGGTCTATATGGAGGTGGATGGAGGATGTTTTTAAGGAAGGTGCAAAGACACGTCTGCTCCTGAGACTGAGAGGAATAAGACAGGAGTCTGAGGCCGGGGTTTGTTGCCCTGAACTTGGTCTGGCAGGATTATTTGCTGCCAGCTCGCTCCTAAAATCAAGTGGTCATATCGAGGGAAAAAAGGGTTCGGACTGTGATAGGATTTCAAGGAGGTAAGAACAAGAAGTAGCACTCATGCAGCCCGGAGGCCATAGAGGACAATCGTTGACGTAGCAAAGATCTGGGCTTTAAATCACTTGTGGCTCTCTTTACCTTTTCCCGTCATGTGGTCGCAGAAGATTCTGTTTTTTTTTTTTTGGGTTCGTCCTCGGAAAAAAAAGGTCAGGCTATTTTTACCAAACAAACTGTAGCAAAAAAAAAAAGAAAGAAGATATTTTACGTTTTTATGGAAACCATTTCAAAGAGTGCGATATGTTTTGATACGAGGGGCGGGGTCAGAAAGGGGGCGAGCGAGCCGCAGCTGTCCTTTGATTTCACAATAAGGTACTCCACGTTTGTTTCATGTCAGCTTGTTGTTGTTCTTCTTAAGCCTAAGTGTGATTTTTTTTTTTTTTTTTTACTCTCTGATCCGTCCGTCCGTCCGTCCCCTCTCAGCGGGGAAATCGGCGTTTCTTATTTTTTCATAAAGCAACAGCTGCAGCCTTCACATGAAGCGAGTCAAACCGACATTTCATATCATGTAAGTATGTACAAAAAGAAACTGACTTAATTTATTTTGTTTCTCTTTTTAGAAGTTTATGACGAGACGTTCAAGAATGTTGTGCTCTTGAACATTTGCTAATATAAAAAAACCACAGAGCATTGTATAATGTGGAGTGAAAACACTCACAGCGAGCGTGTAAACGGAGACGTAGAAATATATGACGATAGATTTTATGTAAAGACGAGCGAAGGGTTCACACCAGACGAGGGGAGTGGCTCGACACACGATGTCCGCCTCGTGTTTCTGTGCACTGGGACGTCATCGGTCACGCTTTGAGGAGTTTTATTCCAAAAGATTTTTACACCAAAATTTAGAATTAAGGGAATAAGTCCCTGTGTCCACCTAGTGTCCACCTAGTGTTTTTTCGAGGGAGGAAAGCACTCAGGAGTGTTTGCATGAAGCGTTTGTGCTCTAAGAAGAAAAGCGCTGCACATCTGTCCTGTCTCCATGAAAACAGTCTGTTGACAACAGACTGTTTACTGCATGTTTTATATTTGAGATTGTTTACTTCCCGATCAGACACGGAGCAAAGAGGAAGTGAGTACAAGACACGATCCCTAGAAGGCCAAAAATACAGGGAATATCATACATTTGGAAAAGCTGGTGACGTCAACAACGCCTTTCTGAAAAAGTTGAAAGATTTTCAACTGGAGCGGTCGCACAATTAATGCAGAGCGCTCAGAAAAAAAGACGCTGGGCGCTGCGCTTTTTCTCTAAGCGGTTGCTTTCTGCGGCAGACGCTCTCTACTCTTTGAAAACAACTGAAAAAAAAAAACGCTAGGTGGACACGGCGCCTCAATAAAGACTTTTATTAGAATACGTCTCCAAACAGCCAATCGGAAACATGTTTGATGAGTTAGAGGATAAAATGAGACATGTTGTTTTTTTTAAAATCAGACGCTCAGTTTAAAAAAAATAAAGGAGTAATTTATTTTGTAATATCTGTTTAACGTGAGACAGTCATTGGATGACAAACCTCCATTCTTAACGGTATAAACTGAATAAAATCTGTAATATTTTTAATAAATGAAAGTTTTATCGGGAAAGAATCCATATTTTTATGATTTTTTTTAATAATGTAAATGCCAAATAGTTTTTTTGTAAAGTTTGGCTTCATTAACTTATCCAACTCGATGAATTGGCTTCTTTTATTTAAAGCGACTTTTTAATCCAGTAGAGAACGCCCTTGAGCACCAGCATTAAACCAAAACAAACTGTTTGTCCACACCTAAGAGACGGGACTTAAGAACAAATCAACTAGTCTGGCTATTTCCGACAGGCTAATGTTCGGTCATTCGGTTGTAAATAAAGACTTTGCTCTTTCCATGAAAACTTCCAGAGCAAAAACGTGTCCACACTCCCTAACTTACAATGTACCTGATTACCAATAAATTTATTTTTGTAAGTTAGACCACGAGCAAGAGTTTGAATTAAGTATTTAAAAGACTTTGCACATACATCATTGTTTTTGAGAGCCTAGAATATGCTTCCAATCTTGTGACCTACCTATCATGAGAGGATGGAAAGGGTGGAAAAATTAAATTAATTTGCGTGCTAAACTTCAGGCCACCCCTGCAAAGGTCAGGGCCGCCAGGTGGGCCACCCCAGTCTAAAAAGTCTGGACACGCCCCTGCTTAAGAGAAATTAAAGGGAGTAATGGAGTAATGTTTAACTGAAACCCAACACAGCTATGATCCTCTGCTGCCCTCTAGTGGTGACCAGGAGGAATAACAACAACAACTTGCCATTTTTAATTTGGGTTTTATTGATTATGAAGTGTAATGAACTGGGATAAGACTCCTCAAATCAAACAGCCAATCAGCAGTACTGGATTCTTTTTGGTCTTTTGCTCCATCGGCTGGGAATCAGTGAACCCTCGTCTTCACCTTCCAGTTTCCCCTGTAGACGCAGGCAGGTTAGGAGCCGCTGCTTTTGTAAATAACCAGAGTGAGAGGTCGTTCATATTTTTTCACATGAATCAATCAGGGCTCACACACAGCACGATGTCACGACAGGGAGGGAAGACTGAAGCAGGAAGGAGAAGGCAGGTTTTTTTTTTTTTTTTAAACCAGAGACCCTTTAACACATCCCGGACCTGTGGAGGACGTCAGAGACGGCGATCAGTCTGTGGATTATTATGAGGTCGGAGAATGTTCAACACACACACATGTGCGCACACACACACACACACACACGAGGATGTTTTTGAAAAGACTTAAAAAAGCACTTTCTTCACCGTCTGTTCCTCTTTCTTTTATCAGCGAAATGTTTGTCCCCAGTATGTTTTTTTTAAAGGTTTTAAAAATGTCTGACATAAAGTCTTTCAATTCAATAAAATATTTCAACAATTTTGACAATAAAAATTGAAAATGTTGGTTTATTTTCTTTTTACTGTCGAAATAATGTGGGTGTGCAGTACAAATAAAAAACGAGAACCATTTAAATATAAAGTCTACAGTCGCTCACAAGCACAAATCTGATAAGATAGAATACCTTAAAGTTTTAAAGGAGCATTATTTGAGATATTAGACATTAAGGAAACATGCTATGTTGAAGTGTAATGCAGCAGCCAGTATGTCCTCCTCCTAACTTTAGATTCTGCTCCTGAATGCTCTGGATTTGTTTGGACCAGAGAAGGTAGGCGCTTTTAAGGCGACCCCCCTACACGGCCGTTTTGGACGCCCCTCAGTTTTCCAGATATGAGAGCAGTTATCAGGTCAACAGGTGTTGCAGCGATGGAAGCGGGTCAAGAGAAGTGGTTCAGATAGAAGTGATTGTACCCGACCTAAAAAGCCTCTGCATGTTTCTAATAAGCTCCACGAGCAGAAACGTGCTCAAACTAGGATCAATATTGGAGATGCTTTTGAAAAATGGAGAGAGGTTAGAACACAGAAAGGTTTACAGACCCATGCAGAGCTGGATAAACACTGAAGCTTCAGAGTCCACCACATGGTGACCTGAGTGAGCATCCACTCTAGAGAGGAGGGGGGAGAGACAGCTCTCTTTAATGTTTAGAATTTGGACTGCAGTACCCATTTAAAACACTAGGGGGCAGAGTTATATACTGCTCCTTTAAGAACTCAGAGTGTATGATTAAGATTAAAATTTACTTTATTGATCCCGTAAGGGGAAATTCTGTTTTGATGCGTCCATTACAGTCGCTTTGATTGTGGTGTGATGAAAAAAAATGGAAACCCAGGAACTTGTTGATACATTTATTTCCTCCATGTTAGCACATAGAATATATTTATGTACATATTGCTAGCTAAAGCGTCAAAAAAAAGAAAAAAAAAAGAAAGAAGTCAGGAGCATAGAAAATGTTAAGCCACGATGAATAGTTTACATATGGACAGGAGAGAAGATGACAGGTAGAGGTTCACAACAAGCTCAGAGTGCTCGCTGTTAATCCTGCTTGTACTCAAACAACTCTGGTAGAAGGCGACAATCTGACCGATGATATACTGCAAACAGCTTCAACTCAAGGTCCAGAAAAGAAAAGAAAAAAAAAAATCATTGTCATATTGCATCACTCTGAGGGAGTGCAGCTTCGTCTTTTCTTTTTCTAACATGAGCGGGAGTAAAAACAGGAAAAAAGGAAACGGGAGCTGAAAGTACGCACACCTGTTACTCATGCAGTTAAAAACCAGATACAAACTGGAATGACATCAAAAAGTTCTTCCACATACGGATAAAAAAAAAAGAAGAAGAAACTCCTCCTGAAAGTTTAACGGCGGGATGGACGAATATAAAACCAGTCAGACAAAAAAAAGGAAGTTTACACGAGAGCATGACGTCGTCACGCTGAAATTCCTCGGACACACTGAAATGTGCAGCGTAGCTCTCACTCGAGTGATCGCTGTGAAAAAAACAACAAAAACAAACACGCTGAAATGACACAAACCTCAGAGTGTCGTCGTGGCAACGGAAGCCGCAGCTGATATGATAATAATAAACGGTTGTACATTGTACAAAACTAGAACTAGAACAGTCGTCGGGGATCGCTGTGAGCACAGGAAACATGAAGCAGCGGAGATATCGGCGAGTTCATTTACAATGTACATACGAGGGGGAGGAGATATGGACACATGGCATTTTTTTTTTTATTTACATGTAGTGCAATGGTGATGAAGAAGAAGAAGAAGGAAAGGAGACGTTGGTGTTCGACCGAAGAGAACTTTTTTTCCCCCTAGAAATCAGACGTTAAGAGTGAGCAGAAAGCAGAGACAGGAAGCTGAACTGTACAAGAACATGTTCTGTATTAAAGTGATACACTTAAACGAGTCCAAAAAGGAAGAAGAGAAAGAGTCCAGAGACGAGAGGCTGAACACATCAAGTCTGGAAGGAAAAGTTACCGTAAATTCTCTAATAGGAGGACTCCTTGACGACAATACATCCCAATCAAAAACAGCTGTGAATTTATCTCCTGGAACTACAGATTAGAACCATCGACTGTAAATATTATAAATGAAGTCTGAGTGACGTCAGACATCTGTTCATGCAGGGGGCGCTCTGCAGGCTCGTCAGTAGCAGCCGCCATGTTGGAAATCCTGTCTCAGTCTAACTTTCAGTCAAACGACAGGCTGAGAGCTGGAGCTGAGGCGGGTTTTAAGACTCTTGACGAACCGTTACATCGCACACCTGTCAATCATGTCAGCTTAGCGCCTAATTATGTAAAGCACGCATCGTTCATCAAATCTTAACGAATGTGTGATCATGAGGACGATAACTTATATAACCTATTAGGTTTTTTTGTACCAGGCTGTAAACATGTTAATTTCTGCTGTAAAAACTGTTTGTTTTTTTTAATGGGTGTGTATGTGACTTCTGGTGTTCCTGACGACAGCCTCTAGTGGACACTAGATGAACTGCAGGATTTTGCACTTCTGCATCAGATTCATTTTTCAACACAGAAGTTTGCCGCTTGTTTTGTACTCAACAGGAGGCGGAAAAGAGTCCAAGAAAAATACTCACATTTTGTGTCTTGTTTGCAAATCAAACTAAATCGATCTTTAGGATATTTATTTTTTAAAAAGCTTTCTTTCTTTGCTTTGAAATATTTACAACATCAGAAGGAAAGAGGGGCCTTTGAGGCACAGACAAGTCAGAAAGTATTTAGAGACACTTTAACGTCGTCTTCTTTGGGTTTTTTATATGGGTAGAAAAGCAATGAAATCAAAAACTTTAGCTTTGGATTCCTGTTAATGAAACTCAACACATCCTCTATGTTTGTCTTGTGATAAAACAGTTTTTAAACATCACACTTCAACTCTTAAAATCACTACTGAGCGAGTTCTGTGATCTGTGATTCAAACGTACGGCTACGTAAGCAAATAAATGAAGGTGTTGATCAATCGAATCATTTAGCGGTTTGACCGGGAAAAATAACTACTAGGTAGCTATTTTGTAAAAAAATAAAATAATAATTTAAGGTCAGGTCAAACCAACAGGTGTTGCAGCGATGGAAGCGGGCAAGAGAAGTGGTTCAGATAGAAGTGATTGTACCCGACCTAAAAAGCCTCTGCATGTTTCTAATAAGCTCCACGAGCAGAAACGTGCTCAAACTAGGATCAATATTGGAGATGCTTTTGAAAAATGGAGAGAGGTTAGAACACAGAAAGGTTTACAGACCCATGCAGAGCTGGATAAACACTGAAGCTTCAGAGTCCACCACATGGTGACCTGAGTGAGCATCCACTCTAGAGAGGAGGGGGGGGGAGACAGCTCTCTATGATGGTTAGAATTTAAACTGCAGTACCCATTTTAAACACTAGGGGTCAGAGTTACATAATGTTCCTTTAAGCCACAACATGATGAATATATTAAAAAAGATTAGCTAATGAAGAAAAGTAAAGTATATAAACAACATGAAAATGAGTATTAACTGTATTAAACACCAGACTCAGTCAGTATTCACTATAAGAGATACATTTATATAAAGAACGTTTTTATTTTGGGATGTGGTCGTCGTGTTTATTTGGCTTCTAAATATCTGTTAGATAGACGGCGATATAAAAACCTTTTAGAGTCATTATAGTTAAGTAGATATTTAGAATTAATCAGTTGGACAAGGTTTTTTAAGTTTTCATTCACAGCCAATCAGAACAACAGAACATTGTTTGACCAGTAGGTTAAGATGCCCGGTTCTCTCTTTACTCAAAGTGAATAAAGGTTCTGCCCACTGGGGCGCCAGCAGCCTAGAAGTAAGTGTGCACCCCATGTACTGAGGCTGTGGTCCTCCAGACGAGCGGCCAGGGTTCTCTCTCTTTCTCCCTGATTTCTGACTCTATGCGATGTTCCATCTCCAAATAAAGGCATTTAAAAAAAGCCCCAAATTTGACATTTAAAAAAAAAAAAAAAGTTCTGCCTCACTATTAGAAAATTTACGGTATTTTATTCGTCACATGTTCACAGAAACACAAACTGATGAACGGCAACTTGTGTGTAAAAAAAAAAGTGAAGCGTCTATACAAAACAACTGGATCATTTTCCTCCGTTCAGTTCAGTCTTCATAACTGAGGAAACAGTCAAAGTTTAAAAGAGTCACACTTCCCAGAACAAAAAAAAAAAAAAAAACGGGCAATTTTATCGCCCGGTTGAAAAAACACACAAAGAATTCCACGCACCGTATTTATACACGACACACACTCGACATCCAGCGCAGAGGAGAACTCTAGAAAAGATTTGATCATTCACATTTTGCATAATGTTTTTATATTGGTCCATCCGTCGTCACTGTTTGTCGGACACCAGCGAGATTCTGGGCTCCTCTTTTCTTGTGTTTGTGTTTTTACCGTAATGATTGGAGAAAAGATGAAGTGTGAATCTATAGACATGCACGGAGCCTCACGGGGAGGGCGAGAAGAAGAAGAAAAAAAAACAGGCACTGACCACCGACTACAGCAAAAGCAGTGAAAGAGTCTCAAAGCCATCACTTCAGGATTTTAAAAAAAAGAACGATTTTTGACACAGAAATGACACTGACGACGCTCGGAGAATCGTATTTTTTTAAGCTTAAAAGGGCTGATGAAGGAGGGAGGACTCACCAGATCTTCTCGGGTAGAATCAGAGACTGTAGGTAAGAGATGGACGTGCATGATGAGCAAGTGCCTTAAACCGGCCTCTTTCTAACGGCCAGCAGGGGGCGACTCCACCAACAAAAAGTCTGATTGTACTGAAGTGAACATTTTCAAAATGAGTTTTCTGGTCTTGACCTCGAGTTCAAGTCTTCTTCTATAGTGCGAGACGATCACTTAGTAAATGATGAAAACAATCACAGATAAACTGACGCAGTGGGCGATTGACCTCTCTTCCAAACATGGTCACTTTGGGCTTAAAAAACGCCGAGCATGAGGCTATAAAAGGTTAGCCATCAAGCGGATTGAAAAGGGTGATGTAATCAAGGCCACGCCCACTTCGTACATACAGTCTATAATCATAGTTTGTTTGTTTTTTGGCAATTTTACGAGCATTCTGGTTTTTAGAAAAATTAAATGTGCAAAAAAAAAAACGGTCAAGTGGTGGGACCGCTCTCGGGTCCAGCTCAGTCAGGATTGCAGTACATTTCTCCAATTAAGAACAAATTAATTAAAAGTTCATTTATATTATAAAAAACATCACCGATTATTCGAAGGAAAAGACCCCAAAAAATGTGCATAATGTTCACTCTAATAATAATAATAATAATAATGATATCAAATGGAAGATTTGTTTAGTCGTCGTTTTTTTTACGGCCGACCTCGTGACCCTGTTCCCAATAAGTGACTTTTAGGTAGAAATGCTAAAAGGTGCCGTCCAGCATCCAAAACAATAAATGAACGTGTGAGTTTTTTTTGTCTTTTTGTTCATTCTCTATGAAAGTGGAGCCAGTTGAATGCTGCAGCGGTACGTTTGTGTTGTGTCGTCGTGGTCGACCTGAAAGATCGACCCCAAGTGTTTTTTGTTGCATTTACAGTAAGAAAAGGGATTTTCTAAAAATTCAGGTAATAAAACGCTCATCAGTTACTAAACACTTAAATAACACATCCTCTGACACGAGCTCAAAGTTAGCACGTCAGTAAAGAGAAAAAGAAATAATAATCACACCATCGGAGCCACGCCCCCTCGAGCAATCTGTTCACGATTCAGAGACCCCAAAAAAATAAAAAATATAGAAAGAAAATTCAAAAACATGGTTACATTAAATAATAAAAATAAAAACAAACAAAAAAAGGGAACAAGTTGCTCTTTTTCACGCAAAAAACATCGAGTCCACAAAGTGTTCAGGAAGGCAAGTCGAGAAGCCGGAGGGACAAGTGTGTGTTTGTGTGTGTTGTAGACACTGACTGACAGGAGGAGGAGGAGGAGGAGGAGGAGGAGGAGGAGGAGTGGGCGAGGGCCGACTGCGTGCTGTGTAAGGGTGAGAAGGGGCGGGGCTTGTTCATCTCTTCCTGCGGCAGGTTCGTTTGTGGTCGGCGTGCCAGTGCTCCTGCTGACACTTGATGGAGCAGTACGAGGTGTTCCAGCAGCAGTGGTACATGGCCTCCTCCTCGCAGTTATAACACTGAAATCAACACAGGAGAGGGCGGGTTAGACGGGCAGAAGTCGGTGCTTAAAGCGAGTTAAGGCCCCGACACACCAAGCAGACGGCAAAGAACTAGAGGGCCGCCTTTTGTCCTGGCCAAAAAGTTGCACTTGAACACACTGCAAACATTACAGGCAACGGCCAACCACCACGGTTGCGGTGCAGCGGCAATAACTCTCCATGCCAGCAGGCGGCGGTAGTCTGTAATCGTCATTCCAAAAAGGGGGACGAGGAAGAACGCGGATAAATAAACTGTTATTGTGATACGAGAAGACAATTTTCTCAACGCTGTCGCTCAACACTCGTATTATAGGTCGCCTTCTAATGGATAATAATGACTGATAAAAAGTTGAAAATGGCGCCGGCGTTGTCAGCACTTGGTCTTTTATTAGTGGAAAAAGAATAGAAGAGAGCTTAGCTGAACAGCCAATGTGCACATGTGCCCTTCTGCATATCATCCTTAGTTGATTACATTATGTTTTTAATATGCAACCCTCACACTATTATTATTTATTTATCTAACTTGCATAATATGTGTCTATTAGTTCATTATTGTACTGAAATTCTATTATGATTATTCATGACCACTTTGCATAAATGTTGACTATAAGGACTATGAATACATGCCTACAGGTGGGACACTACAGACTTTAAACATACCCTGGGTGTAGAGTTGGGGATACATCGATTTTTATCAACACCTCCATCCCACAAAACTGGGACATGCAAACCTTGAAAACATAAATGTGTTTCTGTGGTGTGAAAACAAACGGGGACAGAGAGGGATTTAGTCCGGGACTCACCCACTGCTTCTTCTTGGTCTGGGAGATGAGCTGTTTGTGTTGGGCCACCAGCTTCTTCACCTCCTCCACAAGCTCCTCTTTACACTTCTCCTTCACCTGCTTACACTTCCTCTCCATCTCCGCCTGAGCTCCGGTCACCGCCTTACTCACCGCCTGCCGCTTCTCCTCCTCCATCTCTGCGCGGAGCTGAAACAACAAAACGGACCGGTTTCAAAGTGAGCTCACATGTTTCTGGTTACACACCTTCACAGTCATCATCGAACACACACCTTCTCCAGAGCCTCCCTGACGACCCTCTCCGTCTCCCGCTTGTTGTCGGCCTTCATCATCTCCTTCACGTCGTTGAACACCTTGGTGTATTTCTCGTGGCACATGTTCTGGCAGGCGCCGTCGCTGTTCGTCTGGGTGCCGCGGTGCAGCGTGCGGGGCGACCCTCCGTTGGCCTTCTTGGTCTGCGTGGACACCGACAGCTTCTCGGGCTGCTGGGGCGCCGAGGACACCGGGATCTCCTGGCTGGAGCTGACCGCCTCCATCTCTGGCTCCGGGTCCTGGTGGATGGGGAGAGGAGGAGGAGGACAACTTTGCGTTACCTGCGACTCAAGCACCAGCTGGTAGATAAAAACAAGAGATCAAAACTGATGCGTAAGGTTTCTGCGGGATGAATCATTCACAAAGACAACAACTCTCAAAACGACTGTTAGCAGCATGCAGGAGACAACACACTTTGATGTAAACACGCTTAAAAACAAAAACAAAAGATGAAGTTGAGGCTGGTGGGGAATCATGGGAGTGATTCTCTCTGCTTCATTCCCACCCCAGATGAAAACTCTGAATTGACTGTAGTCAAGGCGGACGAGCAAAACTAGAATCCATGGCCTGATTCTGACATATTTTGGTAAATGACCTTTTGACATGCCTCTTCAGATTTGTAGTCAAAGTCTCCAAAAACATTAAAGAGGGGCAGTTTTTGGTAGGGCATGTTCTTCCATGATTATCAGAAAGAGATGTCACTGGGCGCCGAGTGGTTTGTGTGCGCGCCTCCATGTACTGAGACTGTAGTCCTCCAGGCGGGCGGCCCAGGTTCACATCCGACCTGTGGATCTGCATATTGTTCCCCACACTCTCTCTCTCTCTCCTTGATTTCTGACTCTGTCCACTGTCCTGTCTCTAGAAAGGAGGCGTAAAGAAAAAGCTAAAAATTGTTGATTTCCCCTTTCATGTGAACTTTTCCAGCGTCTGTCTGTCTCGACTTTAACAGGAAACTTCCCAATATCATTTTGCAAAAACGATTAAGCTTGAGGCGAAGCAACGAGCAGCAAAACAGCTTTTTAACTCCAGACTCTGTGATGCTCCTTAATCTCTTTGGTGTGCTCATAAATCTTCAGGAGAGAGATCTCATTTGAGGCGTCCAATGGCAGAAAAATACGGCAAATAAATAAGAATACATGCATTAACAGATGATACACAAACACTTTGGGATGCATCTGAAACACACATCATCTGAGCTCCTCTCAGCAGTGGTATCCGCTCTAACCAATACCAAACATCCTCTGTGTTTGAGTGTGTGTGTGTGTGTGTGTGTGACCTCGGTCAGGCTGTTCTGCTGCCTTTACTCACGCTGGCTTCTTCTTTGGGCTCCACCATTTGAGATCGACGGCTTTTCTTTGCCTTTGGCTCCTGGCTGCCTTTGAGCTGCAGAAAGAACAAAATATTTTTAATCAATCAACTTCTTTGATTTTTCCCTCGACCTGGTGAAGAGTCTCGGTCTCTCCTAGTTCTGATGTAGACGGAGAAACAAAGCGTAGCAGGGGAATTCCTTCAGAGCATTTCAGTAAATCATTAAGAGAACAAATGTTAATTTTTTTAACGGTTGCAAAAGCTTTTCCTCCTCTGTGATAAACTGTGAGGAGTATAAAGAAGGGAGAAAACGACCATGTTTCTTTTTGATCTAAATGCTGTTAACCCTCAGGCATCAGTTTAATTTACTACCCTCTTAAGTCACTAAGGACAAAAATGTCCACTTCCAAATCACTGCTATAAAAATAGAACAGATTGATATTTTTTTCTGCATACATCTCTTAAACAACTCCAGCCGTGCTCAAAACTACCAAATATTGAATAATTATCAGGAATTTAACCCTTTAAATGCCAGAATCATGTAATCAAACTGGCATTTAAAGGGTTAAATTCCTGATAATTACTCAATATTTGATAGTTTTGAGCAGGGCTGGAGTTGTTTAAGAGATTTATGCAGAAGAAAGTAGAAAAAATATCAATCTGTTTTATTTTTATAGCAGTTTTTTGGAAGTGGACATTTTTGTCCATAGTGACTTAAGAGGGTAGTAAAAATGTTTCACAGTTTTCTATTGATCTATTAAAAAAATAATATGTGCATTCCAAATGTGTCAAGAGAGTCTTTCTTACAAAAATGTGTGCCATATGCAGTAACAGACAAAATGATGGACAGTTGAAGATGTAACATTTGCCCAAATGGACAAAAATGTCCATAATGATGCATGAGGGTTAACAGAAACGGTCCGCTCGTGTTCTTGTTAGGGCGTTCACACTTGCAGAGAACTCCTGAAAAACTCCTGAAGGAGGAGCAGCATGTGTCAACTCAAACTGCTAATTTTTCTCTGAAGCGGTTAGAGGCTCACTTGTGTGGGACGCCGGCGTTCTCCACTCTTTCCTTTCTACTTTAACCGCTCCAGAGACCACTCCACTTCTACCCGGGTGTAAGCTGGTCTGCTATTGTGAATTCACCATATCTTTTTAATGAACAGCACGCAAATTTGTCTGGATATTTCAGCCTGCAATAAAAGTGAAAATATTATTATTCTCTCTTATTGTGAAACTCTTTCCTTAAAGCATCCTGTGTGTATAGCCTCTAAAGTCTGGACTACGTTTAAGTAATGTACATTCTGTAAGTGATGCTACACCTGAGGGTTTTGTTTTAGTTTAATGAAAGCGTGATTGAAGGTGCACCACGTTGTACCAGCAATGTGCAGTTTGGCCACCAGAGGTCGCCACAAGCTGCATTTCTCTCGACAGACTCTCAGTTGTTTTAAAGTAATTGTTGTTCACTGACTGTTTGATGATTTTGTGTCGCTCTATCATCAAGCACCTTCAAACTTTGGTTCCTTTGGGAGAGTCCACTTACATGTCGGACCTGCTCGTTGCTGGTGGAGGAGATGCTCGACTCGGCTTCGTCTGTCCTCTCCAGCCTGTCCGTCCTCCGCCGCCGCCCTCCTGCTGCTGCTGCTGCTGCGGCCGCTGGCTCTGGCTCTGACTCTGACTCTGACTCTGACTCTGACTCTGACTCTGACTCTGACTCTGACTCTGACTCTGCTGGTTCTGCAGGTGGTGCGGGTGTGGCATGCTGCTCTCCTCCATCTTTGTTTTCCAGAAGCGGCCCTCCCTCAGGAAGCGCTGGTACATCTCCAGCTCCTCGCACGCCTTCTTCCAGCCGCTGCTGCGCTTCACCTGCAGCTGCTGGACGCTCACCTTGATGTCCTGGATGTTGTCTGCGGGGATCCACGCTCTGGAAAAGACAAGAGAAAGTGCTCCGGATTTAATCTGCTTCTTCCTGTTTTAACCTAAAACCAGAGGTGACTTATAAACATAAATGTGTACACCTGTCAGATCAATAAAGATGTCTTCCAGCCATGCTCACCTCTGGTGCTGGTGTCCAAAGAAGCGTACGTCCACCTGGTTGTCGTCCCTCTGAAGGACTTTGGCCGGCCAGTAACCGAAACCTTTCATCTTGGCCCACACCAGGTCGTGGCTCGGGCTCTGCCGGAAAAATTAGACAAACACACGACGTGAGCCAGCGGAAATCTGGATCACTGTTAAAGCAGCATCAAGTTACTTTTCCATCTTAATGCAGTCGTTTTCTAAGTCGATCTTATCGTACAAAAAGTGGAAGTTTTGGCTGTTACTACTTTGATGCCTCTGATTAAAGTGATGTTTTAAATGTACATGCATCTTTTTAATGCAGAAATCTTTGGATACTGTATACTACAGAGTGTTGAGGTCTCATCTTAGTTCTCTGTATGATCGAGTCGGCTGGCCTGCATTGTCTCTTAATAGACAAAATCGTTGGCACACCCTTATTTAAAGATTTATTTTGGGGGCTTTTTTTGGAGAGAGAGGACAGTGGACAGAGTAGGAGATCAGGACGAGTGGGGAAACAACCTGCAGGAAAGGAGCCAATCCTAAACCGCCCGCTTGGAGGACTACAGCCTCCATACATGGGGCATTAAAAGGCTATACCGAACCTGCTTCCCTCATATTTGTGTGTAATGTTACTCGTGTAAAAAGTGCAGAAGCTTCAGTCTACGCTGATCCAGTCATAAAAGGTATTCTTTCTATCTGTCCTCAGAGTGCATCTTAATTTGAGGATAATTAGTTTCAGGTCCTGCAGCTTTAAATTATGCTGCAGGATGATGTGCGTCTGTGGGAGCTGGTCTCTCTCTCTCGACCTTTCAGTCGATTAAAGACATTAGAGGATCATGCGTCAGGTTGTAGATGCTTTGACTGAAGACTTTTCTGCTCTGTGTCTCGGGACATGTTGATCTGTGTCTGTAACTGGTTTAATGTGTCTCGACCAGGACACTGTTATAGATGAGATTCTTCATCTCAACGAGGTCTCTCCTGGTTAAATACATTTTAAATAAATTAAATAAGCCACAGCTTTACTAAGATGATCTGCATTACACTGTATGTGGTTATTCTCTCTAGCACTGTAACATATTAGAAGTCTGCACATCCCCCCTCAAATCAGTTCTTTTAGACCTTTTAAATGTCAGCAACAGATTCCTGGCTCGTTTGTTTTGTAGTGATGTCGGATTGTGCAAAATACACAAGACAGGAAAGAGCCATGCCAGAAAAAAACAAGTCAGCTGTCACTTTGGTGCGGACATGTAAGAGAGAGAGGTTTACTAATAAACAAGAATCAACAGGATTCTTCGGCTGTCAGCGCAGAATAAGAGGAGAGATCAACGTGTTTGGTTTTCAGCTGTTGTACTCACACACGGGTAACAGAACCAGTTGTCTGGCCGGGCGTTGGACAGGTAGAAACAGTTCTTACACAGCAGCAGCTCGTTCAACTGGAGGAGAGACAACAGAGAAGAGAGAGAGGAAGAAACTAAAGATCTGTATGTGAAACAAAACGACACAATGAAGAAGTTAATAAAAAAGAGAGATACCTCATGGACTGTGTCGCTGAAGAGCAACCGTGCGATCTCCGCCTGGTCGCTTTGAACTGCAACAAACAACAACGATCATGACATTACAGAGTGATGCAGAGCTGGCTAAACACTGAAGCTTCAGTGTCCACCACATGGCAACCTGCATGAGCATCGACTCCAGAGAGGAGGGGGCGGGGGAGACAGCCCTTTAAGGTTTTGCATTTGGACTGCAGTACTCATTTCAAACACTAGGGGTCAGAGTTACATACTGCTCCTTTAAAGACTTCAAATGCAGGAAACAGAGAATTTTTTAAAATTAAAACATATTTTCTTTTGGGTCCGATAATATTAACAGTAATATATCAGTAACATACAGTTTAATATATCAGGTTTCCACAAAAAAGACTTTACAAACGAGGAATAAAAATGAAAATATTCAAATGAATAAATCATTTTTAGGCTCTCAGTGAAATTTATCCAAAGCAACGACGATCAAAGTACAGATAGCTGGAGCGAGATCAGGATTTTATCTTGTTCATGTATTGTTTAATATATCAGGTTTCATTGAATATTTTATTTTGAGGTGTTTAAGACTTGATACAAAGCTGTTTGTATAAAAAAATAAAAATAATAAATAATCATAATAAAAATAAAAATAAAACATGTTTTGGATGAGTATCAAACATGTCGACCCTCTCTTTCAAGCAGAGCAAAAAGGAAACACACAACTTTGACCTACCTCCATATAAGATGGCCGTGTTGTGAACAATGAGCTGAGCGTCTGCTTTGAACTCCTCGAAGCTTTTATATTTTCCTTCAGACAGATTCTGAGAGAGACGGAGAGAGAGAGGGAGACAGTTTGCCAAAGCATTATTATTATTATTCATTTAAGATTATACAAAGTGATTCCTGAAAGGCTCATGCTGATAGTCTGTGACTGATTTTATTTTATTTTAAAGACAGAAAAAAAATCTGAGAAAAAGTTTGTCAGAAAGTGAGAGGGGGAGCACAAAGAGGTTTATTCACATGCTGGGCTCGTGTGTGTGTGGGGTGACCGACATGAGAGAGGTCCAGGACAGGGCAGTGTACTTATTAACACTAACACTAACACTAACACTAACACACACACGCACACACGCAGAGGTCTGGGCTGTGCTCCAGTGTCTCTGGCAGAGTTCTGGTGTGATGCACCGCTGACCACAGCTCAGCAGAGTCCTGCCTGACCTCTCTCAAACCACACGTACTTTAACACAAAACTCAATCGTGCTTCAGCACAGTGCTGGGACAACTTTGCCTGAGTGTGATCGCGCAGTAACAGCTTAAAGAGAGTGCCATGGAGTTTTTCTAGTTTTGTCTAAAAGTGAACATTTCCCCAAAATGTAACTACAGGCAAAAAAGTGTGTGAAGATTTATATACACTTTAGAGCTTAAACTTAAGAAAAAACATGAAATAAAAAGGGGTATATGGAGGTAAAATAAAATGCAGGTTTCCCAGAGTGCCGCTGGGCTCGATGGTTACCTCCTGGATGTTGGAGACGTCCAGTGCAGTGTGGATCAGACGTTTGTACATTGGGTGTTTAGTATCTTTGCCTTTCTTGTTCAGGTCCACTGCCTGCAATGTAGAAGAGGGATAATGATTTAATACCGGGGGGGGGGGGGGGGGGGGGGGTCAGGAGGTAAGGAGGACAAATGATGAGATCTGACAGGAAGCGGTGGAAAGATGGAGAACGAGAGAGATGGAGTAATGAGATTTAACACCAGCTTTACAGAGTCTTGGTCAGAGAGCGAGGGGGGGATTAAAAAGACGGGATGGAGGGAATAGCAAGAAGACAGAGGTGTAACGGAGAGAGGAGAGGGAGGACGGGCGGTGCAATGGGAGGAGAGGAGTGAGGGTTACAGTAGAGGACTTATTTAAAACAACACAGATTCAGTGATGGATAAAACGTGGGCACCTGAGAGATTACCTTCATGATTTAGTTTAGGTTCAGCTGGGTCTTCTTCGATTTTTGTCTCTTTCTGTTCTACCTCTGATTTTTTAATCATGTAATCTGTGTGGATTTTAATTTGCCTTTTGGATGAGTGGACCACAGGAAGAGTAGTTGCTACTCCAGTAGAGGCTAACAAGATCCAAATAAACAAAAAAGTTAGCATCTCGACTCGAGGTCCTCCCCCCACCCGATTGTCACCTGGGGGGCGGCCGCTGGTCGACTCGAGACGTTGTGATTCATTTTAATGGACTTTGAGTGTGTTTCCATATCTTTTCTTATTATGTTTATTGTTGATATTTAATGTTGTACCTGTACATAAGAGAGCACAGTTCACCAAAGTTAAATTCCTTGTGTTTGTAAGCATACCTGGTCAATAAATCTGATTCTGATTCTTCTCTCTGCTGTTTCTGTATTGACCTGCGCCTACCTGATGTGTTTATAACTAGCCCTTCTCTAACCCCTGACACCAGCAGAAAACAGCAAACAAACTCACAGCTCCCAAAAAACAGCAAAAACATTTCATATGCAGATGAAAAATCTTCTTTTTTTTTTTTTTTAACTGGAAAGTTGCATTCTGGGCAGCACACACTGACCCTGTGTAGCGAGCCTAGCTGCTATTTGCTTGTTGTCGTGTTGCTGCTGTTTGTTACCTTGTTACTGCATGACTCATGTCTAACTCATGACTTCCTGGTGTTTATAAACATAAGAAATGTTCCCATGTTTGCTTTCAGTTTGGCTCACTGATCCATGCTTGTTTGTTTTGATTTGGACCGTGCCTTGTATCACGAAGTTGTGCTTCTACTGTCCCCTATTGGCTTTTTTGGGAACTGCATCATGGGCAATGTGTCTTTAATAAACTGTCCTCAGCTTTGCGGCTGTATTGATTTTTTTTAGCACAGGCCTGGACAACACCTGAAGTCTTATAACGGGGTCAGGTTTCTTTTCTGGAACAGTTCAGCTTTGCGGAAAGAGCTCAGTAACTTTAAGACACAATCCAAAAGCCACTTTTTTTTTTTTTTTTTTAGGTTTGATGAGTTGAAGGCAGTTAACGACAAGGAAAAGGAGAAATAAAGATTCATGCTGGTTCTCACCCTCTCCTTCATACGCTGCACGATGAAGCGCAGATATTTACTCATCTCCTGTTTGTTCAGGTTCTTCTTTTTACTTCCCTGCAGGAGAAGAAAAAGAGAGCACGCAGAAGAAGAAGGGAAAAACAAAAGGGAGAGTTTAGAATCACAGCAGGGTCGGCTTTGACCCAAATGTTTCATCACACAGGCACAGTTATAATAATAAATATGAGAGTGAACATAAATAAAAGACTAAAGAGAACTACAGATAATAAAGAGGGAAACATTTAGACACACTGAACAACAAGCAGAAGTTTTCTAAAAGCATCAAATAAGTTTACGTGATATCTGAGAAGTTACAAAATGTTAGCCTAGAGTAACAAGTTGGAGTGTGTACTGTTGTCATATTCTTTACAGACCTCTGAGTTCATCCACATCCATTCATCAGAGCCTAACCGCTACTGTAACAAACTAAACATCTGTTTATATTTCCAGAACGAGGAGCCACTACTAGAAACTAGTACTGGGTTTGTTACAGAAACTATATTATATTTGTGAATTACAGAATTAACTCCTCCAAGAATCTCTACTTTAACGTGGTGGAGGGGTTTGAGTGTCCTGGGGAACCCTGGTAGCTGTGCTGTCGGGGGCACTAGCCCCTGGTAGGGTCTCCCAAGGCAAAGTGGTCCTGGGGGAGGGACCAGACTAAAAACCTTACGAAGCTGTAAAAATGGGAGCCAGCCACCTCGCCCGGAAGAACGCCCTCTAGGCCCACCACCCGAAGGGAGAGGCATGGGGGTCGCATGCATGCCAAGCCGGGTCACAGGCATAGGTGGGTGCCTTGGCATTAGGGCTGGGAATCTTTGGATGTCTCACAAATCAATTTTGATTCTTGGGGTCACAATTTGATTCAGACTATTTTTTGATTCAAAATGATTCTGGATTCATGATTCAAAGTGTATTTTTGAATTAGTAGAAACTTCAGGATCTACTCCAGACATCAGTGAGACTGGCTGAATTTCTTGCGGCTCCATTTGGCGTTCTACTGAGTTAAAGAGCTAGCATTAGCAGTTAGCAGGGAGTGACTGATAAGCCAAAGAAAATGATTTTTGGAAGTTATGAATCTATTTAAAATCTCAGAAGATAAGAATCTCGATCGATTTTTTTCACTACCTCTACTAGGCATACTCATCCCCGGTGGAAGAACTAATGGAGCATACTGGGGAATTAGCAGCAACCCCACGTGCGATACTCAACTTATTTCTTTTTGCTGAAGTGTGTGGATAAATGAAAGATGATCATGGTTTGCAGAGGGACGTTTATTTTCAAATCTTAATACTGGACTGTAGCTTAAGAATCACTACTTTTTTATAAAACACCAGCTTGTGAAACCATCAACAAAACTTGTCCACCAACACGCTGCATGTTAATGCTTAACAATCCCAATTTACTTGTTTTTTAAGATTGTCATGCCCTTATTTAGAGGACAGAGACTATGAGGAAAAAGGGGACTGAGAGACTGGGGGACAACATGTGGTATAAGGTCGTGTTCAGGAGTCAAACCTGGGGCCAACGTTTCCAAGGCCTTTGTACATGGGATGTGGGATTCAACAACTGAGCTGAACGTGGAAATCCCAATTAACATTCACGCCCGCCTTAAAACCAATTCTTAATCCTGGAATGACTTCAGGAAAAATATGTCTTTCCTTTCTAGAACGAGCTCATTAGTCACAACAAATGAGACGACGAGTAACACACACACACACACACACACTGGGTTTGACCACCTACCCTGCAGACCACACACTGCCAGTGGGATCCTCCGTCTCTGGGCTTGAAATCCTCCGTCAGACACTTGAGGTGGTAAACCCGGAAGCAGTTGTCACACGTGAGGACGTCACCCGGTAGGTGGCACTCGAAGCAGTACCAGTCGTGACTCTCCGCCTCCCACTCCTGCAGGAAAGACACAGCAGAACACAAGTTTGGATGACCCCCCCCCTCTCCAACCCGCCAATCAGAGCAGGGGAGGACACAACAAAACTGTTTTCATCTTCCATACTGGTGTAAAACCAGATCTCTGATTTAACAAGAAGAAAAAGAGTTTAAAGAACATGCGTAAGATCGAGCTAGATACACAAGAGCATCAGATGTAAATATTTAAAAATATGTACTTCCTCTTTTTCCCAAGTGGGCCGATATGACAAATCCTGGTGTCCAACCTGAGGCATCATACTTCATATTGCTGTCAAGATGAAAGCATTGTCCAGCTCTAGCTTATCAATGAAATGTCAATCATAGTAATACAATTATATCCTGCAATCATTCTGTGAAGAGTGATTATAAATAAATGATTTGCACATCATTTGATCAACGCTTTCTTTCTAGCACTCACTCACGCTGTAGTAATCCTGTCCCTACACTCATTCTCATTCAGGGGTTCAAGTCAAGGGCACAGCGACGGGAAGTCTGAACGCCTAACTACTCATCAACCTGTCAAGAGTCCAACTCCTCCCACTCACAGTCTGGAGCGACTCTATAGGGGAGAGAGGGAGAGTCGTGACTGTGTTCATGTGCGGGGCTTAAAGTGAGGGGAAGCACATCACACTCTCAGCTTAGCGGTCGTAATAAAGTGGAGAACTTTCTTGAGGAGAGATTTGTGTTTTCTATCCTGGAAGAATAAGCTTGAGGGAATGACCCTGACAAGTCTTCATGCGTAGGTCTTTAAAAGGTTTTTTTGTCTTAAAAAACACATGTAGATGTAAAACAACATGGATTGGAGTGTCTTAGTCGGACGCTTAGGGGTTGAACAAAAAAAGACTGCTGCTGTTACTCATTCAAAACAATTGAAAAAAGACGCTGGCACTCAGAAAAAACGACAAAGGGCCTAAAAATTTGCCTCATCCTGGTTTCATTTGGGTTTCCACTGCAGATGAAGACCCTCAAAGATAAGGCAATTTACACTTCTGTCATAAGCTGACTTTTTTAATGACATTCCTGGATGTGGCAATTAATCAACATTGTCAGATGATGTGACATCATGTAATTTCAAACAGCGTCTTGAAGTCCTGCCGGATTTCGTCTTTTGGATGAACCCATAAAAGATCAGAACGCTTGTAGTTCCCTTCATCTGAAGCTCTCTTGTTTGAATCAGTCTCAGTCACATGGATTCAGAAATGTCACGACGTGAGTGCTAAGACTTCCTGTGATAAAAAATAAAAACTCCTTTTAGAGCGTGGAACATTTTGAAGGCTGAAATAACATCCCTGGATCTGATTTTGACTCTTCTCTCTGCAGCACAAGTTCACTAAGTTCCCATTAAGGTTCCTAATCCGCGGTGAAGGTTCCTGTGTTGGGAGGCAGAACTCATAATAAGTTTGTTTAAATATGACCACATGAGCTAGAAGTGACTATTCTCTTAAATCCATCCACAGATTCCTCGAAGGACTTCTGAAGTACTCTTCCCCAACACAAACACTTGACAAAATAAAAATGGTCCTTGAGTTGTCGAATGTCAACACGCTCTTCACTATTGTTGGAGCGTCTGATGAAAGACAAGTGGCCGACTTCAGAAGGCTGCAGCTCCCTGAGACAAGGACACGGGGTCTGTGCTTTCAGCAAAGTGAGATCCAATGACAGGAATAACAACAGCAGCTTCATGTTTGAGTGCTAGCAAGGCTAAAGAAACAAAAAGTGAAATTTAGAGCTGGACCATTACGGGGTATTTAAAGGAGACATATTATGAAAAAATCCACTTTCACAATGTTTTTGAACATATATTTGGGTAACCTGAGTGTCTACAGACCCACAAAATGTGAAATAAACCCATCCAGTCCTTTGTTTGTGGTCTGCTTAAGTCTTACAACACAGAGGAAAATGCTCCGTTTCAAATTTGCTCTCCTTGTGATGTCACAGTGGGATTCTGGTCAATAAAAAATAAAAATCCTCCCCTGGTATCTCCACCCCAAGCCTAGAACTAAACTTCTGCACAGGGCCGCCATTTTTATTCTCTCTACAGAGGAGTGATGTCTACTGGGAAAACTCAGGGGGGCTCATTACATTTAAAGAGACACACACACCAAAACGGAGCGTTCTAAGAGAGCTGGTTTATACAGGGTCACAAACCTCCTCTGGTGCTTGATTCATGTTATATTTTGACCAAAGCACAGCACAGATGTTTCATTTAGACCACAGGGGGACTGTTTGAGAAGGTGGAATAATATGTCCTCTTTAAGACTAGAAACTGATTCTGGAGGGAGAAATCACTGATTACTGATATGGAGGCCGACATGTTTGATTATTGGATTGTGCACCAATGTGACTTTGATCCATCACATTCAGAAGATACCTTAAAAATGACTAAACCTTTGATTAAAACATGTTGATCAGAGATCACTGTCTATCCAGATGATGGTACAGCATCCAATGAATGGAGGACGAAACGATGCTCGAAAGGAAGGAAGATTCATTGAAAGTCATGTGTTAGTCAATTTAATGAAATCATGTGTCTTCGTGCTCTTTTCACGACGCACAAGTCGCTACGATCAAAGTGCATCACCAACACATCATATCATGTTTGTTATCATGCATCACAAGTGCACAGATTGAATTAAGTCAACCACCAGAATGTCAAACAATCAACAATGCATCCAACATTGTTTTCTATCTTTTCCTAAAAGGACATTAACCCTTTAAGTTCGCAGATAAAAAAAAAGAGTTACCTGGATTTAATCCAATCTGACATGAGGCAGCGCATTTCAAACTTATCAAGACTTTTGACTTGTTGATCTGTTTGAGGAGCAGGCGGGATGTAGAGTGGACGAAGCCGCTGTGAGGTCACACAGGTTTAAGAAATCAATTTGTCTTTTATGTCATCATTTTAAATGCTCACTCTGTAGCGTTTACTTTTTATTTACCCGACACTGTGGCCGGTAGTTTGACAAAATTCACCCACACTGCACTAAAACAAGGCCTGCATTTGGTGGATGGCGGGTGTGAATTTCCAACCCTGCATCATGAAACACTTCTAAGCAGCTGCTGAGAAGTGGGCCGTGTTGGGGGACAGTTTGTGCTTGTGTACATGACATATGGTTCAGGAGGTCCATGTCCAGAGCATTTTTACGGTAGAAAAAAATATAACTTGTGTGACATCGATTACTTGTTTATAAGGTAATGAGAGAGCTTGAATATTGTAATTGCTAAAAAAGAAAAAAACATCTCTACCTTATTGGCTGTACTTTGAAACATAGCAGCTTCATCCACTTCGTACACACAGCCATTGGTTTGTCAATAATCAGAGGTCAAAACAAGGACAGGGCACATGCCAGCTGAATTGAATCCAGGCACCTGCGGAGATGCTGTGTCTCCATCTACCTACTGCTTTACTGCGATTCTCAAATTTAAACTGTCCTCCGAGCTCCTACTAAACTGAAAGAGAGCTGATCAGTTTGTTAACTAGCATCAAACCCACATAAACATCAACCAACACCCCCCCCCCCCTTCTCCATCACTATATCAAACTACACCCTTTTTCATTTATTCCAATGGAGTAGAAAAAGAAACATGCCGGACAGAAGTTAAGACCACATCAGAACACACACCCCCCCCCCGAGGAGAACTACAACTACCAAGGCCAAAATACTACAAACGCACAGATGCTTGCTACCAACCTGCGGCTATGCTAGCATTGCTTGTCATCTTCCATTTATAAACAAATTCTTATTACAGTAAAAGCAGATATTTACTCTTTGAGCTGCACCAAGTGAGTGTTTGTGTTTTTTTAAAAAGATCAAGCAACGGCAAATCTGTAGATGAGTAGCGAGCAACATATTTTCATCAAGATCACTGATCAATTCTGCAAGAAATGTGGCCACATAGCCACAGCGCTGCAATGGACTTTCATGAAGCTTCTTTTGTTTTTGCAGTATAACTGAATGACAGCAAAGTAGCTTCTGGTAGTGAGTTTCAGACTGGACTATATGCCAGCATGTGGGGCAATTTCCAAAGTACAAATCAGATGTTTTCAGTCTTCCCATTGTGTGAAAAGTACACTCAAATCACACGCAGTACATTGACTGAATCACTGAAGGCTTTAATGGCCTTCATCTTTTGCACAAACCAGAATTTACTGTGTGCTGTTTAGTTTCTCTGCAACCTGCATTAAAAAGATTCACTCAAATCCCCAGCTGCACTGCGCTGTGGCTCGTCCGATTTCTCACAGAATGATGTTAGTTGAGGTTGGGGGAGTGGGAGGGGGGAGGTGGATGAAGTGATCACATGAAGGAGCAAACCCTGAATTTGTAAAGATAACGATGCAGCCCTTACCTTGCTTCCTTCGGCTTTCGGATCCTGTGATTGCAAGTGATTCAGAGAGTAGTGTTTTAAAAGTCCTGCTGCTTAAAAAAACGACCTGAGCTCCGCTGGACAACAAGTCTTCAGACATCAACAGAAATCTTATTTTCTTTTCAATCCCACAAACTGGAGAAACCCCCCCATCATTTACATTCCCCAGTGAAGCATGGTTTTCCCCCACTGTCTGTGATTGTAACTTTGAGTGTGTGCAGGTTGATACAGTTCATGTTCAAATACGGTTAGAGGCTTAGCTTCCCTTGTGTCAAACGTTAGTTTATTTTAGCATGCGTGATATTTCCAGCTCGCAGTGCACTGATCATGATCTGCTAGTTTCAGAAGACATAACAGATACTGTGAGGGTGCTACAACCCTGGCATAAAAAGAGCACACTGGGATTAAAGCAGCCACCAGATACATGTAAATGCCACTTGCACAGTAATCCATTAAGTGCACTTTGCATAGCAAACAGGAAGAGACATGAGGATTCTCCCCAGGTGTGGCAGACACTGAAATTACACACTCCAGTGCGTGCAGGGCGGCTGTAACAGAAACAAGCGAGGCATCGCTGCACTGCGCATCATATTTCCTCACGACTAACATGGGAAATTAAAGAAAAATGAAACAAATGAAATAAACATTAATGTCTCAACGTTGCAAAGCAGACAGTTGCATAACAAAGACAACAGAAGAAGAATGAATCACTGACGTCCTCAAAGGTATCACCACCTCTGCTGTTTGCCTCCACCACTTGTTCATCATCAGTAATATGTGCTCCATGTGGTGTCTGCGACGTGCTCTGACTCTGCTAACGCTGTTTTCACACTGTGAGCGACTTGACAGATGGAGGGGGGGGGGGCTTTATCTTATAATCTGTGTGGAGCTCCTTCGGTAATAACTTCATCACCGCATGAGATTTTCAGATAGGCATTATTACATTTGCTCATAAAAGGATTAATTAATTTACTCTCATTTTGATTTGGTCTTTATTGGCGCAGTATCAGGCAATTTCATTCCTTACTGTTTTTTTTTAACTGCGACTTCAGGAACATGACTGTCTTTATCTACAAAGGTTGTAAGGGCGTCATTTAGCCGCCTTCCCGACAACTTTGAGTATTCTTTTAATTGCCTTTTTTTTCTTTGTTTTTTTCATGTTTTTGCCTTTTATTGGATAGAAGAGCTGAAGGGAGACAGGAAATGTTGTGAGGAGAGAGGGGAACGACATGCAGCAACGGGCCGAGGATTCAAACCCACATAAACCTTTTCACAGGCAGCTTCAACAAGGACTACAGCCCCCGTACATGTGGGGCGCGGTATTACCGCTAGGCTATCCAGGGCCTCTTTATAGACATTTTATAAGAATTCTTGTCAGCTGTGAACAGCATGAAAGTGTCGAGGTGGGACTGTGGGTAGGATCAGAGTGTTGGGATAGATTCAGGGGACGAGTGCGGAGAAAACAGAAGGTTTTCTATTTTGTGTTTTGTACATCATTCAGTCTTTTTTTTATGTGTAGGCTGAAAATCCAATGAATAAGGACGAAAATAAAGATTGTTAATGTTTACTTTGTACTTTGTTTAAAGATGCTACATAAATAAATTATTGTTATTATTAATATTTTAAAGAATGATATTGTCTTTTTTTTGCACGTGCATGTTAAAATTAAATCATGCATCTAAATCCAATCAGTGGGGAGACAAAATATAAAGTTGTCATGTTGGCTGATAGAAGCAGACGTGAGCTAAAGTTTTGGAGTTAATGTTCAAACACATTTAGTTCAATGTTAAGCTTGTTTAAAAAATGTTGCTTACAATGTTAACATAGATGTGCCAACAGGATTATTGTAACACCTGAAGAGACACCTGGCGAGTAAAAAGGGACGAGGCCTAAGACCAGTGAAACAGAATGTGGAAATAAATGTGTTTTAAGAACTGTCATTGTCTTTGGGCTCACCATCTCTTCCCCAGGCAGCCAGTATCCCTCCTGCTCGATGCCGGCCTTGGAGCCCTTGCAGCCCACAGTCAGGGTCTCCACCACCAGGCCGTCCTTCACGGCCAAGCTCAGCTGTCTGGCGGTCTCTTTAGGGTGCATGCTAAACACACGGCTCAGGTACCTGTGCGGGTGGAAGTGAAGCAGGAAGTGAGCAAAGTTCAACGGCAGCTTTCTTAAAATCTCTATCTACAGAACTTAGAAAGCTTCTGTTTGGATTTGTGCTGAATTTACCTAAAAAACAGTCCACATGAAGTAATGTTTGTAAACTCCTTTCTTTACCAAACTAAACAAAATAGAGTCATATTCTTCCCTGTGATAAAAGCTTACACTTCCATCTCTTTGTCGACTATTTACATCAGTACCTTACAAGCAACATAGAAAGAGTCAGGGGGCGGATGTGATCTGTTACTCAATAAACAAAACGTGACACATTTCTGTCTTTCTGTCACTCTGACTGGGATCATATTCCAGCTTGTGAGAGACAGATTTAATGAAAATGAAGAGTTCTTCTGTTTTGCAATCTGTAAGATATCTACTGACTGAAATGATAAAGTGAGCTTACTATCTGATCAGACATTAAGGAAACATGCTATGTTGAAGTGCTGGCTTCTCTGACAACAATGCAGCAGCCAGTATGTCCTCCTTCTAAAGCCTGGCTCACACTGCAGGATAATCGGGCAGCTGTGAGGTCCAATTCTTTCTTCCTGACAATTGACAAAACCCAAGGCTGCTCGGAACCAATCATCAGCCAAGATTATCTTATAACTGTTCGGAGATCGTCAGGGACACCCCGATTTATATCAAACATGTTTGATATTTAGAATTTAAAACCTTGACGATTATGTCATGAGAGGGTCCGGAGGAAGTCGTGTGTGGCTACAATAACCGCGAGAGAGGACTGTATCGGCGACCTGTGGCAAGACGCAACCTGCACAGGTGCACCGGACAACTGTAATGCATCTGAGAGTTCAAATCTGACCTCCAGCTCTTACTAAAGAACAGACAAGCCATATTGTCTGCATCTCCCCAGACATTTCTTTACCCAAAACTAGTTATTTTGATGTTTTCTCCCCTCTGCACTGAGCATCAGATTCAGAAATTTAACAGCCGGCTTCATTGTTTATGTGAGGTCAGGTGAGGTGGTGCGTTCCTCCGTTGGGCACGATAATCTAAATAGAATTTTGTAGCGTGTGCTGTGCCAAGATTTTCACATCTTGTAGTGTGAGTAATGTTTGAGGTTAAGGAGAAGGATATCTGTTAGATTCTGTGGATGTGTGTGATGCTACTTGAACTCAAAATCTGGAAGGATTTTTAAACTCCTGCAGCGTGAGCCAGGCTGAAGTCTTATCGTGGTGTCATGAGAACCACTAGTCTATATAACATGGTATTCTGGTCTGACCTTTGTTTTATGCTTCTATTTTGGAGTATGTAAGGTATCAGGTGTTATTGGTGTCTTTGTGTAATTTTTTCCTCATTAGGCCGTGTTCACACTTGACTTCTTTTTTCAGAAAAAAACGCTGCTTTCAGCGCCTTTTGAGCGCTTTTGCGCGAGTGTTCTGTAACCTTAACAACAGGATCTAGCCTGCAGGGCAACCGCGCCACAGCCGGCCGGAGCACAAAGCATCAATTTAGCACAAAAAAGAACAAGCGGGACGGGAAGTCAGACACCGATACAACATTAAAACATCCGGTTTATTTTCAGAGTAACACCCTCCGTTTTGACGGTTCAGAAAAACGACCGTTTGTGTGTTTGTTTATGTGTTTATAAGCTTTTTATTGAGTTTTATACCATGAACATCGTATTATCTTGTGCTGTCGCGAGTGAATCTGTTAAATTACCACAGAATTTCCTTTGTCTTCATACTTCAGCTGTCCAGCTGTGCTCTCCGTGCTGCAGACTGAGAACGCAGTAGGTGGGTGTTGACAGATGAGGACGCACGGTCCCATAACGGACTGGAGCGGACACGCAATGCACACATATCAGGTGGAAGTTTGCCGTTGTTGGGCACAGGTAACTAGGGACGTAGGTTACTACTCGTCCTGAATGGTCAGCTGTCAGAAAGGCGCTTGACGTCACCCAGCGCTTTTCTGAAAAGTTGAAATAATTTAACTGAAAAAGGCGTCAGGCGCAGCGCTTTTTAAAAAGGCGTCATCCTTTTTCCTTTTTCCATAGGCTTGTATGTAAAAAAGGCGCTGGCAGTTGAAAAAAGAAGTCAAGCACGGCCTTAGACTGTAACATTTTTATTTAAATTATCATCGGGAAAAAGGAAAACCTCAGAGTCTCATTTGTTTCAACTGACACCAGATTTTTTTTTTTTAAAAGCAGTAAACATTGATTAATGATTTGATTCATTGAGTTGAAGCAGGTTGATGCATTGGCTGTTATTCTGCCGTTAAAGGAGAGCACATTTCCTTCAAAATGAGGGATGGGCGGTTAATTATTCTTCCCGCTCGGTGAAATTAAACTGCAGTCAGGTTGGAGCAGGGGGAGGCGTGAAGGTGGGTAGCTGGAGGCTTTCCTTTGCTGGTATGCATGCATGCATGCCACCGCGCTGCTGCTGCTGCTTGCTGTTGCCATGACAACCGCCTCTCGCCCGCCCGGTATTCATTTTGGCAGGCAGCCAGCTCAAGGTGCTCGGCCAACTTGCCGTACGAGACGTGTTAAGTGTTTCATTTAGCGTGTGCTGGATGAAAGGATGGACTGATCAAGGAGGGCTGTCGTGTGTGACAGGTTGATAAAACGCACGTCTCGTAGGTCAACAGGAATTTAAAAATAAACAATAAAAGGAGAAGCAAAAAAGGACATATGTACTTAAAATTAAAGAACGAATAACAAAAATATGAGATCTGTCTTTGATGTTCATTTGTGTAATCATATCAATAGAAAATCAATAGATATACGTCAATACTCTATGTATATTTTTACTTTGCATATTTCCTGCTGTTTTATACGAATGGTGCATTTTTAAAGATGCTTTTCACCTTGAGGGGGTTTGATGTCTTCTGCTTTCATAGTGCTTCATCACCATGCTGGTAAACAAATACAGTACCTACAGAGTAAGGCCCCCCTCTTTTCATAAAACTGTCACCTGACGAGGACAATTTGTTCAGAACGTTGTGATCATGAAAATGTGCATGCTGGTCTTTTTTCTTGCTGCATGTCATTGCACAATTTTAAATAAAATTATAAAATATTGATGTTAGGAGATATATTATCATCACTGTCACCATTAGTTATGTCCGCCTGGGATACCTATGGAGCTATGTTGTAAAATGTGTAGCTCAAAATCTTCTTATTTATCTGTTACTGCCGTCAGTAAAAACCCTCATTTCAGCCTCTGCCTGAAACGCTTCATTTCAGCTACTGTCTCTTTAAGGCCCACCTCCCCACGTGCCCACTTTCCTCCGATTGGCCAGCTCTGTTTGCAGTCGCAGGGACATTTAAATAAGCTTCTGGGTTGGAGCATTTCCTTAAAAGAGCTGCCAGGGTGGGCGTGTCCTACAACTTTGCTGCATGCTTTGCTCTGATGCGTCAGAAGAATCTGACTTCAGGTTCTGACCAAGTCTCGCTAAGTTCTCATAAAGTCTCGTTCAGAGCAGCAGGAAACCACGTCCGGAGATTAAACCAACAACTGTGTATCTTGTGTTTAAAAAAACTTTGCAGAGGTTGAGTACGGATGTCCAACATCGTACATTGTGTCTGTATTTAAATATGGATGAGTAGAATAGATCTCCTTTAAGCATCATGAACACAACCTGCTGTAGAGTCTATATCTAAGGGGTGGGGGGGGGGGGGGGATTTTAAGCTGGCTGACTTCATTGCATGAATAGCAATAAGCGAACAGCAGTTGGAGAATGTCTGAACTCCAGTAGCTGTCAACCTCACTATTGATCGCTGTCTGGTGTGATATGGAGTGCAAACAGTGTGCAGCACAAACACCTTGCCTTTGCAGCTTGCACCATTACACACACATCGTGCACTAAGCCAAACAATAAGAGTCACTTTCTCCAGTTGGCAGCTGCAAAACGAGAAACTGCAACGTAATCTTTCAGGGCAATTAAGCCGGATCAAAATATGTTCTTATTTTTGTCTCTGACAGTCAAAGATTGTTATTAATAGTGTCTGACTACAGGAAGGAAATGAATGCTAAAGAAATAAACCAAAGAAGTAAAAGACACATCAGCCCACACGCACTTGTCTTTATGTTGTCTGTTTCTTTATGAAGTAAAGACTGTGTTCTTTTTATTTTTAAAAAGGGTTACCATGGCCTTTTTTCAAGACATTAACACGACCTTTGACCTGGTTAAATTTCCCTTTGCAGTGCTTTCAAAACTTAAAACTAGGGCCCGACCATTTTTGGGGATGTTAAGTATATTTTCAATTCACAGCAGTTCAATTTCAGAGCTTTTCTACATGTTTTTTTGGTAAATTGGATGAACTAAATCCTCTAATGTTTCCTTTAAACTTAAGAGTAGGACCATAACGTGAACATAAAGACACAACATGAAAGATTCCCTTCATCAATCTGTTTCATCTTTTGGCGAACTTACTTGGAGATCCTGTCCATGTTTGCAATTTGTTTCTGGTTGCGAATAACCTCAATGGCGGCCCACACATACTGGACCACCTTAGGGTCTGCCAGCCTCTTCTTCACCACACGTGACATTATTTCTTTATTCATCACAACTGTGGGAAACAAAGGAAACATATAAATCAGAAAATTAAAAAAAAAATACCTCTGGTTATACTGTACATGTGTTGTCATCACAAAATACAGAGAAAAGGCTAAAAAAACAAAAAACAGCTAACTTGCTAGGGAGGGTGTAAGCTGGATGGCGACCAATCAGCGGACTGCAGTGGCGTCACACTTTAAGTACGGATCAGTACGCTTGGCCAATAAATAGAAGGGTAACAAAAGTATTATTTTGGTACCATTTCCAACATTTGAGAGTGGAAATGCCAATAAATGTGTATCACACCAAAACCGAACAGAACCAGACCCCTTGGTGAGAACAGCTGCTGAAGTGTCGATATAGACGGCAGGTAACCCCAGGTCGAAGTTGTGCAGGGTCGCCAACATTTTAGATCCAATTTCTTTGGCCAGGATGAGAGCATGCAGCGTTCAGCAGGAAGGGAAGTGAACACAAAGACTTGGCAGAACCGTAACAACCACATGTGACTCTCTTTAAAGAATTACCTCTCTGGAAAATTCTCCTCTCCTTCATAAAATATCCACTTTCAGCCATAAGCGAGGGTGTGAGGGAGGAAGTTGTCTTTAGGACTTTTGGATGTTGATTCGTTGTAAGTCTGTGCAAACAGGAGAATCTGTCCAGGATTGTTTAAAATGTGCCGGCAGCCTCTTTCCTATCAGGTACTATTTATTACCAATGAAAGCCTGTTGTTGCCTGAAAATCAATGATTACATATAAGTGGAGAAATATTCACATCATGTTGCCATTAGGAGATCAGACCATTTCTCTCCCATGCCGTGTTGAGATCAAAAGAAATACTGGGAAATGTCAGAGGGAATTTGACATGCAGAACTCTCAGAGACCTTCAAAGGTTTTTAAGTACCAGTTTGCCTCTTTACAGCGCTGCACAGGCCTGTCCTTCCTCAAATATCTACCCAAATCCAATTTTATGCGTTCTTCCTCTTAACCATCCGTGAAACTGGAGATGTCACTTTCATAAATCGCAGCCAAAAGCTAACTATAATAATGCTCTAAGCTTTTTAATATGGAGGAAAATGCTTCGCTTCGCTGCTCTTTGTGGCAGAGGACGAGGCTGTGACAGATGTTCATCTTCACACTTCTCTCTTGGCGGCATGAACTGTGGTTTGGCATTAAATTAAGCGTGTATGAATGTGAAAATATGTGTTATCCCAGGGGTACATCACCCAAAAATAAAGACATACAAGTGATGCCAAAATCAACACATCAGCAGATGTGGTAAATTGCAAAAACACAGGCAAAAAGATACTGGCTGAAAATGTTGTGGTTCATATTCTGGTAATGGCTGGAGTGACACAATCATCTCCTCCAGCGTTCTTTATTTATTCACGAAAAAGAAGATAATATTTATTTATCCTGTGAGGGGACATTCAGTTTTACACTTGTTGTTGAGCATGCTACACACACATGGGCTGAAATACACACACATGCACAAAATCCGATGAACATGCACTAATGGAGAGATGTCAGAGTGAGGGGGCTGCACACAGCGAGCCCTCCGGAGCTGGTGGGGGGGATTTGGTGCCTTGCTAAGCAGTACTCAGGAAGTGAACTAACACCTCTCCAGCTACCATACCAATTTCCAGATTTGGTCCGCACCGGGACTTGAACAGTTGGTTCCAAACGCAAGTCTCTGCAGACTGAGCTACTGTCCCCAAAGCACAATCACTGACCGGGAATCGAACCCAGGCCACAGCGGCGAGAGCGCCAAATCCTAGACACTAAACCATCTGGGATTTAGTTTTCAATCCTGAGCTTGAGTAAATACACTCTATCCAGAAATCCAGCCACATTGAATACGACATTGCAGTCAGCAGAAAGTTAAATCACACTCAAATAACTTTTAATAGAAATACTTTAGAAATATTAAGCGGTATCAAAAAGCACAAGTTGCATTATTTTTCCTAATGCAATGATTACTTGAGGCTAACTGGACCCTAGAAATCAGTCAATCTAGTGCTGAGTTAAGTTCTGGCATCAGGTAGGCTTTTGGGTAAGGATTCCTCCACTGCACAAACTTCCTGATCAGAGCTCTGAGGTCTCTTCTCCAAAAACAAACTGAGCTGGTGATTAAAACCAACAAACAAAAATCTGAATAATGCAGTCAAGCCAGTACTTTTTCATTTTGAAAATCGCTGGAAAGGCATTAAATGGCAACTGCTGCTTGCTTTGGCTCAACTTGTTTATCATGTAATTTCAGACAACCCTTCCACCAGGAAGAAGATACACTTAAAAAAAAGACAGCGATCTAACAAATGATAGTTATGTGACTTGCACGACGAGAAATGTGAAGAAATGTTCACACTCTCTGTGAGAAGCGTGTTGGAAACAAACCCGGAAAATGAATTAAGGTGCTTATTCAGACTTCATAGTATCCTAATACAGCGGAAAGATAAAAAGCCAATAGGAGCAGCAAGATGACATTGAGGAACTGAAATCCCTTCTCTCTGTCACATGCAGCAGGTGTTAAGAAGGGCCACCTGTCCCATGACAGCAAAGCAGTCATGGGACACCACTCCGGCCACTCCGGCTCTCCCTCCTCCACATGCATCTGCTGTGCTGGCATGTATACAACACAACCACCTCTGGCACATTGCTGTCAGCCTGGACCTCAAGTCTCCAGAGAGCTCACACTACACGATGACAAGACCCTGGTACTGTACGCCAAAGTGCTCCCCAATCAATTAGGCAAGATGTACGAGACAGGAGGCCAATTAGAAGGCAGTCAAAACAGGTTGAGAGGGATTTGAGGCCAGGGTTGCCAGGTCTGCATTTCTCCCGTGGAATTGGGCTATTTTATAGGTTTTGCTGTGTATAAGCTTTTTGACAGCAGGTAGGGTGGACTGATTTTTTAAAAGTAAATTAATAATAAAAATTCACATCATAAATAAAATACTGTCACGGCACAAAAAAAACAAATAAGCAGATTACCAGGTACGCATGGAATATGTCACACAGCCAAATACACATGCACACACAAGCCCTGTTCAGAAGCAGCTTTAAGACGCAATATTGAAGTCCCTGTGACGATTCGCCTTCAATATGAATGTTGTGGAGGTGTAATGGGAGGGACGAAGTGATCGGCAGAGAGGCGTTACAGGGGTGAGGTGGGATCGGGGGAAGCCAGCCGGGCAGAGCAGCGTTGTGTGTGTGCATGTGGAGCTCCCACTGCTACAGCGCTGCAAAGCAATGTGAATTCACAGGGTTAATGACGGCAAATCTCTTTTTCTGTGCAGTCCCGAAATTCCCTCAAAAAAGGGCGACAGACACAATCGCCACACACTCAGTTTCGCTGTGCAGGCACACACACACACTGCACGTGCTGTCTTTGCCACCGGCGCCGGCTCACCTTGCGCCTGGCTGCAGGGACCAGGCAACAGGTTTATTGTTTTTCGGTGAATCATTCTGGTACACATTCACGAAGGCAGAGCTATACTTTATTTTTGAGTTTTAGCCCATTTAATAATTTAAAGGTCCCATATTCTGCTTTTTCTGGTTTTATCTGCTCTTTAGTGTGTTTTCCAAGTGTCCTGTGCATGTTTAGGCACATCTATGTGCAAAAATTCAAAGTCTGCGGAAACGCGGCTTCTCCTACGTCCTCCTGTTAGCTGTAGCATTAGCTGCATGTAACGCTCGGTTCTAGCCACCCTCGATAAAAATGTGTCAGTGCGACGTCATTGTCAGTGTGATGTCACTGATCTAAGTCCATTGGCTCGTTGTGGCCCAGCAGCTCATGTTGAAATTTCCAAGACGCGTGCTGAGCAACTGACCAATAACGACAGAGCGGATCGGCAGACCAATCAGAGCAGACTTGGCCCACGTGGGGTCTAACAGTGTGGGCTCAACAGAGTGTAGCTATATGGACTCAGAGTGGAGAGGGAGCGAGGAGCAGTTCATGAAAACAGACACTTTTTTAGAACTTTATCTATTGTGAACGTACAAAAGTAGGAACATAGATTAAATATAAGAACCCCAAAAAGGGCAGAATATGGACTCTTTAAGGAATTTTGATACTAGATAAAACAACCGCGTAGGGAAAAGTCCTTTCAGTGTTAGTATAATGACCATTAATGAGGTTATTTTGTAAATACTGTAACGCATTTGACAATTATAGCAATCCAACTTAACTTTAACGGTGATACGTATATGATGTGGCCCGACTCTGTAGGGACTCGGGTTGGGAACCGGAGGGTCGCCGGTTCAAGTCCCGGTGCGGACCAAATATGGAAGTTGGTCTGGTAGCTGGAGAGGTGCCTGAGCAAGGTACCAAACCCCCTCAGGAGCGCCCGCTGTGGGCAGCCCCGTCCATTAGTGCATGTCCATTAGGATCCTGTTTGTGAATGTGTGTGTGCTTCAGCCTGTGTGTGTGCTTCAGCCTGTGTGTGTGTGTGTGTGTGTGTGTGTGTGTGTGTGTTGCATGATTACAGAGGGTAAAAACAGAAATATAAGTAAACCTTAATCTATCTGTTGGGCTGCTTTTGATCGACCATTGTGCTGATTGTGTCAAACAGACCTGGCAACCCTGTTTGAGGCTCACACACAGTGACAACAACGAGGCTTCAGGGAGCCTCTTCTGTAACATATAAGACACTCACAAGTAAACTAAATGACACTGACAGTTGTGTTTTTAATTAAAAACAACAATAACACTCTGTCACTGATTACAGCATGAGCCCTCTGATAGCAACCAGGTGAACAAAAACGGGCCGTCCCAGGACAGAGGACATAGGTCTACGGTGCTGCCATGACATACCCAATAATAAAACTCATAATTAAAACACAAACTACACAAACTACACACCTGAAGCACAGAGCAACAAAGAGGGTAGGCCGTTCAAGGAGCAGAACTTAGCTTACCGGACTAGCGTGCCAGCTAACCGCCACACCAACCGTTGTCAAGGCAACACAAACCGTGATTTAAAACACCGTCTACGGTCTTATTGACGCTTTCGCGGGGCTTGGACACGAAAACACATTCAGGGTTAAGCGGCCGAGCGGACCTGCGTTGAGAGTTGATGTGGTTAGCAGCGGGGTGCTAGGTGAAGCTAACCTCGTTATCTGTCCGTAAAGCAGCCGACATGTTCGGGTTTAACCGTCACAGCAGCAGGACTGTGGAGGTTTTCAGGACACGTAAGTGCTCGCTGCCTTTGTCGTCACGAAGAGGCGAAACGCAGGTTAGCTAACTTAGCACTCGTTTGTTTTGGAGGGCGCCATGTTGACAATCCTCCATCACGGGATAGAAGCTAATGCTAAAGCTAGCTGCTAGTTAGCAAGACGCGGTGTTGTCACTTAGCGGGGAGTAAAAATGAAACTCACCTTTTGTTCAGGTGTCTCTAACACACAGCGACGCGGGGGAATCCACGAAGGATTGAAGGGCAGGCAGCTTACATCGGTATTTTTTCGGGCTAGTTGAGTCTGTGGATGGTGTGTGTGTGTGTGTGTGTGTGTGTGTGTGTGTGTGTGTGTGTGTGTGAGTGTGTGTGAGTGTGTGTCCAGCTGGCTACAGTACAGCAGAGCTGAGCTGGGAGGTAAACACAGACAGACGGCGCTAACAGCACAGATAGCGAAGAGGAGGGAGACCTCTAGTGGTCGAATCGACGAACTGCACCTTAAACCTGAGACACCCGACACTGATCATCATGCATATGAGGGACAAAAAATGACTAAAGTATAACTAACTAACTAACTAAATACATAAGTAAATAACTAAATGAATAAAAAAATAAACAAATGAATAAAAAAATAAAAAATAAATAAATGAATAAAAAAATAACTAACTAACTAACTAACTAAATACATAAATAAATACATAAATAAATGAATAACTAACTAACTAACTAAATACATAAATAAATGAATAAATAAACAAAATAAAAATGAATAAATGAATAAAAAATAACTAACTAACTAACTAACTAGCTAAATACATAAATAAATGAATAAATAAATACATAAATAAATAAATAACTAACTAACTAACTAAATACATAAATAAATTAATAACTAACTAACTAACTAACTAAATAAATAACTAACTTGCTAAATACATAATGAATAAATAAACAAATAACTAAATACATCAATAAATGAATAAATAAATGAATAACTAACTAACTAAATACATAAATAAATGATTAAATAAATAAAAATAAAAAATGAATAAATAAATAAATGAATGAAAAATAACTAACTAACTAACTAACTAAATGAATAAATAACTAACTAAATTAATAAATGAATGAATAATAAATAAATAAATAACTAAATGAATGAATGAATAAATAAATAAATGAATGAATGAATAAATAAATGTTGGGAGAAATGCATACAATAATGTATAAATAAATATATATGTAAATAAATGCAACAATTCATATAAAAATTAATATATAAATGAATATATTCATATATTCCTTTATGTATTTCTGTGTCCATGTTGTACAAGGAAAAGTAAATATGTAAATTAAGTGGGCCGTCCTAACATTACGGAAGTAGGACTGGTCAATTTTGAAAAACAGACAGAAGCAAATTTACATATATACTTTTCCTCTTACGACCTGGACACAGAAATAAATAGATGTGTAAATGTAAAAATACGGAAATAAATTAATAACTCAATTAATGTGGAAATGTATGCATTGATACATATATAACTGTAGAAATATGCTAATAAATGAATAAATACATGTACAAATATATAAATAGCCTTTTTCATTAACAAAGTGTATTTATTATTTATTCATTGACGTATTGTTTTCAGCATTTATATATTTATTTATATATTTATTGATTCATTTATTTATTTATTTATTTATTTATACATTATTGTATGCATTTCTCCCAACATTTATTTATTTATATATAAAATATGTAATTTTTTGTCCCTCATACATGCAGGGTAATTAAAGGGGAAGTCAATCAAAATTGTCATGACAAGGAAAACAAATTGAACAGAGCCCCTTAAGTCCCAAAAAGTAAAAAAAAAAAAAAAAAAAATCATGTGGGCACAAGATAATTATCAAGTACCTAGGTACTTGTGCCACTTTAAGTAGGCAATGTTTTTGTAACTCTTTTTTTTGTACTTAGAAGTGTTCCCTCTCTTTCCCTGCTTGGCTCGTGTGTACATAATACTATTATCTTGTGCATATAACATATATAAAATCTTGTGTGCACAAGATCATTTTCTTTCTGCACCCAGTAAAGCTGCTAAACATGAGACAACGGTGACACAGATTAGCACACAGCTCGACGTTATGGTGCAATCTGTTATAAATAATATCTGCAAGAGTGTTTCCTTTGTTGGGTTTTGTTCTATATTATTTATTGTCTGGTATTGTAGTGTTGTAAAACATTTGAAAACAATAAAAATGTTGGTCATAAAAAAATAAACAATATCTGCAGGGATGTACATTGTATGGACATTCTATCAAACAGTAGCAAGATATACTTACAGGCTAGTACCGTAAATCCGCACGCACTTCTTGTATGAGAACCTCGGTCTTGGCTTGGGTGGCTTTCTTGCTCCATGTTCTATTGTTTACGGTGAGAAGGCAGACCCAAAAGGCAGAACTTACACCTAGCTGTGGGAGTGTCACCTACCTGGGGGAGGGGTTACTGCCCTTTGTGATGTCATGAAGGGAAAATCTCCAACAGCCTGTTTGAGCTCACGTTTTCTGAAAACTGGAGCAGGCAAACGATGGAGAGGATGGACTCCATAGGGGCTTAGACAGACTAGGACATATGAGTGTTGAAAAATATGTGACATTTAAACCTGAATAGGTCACTGCTGTTCAGTCTTAATTCCAAATTTGCCAAGTGGCAACCCTTGGTATTGCAACTAAGGGTTTGTTTCAACATAAATATTTTAATTTTCAACAGGCCTGTGTCTTTTAAACTGCAAAATCAGTTAAATGATTTACACCCACTATTATAATCTGTATTTTATATTGTTAAAACTCTACCTTAGCCAATAGAAATGATCAGTAACTGCGACTTGATCAAAATAAAGGTTTATGGCTCAATCGGAATATTGCTGCAGGGAAGGGCATGATAGACACTACGATGCATAGCCCTGTAGAGAATCAGAAGCTAGAAACATGGTGAAAGACTTATTATTATGTCATGAATACACTGCTGCATCTTAGCCCTTAGCATACTAAGCTGCAACCAGCAATATCTCTCTCACACCGCTCCTCTTCCTGGAATTAACCAGAGCTTGTTAACCCCTCCCTCTTCTTCCTGCTCTCAAACACAGCCAGCCCCACTCGGACTCTATATTTCCTTGTTCCCTCCCCTTTAGACCTAGTTTGAGGATGGGTGTTACCAACAAGAGCTGACGTTCACTGAACAAACACATGCTGTGCAGATCAGAGGTGGAGCTAGTTTGATTTCTCAGGAAGAGAAACTCAGACAGTCGTTGTTACAGAGAGGAGAAATGGCACAGAAAGGAGTTCAGCTGGGCCAGGAAACCCTTTCTTGTTCGATCTGTCTGGATCTCCTGAAGGATCCGGTCACTGTTCCCTGTGGACATAGTTACTGTATGAGCTGTATTAAAAGCCACTGGGATAAAGAGGATGAGAAGACAATCTACAGCTGCCCTCAGTGTAGGCAGGACTTCACACCAAGGCCTGTCCTCGGGAAAAGCACTATGTTAGCAGTTTTAGTGGAGGAGCTGAAGAAGACTGGACTCCAAGCTGCTCCTGCTGATCACTGCTATGCTGGATCTGAAGATGTGGCCTGTGATGTCTGCACCGGGAGAAAACTGAAAGCCTGTAAGTCCTGTCTGCAGTGTTTGATCTCATTTTGTGAGAAACATCTTCAGCCTCATTTTGAACCTGCTTATGCAAAACACAAGCTGGTGGAGCCCTCCAAGAAGCTCCAGGAGAACGTCTGCTCTCGTCATGATGAGGTGATGAAGATGTTCTGTCGGACTGATCAGCAGTCTATCTGTTATCTCTGCTCTGTGGACGAACACAAAGGTCATGACACAGTCTCAGCTGCAGCAGAAAGGAGCGAGAGGCAGAGAGAGCTCGAGGTGAGTCGACAAAACATCAGGCAGAGAATCCAGGACAGAGAGGAAGGTGTGAAGCTGCTCCAACAGGAGGTGGAGGCTATCAACGGCTCCGCTGATAAAACAGTGGGGAACAGTGAGAAGATCTTCACTGAGCTGATCCGTCTCATGGAGAAAAGACGCTCTGATGTGAAGCAGCAGGTCAGATCCCAGCAGCAAACTGAAGTGAGTCGAGTCAGAGAGCTTCAGGAGAAGCTGGAGCAGGAGATCACTGAGCTGAAGAAGAAAGATGCTGAACTGGAGAAGCTCTCAGACACAGAAGATCACAACCAGTTTCTACACGACTACCCCTCACTGTCACCACTCAGTGAATCTACACACTCATCCAGCATCAAGATCCGTCCTCTGAGGTACTTTGAGGATGTGACAACGGCTGTGTCAGAAGTCAGAGATAAACTACAGGACGTCCTGAGAGAGAAATGGACAAACATCTCACAGACAGTGACTGAAGTGAATGTTTTACTGTCAGAACCAGAGCCCAAGACCAGAGCTGAGTTCTTAAAGTATTCATGTGACATCACACTGGATCCAAACACAGTAAACTATGACCTCGTATTATCTGAAGGTAACAAAAAAATCACAATTAATGGTGAACAGTCTTATCCAAGTCACCCAGATCGATTCACTGAATTGTGGCAGGTTTTAAGTAAAGAGAGTCTGACTGGATGTTGTTACTGGGAGGTGGAGTGGATTGGGGAAGAAATTTATATCGCAGTCGCCTACAAGAATATCAGCAGAGCAGGGAGCTCAGATGAATGTGATTTTGGACGCAATGACAAATCTTGGGCGTTATTTTGTTACCGTACGTACAGTTATTCATTTTGGTACAACAATGTGGAAACTAAAATATCAGCTAATGGGTCCGATAGAATAGGAGTGTACCTGGATCACAGAGCAGGTATTCTGTCCTTCTACAGCATCTCTGAAACCATGACTCTCCTCCACAGAGTCCAGACAACATTCACTCAGCCTCTACATGCTGGACTCCATCTTGAATTTTCTTACACATACTGGGCTGAGTTTTGCAAACTGAAATAGACGAAGGTCACTTAAGGGGACATGGGTCGAATTTTGTGTATTTTGTCTTCATGTCTGTTTCTGGGAGATGATTGTTTCGGCCTTTAGTCATTGCTCACAGGTTATCTCTGCGTCACGACCCGGCTCTTAAGGCCTGACAAAAAACTACAGCAGGTAAACGTAGGGGTTAACTAAACGGTGTAAAAGTTTATGACAAAGTACCAAAAATAATAATGAGTGAGGTGTGTTTTTTTCAGTGAATCAGTGGGCCGGCTGAGTGTGTGTCCCCTGTGGTACGGTCTTGAAACTTAACTAACATAAGCAAACTACAACAAAAACATCCAACCACATGATAATGAGAGGCTGGGAGCAGTGACGACTCTAGAGTCTGGTGGGGCTCTAGGCAAAAATAAATTGGGGCGGGGGGGTCCTCTCTCCTAAAGACGGTAAAGATGGATAATTCCGCTTCATTTTTCTTTTTTGACTTTCGTTGAAAAACGTTGGTTTTCACAGCAATAATGCAAGCAATGCTCAGCAGGGCAACGATTGTGAGTGCTGTCAGATGGGGCCCCCTTAGGGAGGTTTCCTACTGTCATTAAAAACATTGCCCATTTTCGGCCACTGCTTTAGTTTAAGTTTGTGAGCCAAGGGGCGCTGCTTGTCGACAGGCGAAGCAGGCAACTGCTTGTGGCCCCAGACCAGTAGGTGGCCCCAGAGGGCTGACAAACTTCGAACCAAAGCAGCAACCCAAAATGTGCAATTGTTGCAGTGACAGTAGGAAACCTCCCTAAGGAGGCCCCATCTGACAGCATTTGCTCTCATGGCTCTGCTGAACGCTGGTGGGAGTGTCCCTGAATTAACATTTGCCTCGGGGCCCCAGACACTAGAAACGCCACTGTGTGAGCCCTCAGGGGCCCCCATACTGGTGAGGGGCCCCAAGCAGTCGCAGTTTCTGTTTACAAGCAGCGTCTCGGGATGGGAGCGAATGAGAGAGTGAACGGTTGAATCTTCTATAGCCGACACCTGGGAGACTGGCCAGGTATGCGAAGGTGTGGCAGAACACCGGGAAACAAAACAAACAGACAGCAGGCCGTGCTGGCAGGAGGGCCGTCACATCTGTCATTTAAACTTTACAGAGTTTTCTTGTATGTATAAACAAACTCTAGATTCAAAGCATGAATAAGTTACATTTGGTGCTTGTTACTGTTTTGTTTTTTAAGCGGTCAAAACTCTCGCTGATAATGTCGATTATTATGTGGATTATGAGGGTAATGAGGACACGTTGCTACATAGAAATGTAAACTTGTCTGTACGCTGGATGTCTTTGAATATCAGTTGGTGTGTCTCTAACACTGAATGTGTCCTTAGAGGACAAGCGTCAGGCTTTTCTTATCTTTTTTGGTAAATATTTTGGTTCCCACCACTGTGTACATATGTTAGGAACGTATTGGTTATATATACATGTTGTTGTTTAGAAATATGTTGTTTTTTTTAAGCAGGGGTTCCATACCCGCTGGAGGGTCACCAAAGGGTGTTAGGGGGGTCGTGGATCTTAAAGTGGAAGAGGGGAAAAATGGAACAAAACATATGACAATGACATTTGTATATATCATTTGAAATGTTATAAATCCCTGAGTATGAAAATCTGTGTTCTTCTTAATGCCAATGTTTCTATTGAAAAGAAGAGAAGACAAATTGAACTTAATGAATTAATAAAAAAATAATATTCACTGTTTCTATTACTTTGAATTAGGCCTATTATTAAGAGATACATTATTTTAAAAAAAGACATAGAATATATCAAATGAAATTAACAAACAACAAGATTATTATTAGTTAATGCAAACAAGGAAATCAATTAGGAAGGGATATGTTTAATTTGAGATGTCTAATGAAGACCCCTAGTGAAACACATTTCTGGAATATTGGATCCCTGCGGTGTGCGAGCCGCCTTTCTCTTAGTTTTAAGTGACTTTATTACTCAACTCAACACCTGTCTGCTTTGGTTTGAGTGTGCTTGTTCCTCGATTGTTGTCATTTTGATATTTGAATTCATGCAAGGTACAAAGAATTCAAGAAATCTCATCAAGGATGTACATAGTTTGGATTCTGATAAAAACTGATTGTGCAGATCAATTGAATCTTTCATGAAATTATTGGACAACAGACTTTATAGATTTGATGTGTGACAGAAGGTATAAATAAGAATAAACATACATGAAAACAATGTTTTCTGTTTTCTTGTGTCTTCATTCCAGAGTGGCATACTAAGCTGATTGTTAAAGTAAAGTTTTCATGTGATAAAAGAGACCGCAGAGGTGCCTCCTAAAAGGAAATTACTGCATGAAGAGTTGAGAAGACAATGGCGTTGACCTGCCTTGTGCTTCAGAACATTTGTGAAGAAAGTGCCGACTATTTTGCAGAGGAGCTGCATTGATTGACTTCTTTAACAGAGGGGATGAGTGGACTTTTTCTTTGACCTCTTCTGTTCAAAGGTACCTGACAGCCGATGCATTTATTGCGTCAGTATTACAGAGACAACCATGTTAATTCAAAATGGTGGCATTAATTTGAAAAGCCGGGGCGATAAAGGGGGGGAAAAAAATGTAGAGTGCAATGAACATTCAATGTTTCAAATAATAAACAAAACTATATACATGAGTAGGATCAGTCGTTTTGGGGGGACTAGTCAGTTTTGAATTTGGCTTCCATCACAGCAACCATGAGGCAAATGAGCTGAGTGTGCATCAATCCTTTGAGGCAGAGCATCGCTTTGTTTCTTGATGTGCTGCAAGAACCTCTCATCTGACTGCTCCAGATATTTCAGAAACTTCCTGCTGTTGTTACGCTTCCTCTTTCCTGTGTACAAGAATAATTACTATTAACACAGCCCTGCAATTTGTTACTAAGTTACAATAAGGTGCTGGACTTTAATTCAAAGTGACAATGACGTGATCCACTTGTAGCTGTGGAGCTCTTGCTTATACGAGTGGCATTTGCAATAATGGAAAGCAGCATGCTAACGTTAGCTACTGTTAATCAAAGCTAGGCTAGCGGCTAACTTGTTCTAACATTACAGAAGCAAGCATGGAGATAGTAGGCTAATCTCTCACGTCAAGACTTATTCTCAGCCTGTGGTATTGTTGATAATTGTGTGGTTAACTCTGAGATTAAAAAAATTGCTAAAGAAGTTTGAATCTTTACGCAAAGCAGGCCCCTTGGTTGAGAGAAAGCAGGTGGTTGTTGGGAATCTTCTAGTGATCTATCTCATTAAAAAACATTTGGAAAAAACTCCCCCATGTCTCCTTTGTGTTACAAGGGTGTGTTCAGGCTGTGCTATCGTTGACCTTGATTGGGCCGTTCATCTGCCTGTACACGACCTCTTATCAGTTGATGTGTGGATAATGGCCTGGGATGTGGGGGCTTAAAGGGGGGTGCTTGAGGCCCTTCTTGTTGCGGATGGACATGGTGGGCAGGGATTGACGGTCGTTGCCTGAACCTTTATGGGTCATTTGTGTTCTCCACCTCAAGATCTTGTTTTTTTCAGTACGAGTAGGGATCTTCTCTGTGATGAATCTTATGGGACAGTTCAGCAAATGTGCAGTAATGGTACAATGACATCAAGCAATATTTTTGCAGTCAATAAACCCTGACTTTTCTTTTGTTTCTCTCCTGGCTGGTGCATCATCTTTTTCCTCAGTAATACTTAGAAGTATAATCAAAGCTACTGAAGTGTCTGATGTAACCAGGACAGAGGTAATATAAGTTTACAATGGGCGCATCAGGAGGAGTATCTGAAGGAGATTTAGGAGCCCTCTCAGTGGAATGTGTACAATGGGGCCCCTGTATCCAGAGAGTTGCCCAGGGACTTCTGGACAAGAGATTGTATCTGTGACCTGTGTTGTCCTTTGAGTTTATGACATACATATGACATACATATGACTAAGACAGAAACCCCTGCAGTTGTATGAAGAGGGGTGTCCTGAAAACAAACAGATGTCCCTATGTTGTTCTCCTGTGAGGTGTGTCCATAAATACCAGAGTTTCTGTGTGTAAGGGAAGAGATCACTTTTGGCTGTGTCTCTCCCAGGTCGAACCATGGCAAGCCTGGCGATGCTGTAACTTGTTTGTCAATAAAATGATCATTATGTAAGCAAGTCAGTGTCAACGGAGAATTTCTTCATCATCAAACATGTCAACAACAAGGAAATCCACATCACTACACATATCTGCTGTAACTACAATGAAAATGTATAAAGACTAAAAGTCTCTTATTTAAAACCTCAGGACAAGAAACTATGGCTTTGATAGTGTGAGAAAGTGAGTAGCATTAAGTTAGAAAAGTGTAGTTATTCGGTAACTTAATACATTGTGCAGCTATTTCTGCATCAAAGATATTGTCCTGAATTTGACCTTTATTTAACCAGCTAATGAACCCATTGAGATAAAGATCTCTTTCACGAGGGTGACCTGGCCAAGAGGGCAACAGCAGCACACACTATAATAAACTTGATTAAGAAACAGTTCACCAACAATAAGATTACAATTAAAAAAAACAGAGGCTCTGTCCAATGGTCTCGTGTTTTTTCTCTTTTAGAAATCGAGCCAGAGGCTTCAAGTGAAATGAGATCTGCCAGTTTCATGTCATTCTGGAGAAAGTTCCCTGCAGAGGGGGGCAGCAAAACTGAACGCTCCTTTCTCCGAGCTCGGTGCAGACACGAGGAACAGACAGTTTAAAAACATCACAGGAACACAAGGAATAGTGGCTCCTGGTTCTTTGGAGGTTTGAACATAAATAAGAAGGAACTAAACCATGAAGAGCTTTTTAAAGAAGACTCAGCCACTGTTTATTACCTACACTCATTCAAGGTACTTATCTGATGATAGAGTAAAGTAATTTTATCATTTAAGATACGATAATACTTTTAAGGATACTTTTAATCCTATTAAGCCGATATCTTACAGGTTGGACATTTAAGCAGGAAATTTGCCTGAGTCCTACATTCATGTTGGTTTCACATTTTCCATCAGCCCAGGATGACTCCACGCATTGAAGACAAGGATCAAGTATTTTGTTCTTGTTTGTTTATTCATGTCAAACATCAGCTTGTTCACACAAGTTCAATGATTTTGTGGACAGATTTCCTTCATCCATATTTGGATACAAACAGACAAATGAACTAATTCAAACAAATGAGTACAGGTTTAAATAGTCAAATACTAATATCTATGTTGAAAGAAGAGCCTCACTCAACTATTTACAGGACATACAGGGCAAACAGAAGGAATCATAAGCAGTGAAAGCTTCCATGACCCAATGTACACTAGGACACAAGGAGTGCACCTTTCAGAACAACATGTCAACATTTTAGGCAATCTAGAAGTAGGATTGACAGATGAGGCAGATGCAACAACAATCAGCTTTCAGCAACAAGTTTGAAAGAGTAAAAAAAAAAAACAGCAGACTTTGGCACATTGTCCTTTGAATGACGTCAATCTTATTTCAGTTTACAGAACTCTGCATTGAGTCCAGCAGAAGGATAACGCAGCCAGAGTCTGGCATAAAGAGGCTTAGTGAATGCGGCCTCGGCTCTGTGGAGGAGCGTCATGGTCTTGGAGATGCTGTAGAAGGATAAAGTACCTGCTCTGTGATCCAGGTACACTCCTACTCTAGATGTCCAAGGACCTGGGAGGGATTCGGTGAAAAGATTGAACCAGAACGTGTATTTCTGTTTCAAACATTCCAACACCCACAATTGTTTATTGTATCCAAAACAACATTTATCTGAGCCGCCTGCTCTGCTGATGTTCTTGTAGGCCACTGCGATATAAATTCCTTCTCCTTTCCACTTCACCTCCCAGTAACAATGTCCAGTCAGACTCTCTTTACTCAGGACTTAACGCCGACTCACAAGTCTGTCCGGGTGTCTGGGATAAGGCTGTTTCCTCTGCATTACTGTGAATTTTCTGTTTCCTTTGGATAATGACATCTGTGTGTGTGCTGTGTTTGGATCAATCGTAATGTCACAGGCATATTGTAAAAAATCCGCTCTGGTCTTGGGCTGTGGATGTGACAGTAAAACATCCACTTCAGTCCTGTAGTTCGTCTCTGACTTCTCTGACATGGTGAAGTGAGCCGCCCCTAAATCTGAAGTGCCCACGTATTCTGATCTTTATGGTAAATGCTTCGGACTCCAGAGCGAGCAGGAGTAACAGACAGAGAGAGCGATGACGTCAAGTGCTAAATGCTGAAGTCTTACCATAAAACTGACTATGAGATACACGTGTATGAAATGGGAGTAAACAGAATACTGTAGAGGGAATAGCTTTGGAGGTCGGGGAAGTTAGTGTGAGAATAATTCTGCGAGTCTGCGGTAACTTCTGTTTTTCAAAATACGATTAACTTATTCTATTCTTCTTTAGATAATGTTTGACATTTTATTGATGTTGCTTATGTTCTTTTTTAAATCAGAATTCATGTTGTGAATGGTCTGAACCACTGGGCTTTATACTAGCAGAATTTATATCAAAATAATAATTGTATCCAACCTTTTCCAATTTGTTAATTACTTGTGAATAACATTCGGTTCCAACTGAAAAAGGCTCCGAGACCCACTTTTGGGTCCCGACCCATCCGTTTAGAAACACCACATTTTCCCAAAAGATGCAGAGGGCCCCCAAATGACTAAATCTGCCACTGGTTGTACATGTGGGGCTGATGTTCCCTACACAAACCAAACTGTCACTGGGATTTAGTGAGCATTATTGTTGCCATAGTAACAAAGGGATCAAACTCCAAAACAAAGCAGCATAGGGGCTAATAGTCTGAAAACCACAACTATTGCTGAAGATGATCCCAGCTCACTTTGTTTAGTTTGCTAAACCTAGTTAGCTTGGATTAATGCTTTTTACTTTGAACCCAGCAGAGGGAGACAATCACCAAGAAACCTGAACTAACAAACGTCATCACTGTTTCAGTTCCAGGAAATAACAAGAAGGGGAAGTGTTCTGTGAGTCAGAGCTTAGACTCCATTTTGAGTGGACAGAGCAGAAGGCCAAAGACGTGTGAGACAGGGTGAGTTTAATTCAACATTATTCTGACTTTACTGTTTAAACCTCTGGTTCATCAGTTAATGAAGCAGGTTCATGCTGAGTAAAACTTTAAAACTGATCACATACAGAGCTGGATCAGCTCTGTGAATGTGGACTACTTCCTCTTTTCAAAATACATTTTGTGTACACACTCACACACACACACACACACACACACTCACTCACTCACACACTCACTCACTCACTCACACACACACACACACACACTCTCACTCACACACTCACTCACTCACACACACACACACACACACACACACACACACACACACACACACACACACACACACACACACACACACACACACTCACCCACACACAGTGAGCGCACCTGAATGCATCTCTCTTGTCTGAGCTCCCCTGAATGCAGCATGCTAACAGCGCGTTCCCTGAGTAACAGCAGAGAGAGAGACATGCCCAGAAAAGTCTGAAGTCAACTAAGCAGACTACTTTATTTTCTGATGCTTCTTACAGACTTTTATCATTGTGTGTGTCTGTGAGACACAACCACACACACACACACACACACACACTCTCACACTCTCACACACACACCAAGCTATCTGATATGTTTTGGGACTTTGTCCTCGGCTGATCTTTAAACTCTTGAGTTTCTCTCGTATTGTTTCCTGTTTGTCAGGACTCCTGCGGTCTGAGCTCAAAGTCAGCGTTAATGGTTTTCTCTCACGTTAAATGAAGTCCAGAGAATGACTCGCTTTTAAATTTTATAAGAAATATTTTCTCCACCTCTTCAAGCAGTCACAACAAAATACTGCAACCTAGTAAAATGTTGTGACTGAATGAGGTCTGTTTTATGAGAAGGTTTTAACCCTACAGGCATGAAGGACTTTGTTTTATACCACGGTTGGTGATGAACTTTTTCACCTACGTGCCCCTGTGACTGGTGGATTCAAAAATCTACCAGTCTTACACTTTTTAGGCAGTAGGGAGGATCATCCCTTCACCAACCCTGGGAACAAAAATTGCTGCATACTGCTGAATGATGTCAATCAATAAATGGTGTGAATCAGAGGGAAGTGAGGATACCCTATGCAGACTGAAAAATAAGTGGGTATACCTATACACCTGACCTGCATATACCCTCAACTACACCACTGGAAATTAACTTGCCAAACGGATAATCTACCCGCATTTGGTGCTTGGCGGGTACCAGTCTTACATTTCTTACCTGCCACTTTATTTTAACTGGCAGCACAATGTAATGACGTGTAACATAATAATCAAGGCTTATAGTATTCAAGAAATAGACGATCAACTATTAAATAAAATACTGACATGCTGTTTGTCTCACTCAGAAACAGAAAAAACTTTGTTTTAGTTTATTATTTTTGGGCTATGTCCTCAAAGGCTGATGAAGCTGAACTGAAACCTGGACTGAGAGGTAAGATAATGGATATATTGTTTTAAAAGAATATGAGCTTATATGAGGAGAGTCATCACAGTCATAAAGGTTTCTGCTGGAAACTGAGTTTCATTTAGAAAGATATTTTTAAGTCACTGTGTGTTTTCTCCTCAGGACGTTGGAGCTTCTAACTGAATCTGTCAGGTTCCTTTCCTCTGCGTTTGTATTTCACTCGTCTGAGTTACAGTCATTTGCTTCTGTTGAAAAATATCCCATTTTCTAATGTAGCTGCTTCACAATAAAAGCAATGCTATTTAAACCAGGAACTTTTAGTGTGAAGAGCTTGAAATAGAATGCGTGTTATATCGTGTTCACAACCTTTGTTTCAGAGCGCTTCTCACCAGCGCTCCTTGTTGCTAGATTACAAAAGTGAACTTGTGCTTCCCTCTGTAATGTCCGTAAGGTGTGTTTTAGCTCCATGTGTTTCAAATAAATATCACCAAGAAAACATGAGGACGATGTAAAGGAGTCATGTCCTGATGTCAGCAGCAGCTCTACACCTGCAAACTGTTCCCTCCAAAAGACGAGTCAGACCAGCGTCTCCTCCGCCATCGCTTTGTTATTGACAAATCTGATCTCAGAAGTCCCGCCCCTTCTTGAGTTTGATTGGTCGGTGAGGGAGAAGTGACATTGATCAGTGTGGCACTGTTCTCAAAGTTGAACGTCTTTCGACTGATAGCGTTTGAGTGCAGTGACTAAAAACAGCTGACACCGAGGGCGTTTTAGCGCCCAGGAAGCTGAACTACATTAGTTTTGTATTTCAGCTGGATGTCAGCGTGGTACTGTAATCTCTGTTCAGTTTAAATCTAAGCCTGCTGTACAGGTTGTGCCTGTTAGTATTTATTTTCACATAATCATTCACTTGAATCATTTTGTGGATATATCATTTTAAATCTGTCGACCATCTAAGGGTCATTGGTTTAGGTCTGTGTGGATGTAACAGTTTGTGTAAGACTCTCATAGCAGCAGATCTATTTTTGGAGAGGAGCCGAGTGTATGTTGTGAGCTTAAATGACTTCAATGTAGATATCTGACAGTTTCAAGTGAAGGTAATGTCACCTCTCTAGCCTTTTAGAAGTCTTCCCAAATGGTAAAAGAATTTGTAGGCTGTACCAGCTAACAGAATATAACAGGGCCGTTAACATGAAAAGTTTGTCAGCCATTTGTGTTCTGTTGCTGTTGTCTGACCTCGGCCCAATAAATTCTAAGATAAGCCACTGTCTGTTTCACCATTTCATCATTGGACATTTCCAGCAGAAACATCATGGCGTCATGATGTTCTTACATGCTTTTATATTTTGATATCTTTTTCTCTATATGGGTAATGTGCAATATATGTTGTGTTTTATACATGGGTCTGTACTTTTCTGTTGACATGTCGATGTGTTTTTCTATTGTTTTTATGGATTCTACTGTGAGGCCGCTGAATGTGTGCAGCACTTTGAGCCCAAGACAAATGTCTGAAGTTATAGTATTTACAGCTGCTCCTTTGAGCCCAAATCAACGCCACAGCGCTCTTCTTTTCATCATGTTGGACTTGAGACAGCGAGGCGTCAGTTTAAACACACCTGAAGCTGGTTGACCCACTGTTAAAGAGATGCTAGTCTGTGCTCTGTTAATCATGTTACACCAAGCAAACTCATTCCAGCATATAGAGCACCATTGTGACCCTCGCTCTGCCACTGTGGTCGGTAGGTTGAGCAAATTCACCCGCCACTGCAAAAAGACACCCGTATGTGACGAGTGCTGATTTCCAACCCTGTTTTATACACTTCTAGTTGTACAAATGTCCTAAAGGTCATGGTTGCTGTTAAATACTAACATGTTAGTTTAATGTTTAAAGTTTAAGACTCACTGTCTTGTTATTGGCATTATTCAGGGCAGATCAGACGGACAAATCATGTTAGGATCAAAACAAACTGCACTGAGGTGCTGCATCAGGTACTTAGGCAGACAGGAAGGAAGAGAAAATCAAATGAAGGATCACATCAGGTAATGAGATGTGGACACTTGACCATCTCCATCTTTCACATTTTTCCTGCTTGTATCTCACCTGTTTGTTATTTTGTCCTCAGGTTGTTTTACCTGCATGAACGTCTTTTATTGTCCTCTGATCAATCTGGAGATCACAAGATGAGTGATGGAGGAGACAAAGAGGAAGACAGAGCAGAGTCTCCTCTGTCCAGCTGTCTCTCTATGAAGAGTGACCGGTCTAAAGGTGAACCTCTAAACTTCAGTAATGAACCAGGACCCTCAGATCCACAGTAAGAGAACTTTTTTTAATCACCAAACTGTCAAACTAAAAGAAAGAGTCCTGAACTCCATAATGTGTTGATTTTCTTGTTTTTAATCATCAACCTGCACACAGTGATCATACAGAGAAAGTCACTGAACTCATAACAACATACTAAGGATTATATATATGTATTATATGTTTATAGATAAGATAATATGATTTCAGTATTGACTCTTTGGTTGTGTATCTAGTCGTCTTCTCTGTGATTCTGCAGGAAGTAGTCTTTCAAACTG